CCTTGCTATTGCAGTGCACCTTTGCCTCTCTGTGGGAAGACGAGAGACTTTACAGGTCACACGAACTCTCCTGTGTTTTTGTTTCCGTACAACAGAGACAACCAAAGAGGGCATTCCAACTGTAAGAAAGAAAGAAAGAAAGAAAGAAAGAAAGAAAGAAAGAAAGAAAGAAAGAAAGAAAGAAAGAAAGAAAGAAAGAGAAAAAGAGAGAGAGAAAGAAAGAAAGAAGAGAGAGAGAGAGATAGAAAGAGAGAAAAAGAAAGAAAGAAAGAAAAAGGGAGAGAGAGAGAGAGAGAGAAAGAAAGAAAGAAAGAGAGAGAGAGAAAGAAAGAAAGAAAAAGAGAGAGAGAAAGAAAGAAAGAAAGAAAAAGGGAGAGAGAGAGAGAGAGAAAGAAAAAGAGAAAGAAAAAGAGAAAGAGAAAGAAAAGAGAGAAAGAGAAAGAAAGAAAGAAAAAGAGAAAGAAAGAAAGAAAGAAAAAGAGAAAGAGAAAGAAAGAAAGAAAAAGAAAGAAAGAAAAAGAGAAAGAGTGAGTAAGAAAAAGAGAGAGAGAGAAAGAAAAAAGAGAGAGAGAGAGAGAGAGAAAGAAAGAAAGAAAGAAAGAAAGAAAGAAAGAAAGAAAGAAAGAAAGAAAGAAAGAAAGGGAAAGCTTCATAAGGAAGCTATGTACCTGCGAGAAAGATCGAAGATCTTAAAGTGAGACATGTCGGTCCCCACCGTCAAGTAATTCCCGCAGACGTCCAGAAAGCAGGGACTGCCTTCAGATTCGGAGAAGGACAGCAGCTGCTTAACGGTGCCCTGGGAGAAAAGAAAGCAGAAGGGTTAAACTCGGCCTTGGTGGTCCTTTGTTGTCCTACCCTGACAAAGATCTTGGCAGCTCTTTGCAATTTTTCCTGACCTGACGGATCACCAGGAACTAGGGAATAGGGCGACATGAGAGCAGCCTTCCAGTATTTGAGGGGCTGCCACAAAGAAGAGGGGGTCAAACTAGTCTCCAAAGCACCAGAGGGCAGGACGAGAAACAATGGATGGAAACTGACCAAAGAGAGAAGCAACCTGGAACTAAGGAGAAACTTCCTGACAGTGAGGACAATCAACCAGTGGAACAGCTTTGCCTCCAGAAATCGTGGGCGCTCCATCACTGGAGGTTTTTAAGAAGAGACTGGACAGTCGCTTGTTCGAAATGGTATAGGTCCTCCTGCTCGAGCAGGGGGCTGGACTAGAAGATCTCCAAGGTCCCTTCCAGCTCTATCCTATTCAGAAATAGCCTGCTGATATAAGTAGCCCCCAACTTTCATTTAGCAAATATTCAAAGCTACGATGGAACCGGGGAAAAAAAGCCTTAGGGCAGACCTCACACTTCTCTCCATTGCAATATTCGCCTCGGTCATGTGACAAAAATTTGGCAACCCACGTATTTGTGACAGTTGCAGCATCCTAGTGTCATCTGATTGCCATGGGCAACTTTCCCAGCTGTCTGGGGAAGCCAGATTCACTTAACAACCATGTTACTAACAGTTGCCGTGATTCGCTTAACAACGGGGGCAAGAAAAGTCATAAAATAGGGCAAACTCGATTAACAGCTGCCTTGCTTAGCAATGGAAATGTTGGGCTGACATGATGGTAAGTTGAGGATCACCTGTACTGTTCATTGGCCAGACAATATGGGCAGAACAGTCTTGTTCGAACTACAAACACAGTGGCATAAATCCAAAGCTATTTCCTCAGGCAGGGGGCTGTAACCGCCACCCTTCAATGCCGGCCTGCTTGCTTACTTGCCAGGTGCGAACTTGAACCCGATTCGGCTCAACGGTGTAAAGGTTCTCTTCGTGCATCGCCAGCACAGGGGATTCACAGAGGAAAAAACCTGGAATCATTCAAAGGAACATTCTTACCACAGCCTTGCTCTTTTTAATTTGTACGACTAAGAGCTTCGTCCAAACAGGCTGTAAGTTATACCAGTCCTGAATGCCGTCCACAAAAATAAAATAAAATATTAGTAATCTTTTCTTTTTAAGATATGATAAAGATAATCTTGATGGCCATTTTTTTTTCTGCGAACACGCTGGCGCATATTAAAAAAGGAAACTCTGATGAAACTCTTTAAATATAAGAAGAGGAGATGATCGGCTAGTACCCCTAAACTGCATCCGAAGGAGGTGGAAAAGAAGGTGATGGGATGTGTAGGATAGTTGGAAAGGAGGAAGGAGGAGAGAGGTGTGGGCAGGAGGGGAGGAAGGAAGAGGGAAGGTAGGAAGGTTGAAGGAGTGAGGGGGGATGCAGGGGGGGGAACCACCGATCATTTCTGAAAATATATTGACTAGGTTTTCTTTTTGTTTTTTAATGAGATGCACCACATTTATATTTGTTTATATGTTTATTTGAAAATTAATAAAAATTTGCAAAACTGAAACTCTTTAAATATATAATCATGCACATGCATGCACACATATACATATGGGATATGTATACACACAAACACACATACACACACACACAGCCATTTGTCCGAAATGGTGTAGGGTTTCCTGCCTGAGCAGGGGGTTGGACTCGATGACCTCCAAGGTCCCTTCCAACTTTATTGTTATTATTATATACACACACACACCCATATACACACACAATTAATCCCAGTCCATTTGGGATACATTTTAGTGCAGAAACATGCCTATTTTCACTCTTCTTGCCTCCAAATTATTGACCTTCTATATTCTTTCCTAATAAGCACAAGATATTCCGTTCAAAGCCATCCAACCTACCTGAATTCCGCAAAGTGGCAGCCGAGAGTTCAAAGATAGAAACTTGCTTTCCATTCCAGAATGCTACAGCGTCCTAAAAGGCGGGATCAAAAAGGTCGCTAAAAATCCATTTTTCAAACTAATCCAGACCTCAAAATGTTATACTCCTCCTCTAGGTTCCAGCCAATATATTGTAATTTCTATATGGTGTGCAGCCTTGCTTTCAGAACCATTATCTTCCAGAGGGATTTTTCAAGGACAACAACAGCTCCTGGCTGTATAAAATTGTAGAACTCCGCCTGGACTTAAAATCTTTATCTCCCAGAAATTTAGCAAGCTAAATGCCGCTTATTCGGCTTTGAGGAAGTTAAGTCTATTCATTTCAATTATTATAGTTTTTGTTTTTGCTTCACCTTGCTGGGCACACAGGCAAATTGTTTTTCTAGGTATTGCTATTTTTACTATTTGATTTCTATAGCTGCCCATCTCAACAAGTGGCGGTGTACATATCATTATATGTCATACGCTATATATTATTATACAAGGTATCGTTCTTGTTTACTACCTAGAACACAGAACATCCTAGAACATTATCAGAATTGGAAGGAACATCCAACTTAAATGGAGCATGTGCTCGCCCGCTGCTTGCACAAGTAAGAATGCGGGCATGTGCACTTGTTGGCTGTTTCTGCAGCCCAGTTGCAAACTCTTCACAACCCACAGGTTGAGGGACCCCTGATCTAGTCCAACCCCCTGTTCTATACCATTTCATACAAAAGGCTCCAGACCCCTTTCTTTTATGGTGGCTGATAACATTATCAAATTCGTTTACGCTTCCCTGGATACATACCCTTTGACACATATAGGAGAGACAGCATAGAAATCTTTGGGGGTCCCACATTAATACCCGTTAAGAGGGAACTCCTGAAAATCAGGCTTGTCAGATGCTATATTTTTTTCTATCCTGCTCTATGGAGTAGAGAGTTGGTCTCTGACCGAAGGCCACCTGAAGAGACCAGAAGCATTTGAAATGTGGATTTACAGGCAGCTGTTATGTATAAGCTGGGTTGACAAGATCAGAAATGAGGAGGTGATAAGCCGCCTGGGAAAGCCAAGGGAAATCATCAAAATGATTAAAAAACGAAAATTAGAATATTTCGGACAGGTGATGCGATACCCAGAAAAATACGGCATACTCCATTTAACCCTCCAGGGAAAGATGGAAGGCAAACGAGGTCCAGGCAGAAGAAGAACATCGTGGCTTCAAAATCTAAGGGACTGGTTTGGACAAAACTCAGCAGCACTTTTTCGTGCAGCTGCTGATAAAAACAGGATCGCCAACATGATTGCCAACGTCCAATAACGGATATGGCAGAAGAAGAAGAAGAGGAGGAGGAGGAGGAGGAGGAGGAGGAGGAGGAGGGGGGGGGGAACTCACTGGAATCAACAAGAGTTGAGTTCATGGGAATACATAATGAAATTCACGACCAGTGCCTTAAGACTGGAGTCATCCGATTCATTCTGTCTCTCATCCTCATCCTCAAAATCAAGACAGCGGCTACATTGATCTGATGGAAAAATACCTTGGTTGCCCACACCCCGTTCACGTGCATATCGATACGGAGGTTATCCATCATTTTGCTGCTGAAGCTGGTGATGTTGAACAAGTTGGGGGAAACCTGGACCACTGCCATTTGCTGGTGGAAGTGGGAAGCCATGGCTTGCTCCCTTAGGATGGCTACTGAATTGGTCAGGTTCACTGCCAGCAGATTCTTTTTTGAGCTCCACTTGAAACAGGAGGAAGAAAAATTACATTAGGATTCCCCGGTCAGCTTTAGTGAGAAAACACATTTTGTTTAGAGGCTTGGACACTTTAAAGAAAACATTTTTTTAAAAAAGACAAATATTGATGACTTCTTAGACTTCCTAATCGTATCGCTTCTCATGTTCTCCTTGAGTTACTGTGATGTTGCACTGCACCTTGGAGGGAGGATAACATTTGGGGGAATTAAGCTATTATATATCTGTATCTATATCTATATCATTATCTCTATCATCTCTATCTTTCTATCTCTCTCTATCTCTCTATCTATCTATTTATCATCTATCTATCTATCTATCTATCTATCTATCTATCTATCTATCTATCTATCTATCATCTTCTAATCGATCTATGTATCTATCTTCTAATCTCTCTCTCTCTCTCTATCTTCTAATCTATCTTCTAATCTATCTATCTACTAATCTATCTATCTATTTATCATCTATCTATCTATCTATCTATCTATCTATCTATCTATCTATCTATCTATCTACTAATCTATCTGTCTATCCATCTATCCGTCCATCCGTCCATCCATCCATCCATCCATCCATCCATCCATCCATCCATCCATCCATCCATCCATCTATCACTCTATCTATCTATCTATCTATCTATCACTCTATCACTCTATCTATCTATCTATCTATCTATCTATCTATCTATCTATCTATCTATCTATCTATCTATCTATCTATCTATCTATCTATCTATCTATCTAATATATTTTTAATGGTGTACAGGTAGCCCTCCACTTACAACCATTTGTTTGGTTGAAAAAAATTAATTATGACCGGTCCTCACACTTATAACTATTGCAGCATCCCTACAGTGGCAGGATCAAAATTTGGGCACTTGGCAATCCGTGTGTATTTACAAGAGTTCCAGTCTCCAGGGTCTGGCAATTGCCTTTTCAGATCTTCTCAGCTGGCTTCTGACCAGCAAAATCAATGGGGGAAAGCCAAAGTTGCTTGACAATGTGTGATTTGCTTAACAACCACGGCAAAATACTGGTAAAATTGGATATGACTAACTTAACAACCTCCATGCTTAGCAATGTAAATCCTCATCCCAATTGTGGTTGTAAATCAAGGACTACCTGTAAGTGTGAACAGGTGGCTTTTTCTGGCCAATTCATCGAACTGGTTTTTGATGAAAAGCTTAATTGGTTAGGTAATGAATTCTTGCCAGATAGAAAATCTGTCTAGGGTCTGTTAAATAACTTATAAAGACGAGTGGAAAGGACTGGCAAATCTACAAATATCTACTCTTATAATAATAATAAAAAATCCAGGAGGAAGCATCGAAAATGTGAAATCAATATACCAAAAGGATTGAAACAAAAACGTGTGGTATATATAGAAGGTATAAATGGCAGGGCCAAAAATCTGTCCAGCAACAGTACAGTCAAGCTGGCTGAATCAAATGCATTCTGTTTTGGTTATTTATGTAAGAAGACTGCACAGCCTAACATCATTTGTTATGATTTGTCCACCATAATAGATCAAGAGAACAAGAACAACCATTGTTATGTCTGTTAATTTAAGTGTAGGCTGAACTTAAAAAGCAAACATGACTGTACTTTTCATCTACCAAAGATTAACGCCACATCCAAATAAACACTTCACCCCAGAGTTCCCAACTAGGCATTATCTATTTTCTCACATTTCCAATGACTCTCTAGTTTCCTTTCATTCTTACACCTGATTAGAAGAACTTGCTTTTTTTAAAAATGTATTTATTGAACCAAATTAATATCCTATTACAATCAAACACTCTCGGAGCTCACAATAACAAAGAACGTAATAGCAAAAATTAGGAAAGCGCTTTTAAAAATTCAGTAATATAATACTGGCATCACATCTCCAAAGCCCGCTGGAAAAGTTCTGTTTGCTTTTTTTCTTTTTGGAAGGCGGATAATGTTGGGTAGAAAGGAATCTTCAACTGGGAGGCCCTTCCATCCAATCTTACACATCGTTGTTTTTCAACCTTGGCAATTTTAAGAGGGGTGGACTTCAACTCCCAGAATTCCCCAGCCAGCAGGATCTTAAAGTCGACAAGGTTGAAAAATACAGGATCACAACTGGATTGAACATCTCTCTTGCTCAGCAAGACTATTGTTAAGTGAGTTGGGCCCCATTTTACGTCCTTCCTTGCCACGGCCGTTAAATGAATCACTGCAGTTTTTAAGTTGGTAACGTGGCTGTGAAGTGGATCTGGCTTTCCCATTGACTTTGCTTGTCAGAAGATCGCAAAAAGGGATCACGTGACCCCTGGGATGTTGCAACCGTCCTAAGTACAGGCCAGTTGCCAAGTGCCTGACTTCTGATCATGTGATCGTGGGGATGCTGCAAAAGTTGCAAGTCTATAAGCCAGCCAGCCGTAAGTCACGTTTTTCAAGGGCCGTTGTGACTTCGAACGTCCACTAACTAAGCGAATGTTCATAAGTTGAAGGCTAGCTCTATGTGATATCTCCTAATGACCTCGTGTCTCTAGCGTGCACATCTGTGCAAAAAAGCTTCCCCTGGGTATCCCTGATGGGGGAACTGCACCTTTTTGGCACTTGGGTGTTGCATCTAAGTAAGCCGAAGAGAAGGATCAACTCTGTCTGTGATTTTACCTCGATTTGAATGATGCTCCCCTCAAGCTCAGTGGGTGTCTGAAGTTTCCATCTGTCCTTGCCTTCAAGGGACCAGGTGGTCTGGCTGGAGAATGGCACTTTCCTCCACATAGCTATTCGCCCTTTGTCGGTGCCAGCCGCTAGAAGACCTGCCAAATGGACCATACTAGATCTGGTCAATTATGCCACCAGCAGCGCGCTCACACGCTCTCTTTCTGCCCAACCTAGCCTTTCATCAAAGCTCAGGATGAATAAATAAAAAGAGAGGTGAAGCATAAGAAAAAAACATATCTTAGATGACCAGGAAAGCTACAAGGTTGATTTCCAATGGCTGAAATCATTATCTCCCAGGAATATATAAATATTGTTTATAAGAATCATTTTCCACTTAACGGCAATGTAAGGACCAATTTAAAACAAGCAGTATCTCATTCCAACTTTAGCACCTAAGGCCAGATTTTATGAGCGAAAGGGAGAGAAATAATCTATTGTTATTTCTCTGTTAAGAGAATCTATCAAGAAACAGGAAAGGAACATTCTAATCCACATGGTACTTGTTAAAAGTTTATTCCTTCAACCAGGGTTCTCCAAACTTGGCAACTTTAAGACTTGTGGACTTCAACCTCCAGAATTCCTCAGCCAGCTGAACTCCCCAAGTCTTAAAGTTGACAAGTTTGGAAACCCCTGCTTATAATTGTATGTAGTTTTATTCATTTATAACATAAAATGTGAACATACAAAAGCAAATATTAGGTAGGGGACGACAGTAGAAAAAGGGAAAACAAAAAAGGTGTGAAGAAAAGGGGGGGGGGGGAGAAACAAAAGACACTGACTTCCAACTTTCTGTTGCAGTAAAATCAGACATTAAAATCAAATCTCAGCTTTTTACATTTCTATAGTAGTATGCACTAGCCATTTCTGTATCGGCAAATCAGTCTAATGGGTAAAAACCCAAAATCGTGATATCATTTTTTCCCCCACCTCAAGCACAAAGTCCAGAAGCGGTTTCCAAGTAGAAACAAAGGGACTTGTGTTCTTTTTTTCGATCAGCACAGTCAGTGTGACCATCTTTGCTAATTCCATCAGCTGGAAACCTCTGCTTTAAACGTTATTCTTCCACAACGCATCTCTCTCTCTACATATAAATGCTTTTTGGGCTGTGTATATTTTGTCTTCAAGCTGTCCCTTATCAATGATAGTGGGACTAACTTCCGTAGAATAAATTACCTCTGAAATCAGTGAGATTTTTTTTAAAAAATGGGTAATCGAGATGCTAAAAGTCAAAGCAACCCCATCTTTTGTACCTTTGGCATTGCAATATGACACACAATGGACACATTCTCCGATTTCAAAGCCTAGCTGCTCATCCAGAGAAAGGACGTAATTCTCACCCCGTTCCAAATCCCAGAACCTATAGAGAAGGTACAAGAAATATAGTTAATAAGGGACAGGGCTTTAAAAAAAAAAACACCAAAAGGCTTTATCGTAAAGCCTGATGCTGCTCCTATTTGCTTTTCTGCCTTGCCTTGGCAGTTTGCCATCTTCTTGTTTTGCATCAGGCTCTAAGACTGTGAGAAACCCTTTGATTCACTTAAGACTACTCTAAAAATAATCACAGCAATGGCTAAACGGTACCCATCCAATAGTTGGCCTACTGCTCAAGAGGTGAAGCAGGAGGAGAAAGATGTCAGTCCTTTAATTTAGACAGATATTTCTTGTACAAAGTTCTTCATGTCTATTCTCTCAACACTGCTCCTAACAGATCTGTGACTTTAAAGCCGGGGTCTTCAAACTTGGCCCTTTTATGACTTGTGGACTTCAACTCCCAGAATTCCTCAGCCAGGCACGCGTGCCTGGCTGAGGAATTCTGGGAGTTGAAGTCCACAAGTCATAAAAGGGCCAAGTTTGAAGACCCCGGCTTTAAAGTCAATTTGATAGTCATTTTCTCCAAGCCAAGATACAGCAAGCTTGTGTCACAGGAAAAGACTTGAAGCAATGAATTCCCAGGTTATGCTTTTTCTATAGCAACTATTTACATATTGACTCTCTGGAAAGAATGGTTTATGATCAAGCTATAGAGTCCAAGCAGGTAGGATCTGAGTACTGGTTTCTTTTCCTGTTTATCCATCAAGATTGAGAAATGCTTATCTGAAAAAGTAACACAACTATGCACTAGCGACAACCTATGTGAAGCCACAGCATTATGCCTCACCCCGGTTCTATCTGACCACAAGGACGTATAAATTCAATTCAATTAATCAGTTCAATTCAGTTTCATTAGCAAATTTCTGACTTTTTATCTATCTATCTATCTATCTATCTATCTATCTATCATCGTCTGTCTGTCTGTCTGTCTGTCTGTCTGTCTGTCTGTCTGTCTGTCTGTCTATCTATCTATCTATCATCTCTCTCTGTATCTATCTATCTATCTATCTATCTATCTATCTATCTATCTATCTATCTATCTATCTATCTATCCATCCATCCATCCATCCATCCATCCATCCATCCATCCATCCATCCCTCATATTTAGGAATCGCCTATCTCCCTCACAGAGGGAGGGAGATTGCATTTGAGGCAGAAGTCATGGTTTCAAAGAAACTCTGGTTAACTACTAAGCAAGCCACTTTAGCCATATTTTACCTAGTTGTGTAAGAAAAAAGTGGTAGTGAGTTCCCAGGACTTCTTACAGGCACGTCTTTGCTCTTAAATCTAATGCAGCATTAGGAATACTTCAAGGTGATCCAGGCACCTCCTTCCGTTATATATTCAAGATGGACAGCATTTAATATTTATTTGTTATGTATATGTAGGAGTGTGGCTCTAGACATATGTTGTATATAGTATGTTTAGGTGTGTGTCGTGTGTGTGTTTCACTTTGAGAGCGGCCAACTAAATTTCATTTTTGATGTGTGTGCCCACAGTAAAAAAAAATGACCATAAAGGTTATCTTACCTCTTATCTTATCTAAAAGACCCAATCATTTTCAAAAGACCCAATCATTTTCTTACCTAAGAAGGGGTTCGCCTGTCGCAGTGATAAGGAGGCTATGATCAATCAAAATGATATCAGCAGGATGACTCATCTTTCCACTCAACTTGACCTGGCAACAAAAAGCATTCAGCGCACAAAGTTATTGAGTTTAGTCCTCTTTCAAAGATCGTGGTCCAGATAAGCAATGTGCACTGAAATAAAAGGGGCTGACCATTTTAAAAAGCGGTTCAAGGTCTTTGCTCATAAATTATTTTGATTCTTCAATTCCAGGTATGTGTGATCAGTGGAGCTCCAGGGTCCTTGAGGCAGTTTGTAGACTAGCTAGAAGCCACAATAATTAACTTTTTGGGTAAGCATCGTATCACACAGTCTACTTCCTTACCTTCAGAAGTTCTTCTGCTTCTCCTTCAGGAGAAATTTTGTGAAGGGATAAGAGGAGAGCCTCCGTTATTACTACCAAGACGTCTCTTTCCATGAACAACATTTTTTGGACTGAGGTTTCTATAATCAATGCTTGGCTGGTCTTTCCTCTTTCACTCACATAATGCACAGTTCCTGCAATGGAAACAATTGTGTAGTTAACTCGGCCCTCGAATGAAGCTCGGGCCATCCCAAATTTGGGATTTGAGGGTAAAAGAGTAATCTCAAAGTGAGTGGAATCAACCTATGCGTTTTTCAAAATGATGGAAAGAAACCGAATGGAAGCAGCAACGTGTGATGAAGGTTACAGTTATGGGAGACTGCGAGTTCAAGTCCTGCCTTAGCCATGAAAGCCAGCGAGGTGATCTTGGGCCAGTCACCAGGAGATGGTGAGTTTTAGTCCCATCTTAGGCCTGAAAGCTGGTTGGTGACTTTGGGCCAGTCCTTCTCTCTCGGCCCAATCCACTTCACAGTGTTGTTGTGGTGGGGGAAATAGGAGGAGGAAGATATATTGGGTCTGTTCACTGCCTTGAGTTATTTGAAAATAATTTTTTAAAAAAACGAAAAAGACTAAAAATAACGACTAAAAATAAAAGGGAGCCAAGAACATATAGGTTAAAAAGAATCCACAGAGACCCTACAGAAAGTGGCATTATTCACTGTCAATATTAAGAGTGTGAACAAATAAGAAATTACACGTAACAAATGCAAAGAACGCTCTCTCTGTAATGTTTACCAAAAGGGGGCGCTGTGAGCTTCCAAATTAACCGCCACAAGAATTTCATGGGGAGTAAAGTTTATTTAGCTGGTGGCTCAATCAGCCAGATGTTCAGAGAGGGGGTTGGCATTTTTAATCCACCTATGAAGTCCTTCCCAAGGACCTCAGAGAGGCAGATGTTGATGCTTTATGGTGTTCGAAGTATCCTGGCAGGATGTCAGCTGTTCCAAGTCAAGCTGCCTTTCGTAATTGACAGACGGTGAATTTGTCAATGTCGGTGGTGCTTGGGTGGCATTGTTTGGGGATTTACAATAAAGATTATAAACAATAGGCAATATTAATGTACTGTATAATATGAAGTATTGTATAAGTAGGCCTCAAAGGTCCTTGGTGAGGCTTGTAGAAATCACAAGAGTTAACTTTTTCCTAAGTAATCCTAAGTAAGGAAGCCTTTAAATATTTATACAAATATAAACCATACAACATAAATGCGAAGAGTAAAGACCACCCTATACATTCCTGTTTTTAAAAGTTGCTTTGGCCTTACCGTCGATCACGCTAACAAAGAAGGACAGGCCTTCCTGGGGTCCCATTTTGAGAGGCAGCCCCATTCCAGATTTTCTCCAGTTAAACATATCCAGGGCCTTCTCATCACCGCTCACTGCAGCTTTGGCGAGCTGGACCAAATCTCTGCAGGTTAAGAACAAGACATCTGAGATGTGGCACTCTTTGGATTTACAAGACTACCTGTAACTACCTGTTACAGGTAGTCCTCGACTTACAGCCGTTCATTTAGGGACTGTTCAAAGTTACCACAGCTCTGAAAAAAGTGGCTTAGGACTGGGTCCTCGCACTTATGGCGGTCACAGCAGCCCTTAAAGTCATGGGGTCAAAAATTCAGGGGCTTGGCAACTGGGCCTGTATTTAGGATGGTTGCAGTGTCCCAAAGTCACTGTTTTGCAACCTTTCCAGCTGACTTCCGACAAAGTCAACGGGGGAAGCTGGATTCACTTAACAACTATGGCAAAAATGGTCATATAACTGGGGTGACTCACTTAACAACCAATTTCCCTAGCAATGGAAATTCGGGTCCATAGCTGTGGTTGTAAGCCAAAGACTATGTGTAAAGAAAAATCACTTCTTAATGGTAAGAAGTTTTTCCTCACCCCAGTCTAGAGCACGCCTAGATGTTTTTCAATATTAAAGGCTTTTTTCCCGATGGGCACTTAAGGCATCGCACAAAAGGAAACAGGAGGCCTCCATTGGATTTTAAACAAATGCTGTGCTGCAAGTAACAACGTGATTTTTTTAGACAGTTTAGGGAGGCCGACGGAAAGAGGATGAAAAAAATAAAAGGTTTCAATCTGAGGATGAGGCTCTAAAAACAGATCGTGCTAAGGAACGGTTTAAAAGAAAGCACGAAACAGAGGGAAGAAAGTGGCCCTTGATTCATCACCCATACTACATATCGAATTTTTGCTCCGGTGGAACTTAGTATTAACGGACAAAAATTCTGGCCAAAGTTTCATACTTACTCTCCGGGAGGAGGTGGGCGAAAAATGCAGAAATTAAGATGTTTTCCATACTCGTGTTTTAACAAAGGGGGACCTTGGACTCTCCCCCGCTGATCCATCCGCCACAAGACAAGAACCCCCAGCTGCAAAAGAGAGAAAACTCGATTAAGGTTTTCATATGGACCAGTTCTGCCATTTGCGGTCTTGATTTGTCTTGAGGTGAGCTCATAACTTCATCGATAACTTGATATGGAGAAGCAAGTTCTCAATAATTGGCTGTACATTAAGAACGCTAACCAAGACATGTCAAATGCCAATCCTCACCATCTTTTTAGAACAAAACAGCTCATGATTTTCTCGTCTCATACGCCAAGGGAATCCGGTGTATAGGTAATCCTCGGCTTATGACTGCAACTGGAACCAGAATTCCCGTTACTAAGCAAGGCAGAGGTTAAGTGATGTGGGCTGATTTCAGTTCTCTTTTTTGCCACGGTTATATGAATTACTCCAGTTGTTAAGTGAATCACACGGTCACTAAATGAACAGCAACAAAGAACGGATGTTTCTGAATTTTTAAAAATATAGATAATCCTGGTAATGGGTCACTCAAGTCACTCAAGTCACTCAAATCTTCGGTTTGAAGGCTGGCAAAATAGAATAAAAAGCCTTGGAAAAACGTACCTGACGTTTTCTCCCTTTATAGGTAAATGAAAAATCCTCATCTACAAAGGAAATTTCCATAGCCTGTGTTAACGAATAATAGATAAGACTATGCATTGATGTGCTATTCAAAAACCCTTTTGATTTTGCTACTTACTTTATCTCCAGAAACAAGACGTGTTCCATTGGTACTCCAGTTCAGGATTGAAATATCAGCATTATGGTTGGAGGGCACAGCATGATGCTCCTTGTCTTGTTTGTTCACTACTACCACATCTCCCATCTCGCAACCCACGGCCACAATCAGTTTGGAGGGGTGCCAACTGAGATACGTGACCCGGAAGTTTCTTTCCAAGTGTGCGTCACCCACATACTCTCCCTGGGGGAGGAAAAAGGGAAAAAGAGAACAGCAGATAGGTAAGTAGATAGGTAGGTAGGTAGATAGATTAAATAAATAGATAGGTAGGTAGGTAGGTAGGTAGGTAGGTAGGTAGATAGATTAGGTAGGTGGGTGGGTAGATAGGATAGATAGATAGATAGATAGATAGATAGATAGATAGATAGATAGATGATAGATAGATAGATAGATAGATAGATAGATAGATAGATAGATAGATAGATAGATAGATAGATAGATGTAGGTAGGTAGGTAGATTAGATAGATAGGTAGGTAGGTAGGTAGGTAGGTAGATTAGATAGAAAGGTAGGTAGGTAGGTAGATATAGGTAGGTAGGTAGATTAGATAGATGATAGATAGATAGATAGATAGATAGATAGATAGATAGATAGATAGATAGATAGATAGATAGATAGATAGATAGATAGATAGATGTAGGTAGGTAGGTAGGTAGATTAGATAGATAGATGTAGGTAGGTAGGTAGATTAGATAGATAGATAGATAGATAGATAGATAGATAGATAGATAGATAGATAGATATAGACAGAGAGACAGAGACAGACAGAGAGACAGAGAACAGCATATTTTATATACATATATTCATACATACATACATATATATGCTAAACAGGTGTTTCTCAACCGTATCAACTTTAAAAGAGGTGGTCTTCAACTCCCAGAGTTCCTCAGCCACTATCAGCTGATCAAATCCTTCGATACATCTCTGACTCTCAAATGTATGTACTATGCAATTAATGCAGGTGCCTAGCACTTGATTAGCCCAGGACACAACCATTAGTTTTTCGAACACTTGCCTGTTCTTGAAAAATATCCACACTACCGCCAGAGTTTGCATTAATGGATGCAACCGCCAAAAGTGGCTGAAGACGGTGCCATCTGATGTGGGTGTGGGGTCCACAGGACTCAAGCGCTTCTATTCGATGATCAATGTATACCGCCATAGTCAGATGCCTATGAGACAAAGTATTTATTGTATAATCAGCTGAAGAGAGACAAATATGAGACCGAAAGGCAAATTATATGTTTAAACATAAATTGAACAAATACAAAATGGATTTTCTTTGCACGTGGAAGGAATTAATCCCACCCACTATTTAGCTCTTAATATATTTTTTTTCTTTCCCTATCCTCCCACCAGGAGCAGAAGGGAAAATGCACAGAGGGCAAATTCTTGCTGTCCACCATTTACACGCAGGTTAAGAGTGCTCCAATTTGCTCCAAGTGAAATGTGGGAGAAATGAAGGCTCTGGGCAAGCAAATTATACAAATCATGATCCATCGTGGGAGTGCTGTTCCTGTTCAAAGCTGTTCAGAATCCTCTTTGGTGAGTGGCCATATCAAATCAAATCAATTAAATTAAACGTTGGAGTTATTTGCATTTGAAAGGCGAGGAGATGGAGAAGTAGACATTTACATTGCCAGCTATATCATTTTAAAAAAACCCTAAATTCTCCTATCAGTCAACTCCCCAGTCTAGCCTATAGCCCCATGATTTCCTGATGGTGTCTTGTCCGAATACTAACTACCATAGATTTGATTTGTCTATGGAGATTCTCAGTCATCCAGGTCATGGTTGTCCCAAAGGTGCTTTTTCACGAGGCAACTGGACTTTCTTTTTTTTTCTTTGAAGACCTTTCGCTTCTCATCCAAGAAGCTCCTGGAGAGCTGAAGAAGCTTCTTTGGATGAGGAGCGAAACGTCTTCAAAGAAAAACAAGAAAGTCAGAGAGTTAAAGGAGGTTATAGATATGCTATTTTAATAGTTGATTAATGTTAGTTAGAGTATGATTATTTTATTGTTAACCCTGTGATTGGCACTGGGAAGGGAGGGGGGAGTGGAAGGATGGGTTGGGGGAAGGGGGGATTTATATTGTAAAATTTTATAAAATTTTCAATAAAAAAGAAAAACAAGAAAGTCCAGTTGCCTCTTGAAAAAGCGTCGTAGATCCGATTTGCATTTATTTCAAATTAATGGTGACGGGCAACTAAAAATCACACACGAGCACACCTAGCAATTTTATTTACTTATTTTATTACATGTTTTTATGCTTGCACACCTCTCTTATACAAAGGATAATACAAAGTAGGAAATACACCAACACAAACATTGCACAGGCTCTGCCCCACATCTGGATCTGCACCTTTAGCCAGTGGTTTTCTCAACCTTGGCCACTTGAAGACGGGTGGACTTCAACTCCCAGAATTCCCCAGCAAGCCTTGCAGGCTGAGGAATTCTGGGAGTTGAAGTCCGCTCCCACCCACCAGATGCCACGGTGAAGAACCTTTTGCTTTAAAACCTGGCGAAGGGCCCCAAGGAGGGTTGATGGGGATGGGGGGGAGGGAGGGGGAATTAAAACAAGATTAATTAATTAGCTCTCACTTGCTGATTTCCTCCCCCCACCGCCAAAATCGAGGATCTCCTGTATGGCAGTTAAGGCGATCGCGACTGCGTGACAATAACGCGGCTATGGGGGAGGGTCGCCCTGGCCTCCCCCTGGGATGTTTTCCCGACGTGGCAGCCCAGGGATCTCCTGGTGGCCTCCCACCCATGCTTCCACAATAGCCACGCTTTCCCTTCGGGAGGGGCCCAGGCTCTTTGGAGCGCCAGCTGGGCCGAAGGGCTTCCTTTTCGCCCCCTCCCCCCCGCTCGGAAGCAGCGAAGCGGATCCCCCAGCCAACCCCCCGACTTCGTCGCCTTACCTGCTCCCGGCCCGGCCCGGCCCCGATCGAGGCCTGCTGGGCCGATTCAAGGAGAGGCTTCGCGTTGCCCTTGGCAACGGCGAGCGCCCCGCCACGGAAATACCCGAAGGGGAAGCGAAGAGAGCCGAAGGGGAGGCTGGGCGGACCTTGCCGAGCGCTTCCGCGCATCGCTTGTTGGAAAGCGGTGGGAAGAGGCGCTCTTTGGTTTGCAACGCGATTTTTTTCTCTCTCTCTCTTCTCCCCATTTTGGACTTTCTGCCCGAACAAGTAATAAAACACACACACACACACACACAAACACACGCGCATCGCTTGTTGGAAAGCGGTGGGAAGAGGCGCTCTTTGGTTTGCAAAATAGGGTTGCCAGGTGTCCACTATTTGAGTGGACAGTCCACTTTTTTCACATTATGTTCACTACTTTTTTTCACAAAATAGTGGACATTTTTTTTATTCAAAAGCTTTATGATGAAATGGTACTTAATTTAAAGCTGTACAGTCTGCTTTTTTTACTACTTAACCTCCCCCCCCGCTTGTCCACTATTTTTTGGAAGCAGACCTGGCAACCCTATTGCAAAACTATTTTTTTTTCTCTCTCTCCCCCCCATTTTGGACTTTCTGCCCGAAAAAGTAATAAAACACAAACACACACACAAACACACGCGCATCGCTTGTTGGAAAGGAGTGGAAAGAGGCGCTCTTTGGTTTGCAAAGCTTTTTTTTTTTTCTCTTCTCCCCATTTTGGACTTTCTGCCCGAACAAGTAATAAAACACAAACACACACAGAGTGTTGCTGTAGGTTTTGTTCTCAAAAAGCCAAGGCGATTCATTCTTGGCTTGTTTGAGCAGAGGTCCCCAACCTTGGCCACTTTATGACTTATGGACTTCAACTCCCAGAATTCCTCAGCCAGCCATGCTGGCTGAAGAATTCTGGGAGTTGAAGTCCACAAATCATAAAGTGGCCAAGGTTGGCGAGCCCTGTGTTTGAGAACCAATCTCGATAGAGGGTTGTCTTTCTGTGCTGAAATGTCCCTCTCGGCTGGCGGTATTTTATTTACAAAGAAATGAATATTTACAAATATTTGTAAATACTTGTCCTATTTGTAAATATTGCAAATGTTTACAAATAAATAAACCCCCTCCTGAATTTATAGTTCCTCTTTCGAGGATAACGGAGAGCCTGGGGTCTCGTTGATGTCATTCGTTTTTTTAGAATTAACCGTAGCTTTCATGGAATGAAGTCTGCTTTAATTGCGAACAGATACGCATCGCGGGAAAAACAAAAAATAAGATCGCAACCTTTTAAATCGCTCCCCCTCTTTCGGCATTGGTCCCCTGCCTTGCCCGTCCAATAGAAACCAGCCAATTGACGCTCCCCAAAGTGACCTAGTCCCCTCCCCTTTCTGAATCCCCGCCTATCCCTTCCTCGGAGCCAGTCGCTCCTGCCTCCACCACTTCCGGCCCCGCTCGGCTGCCCTTCCAATCTTCTCTCTTTCCCCCCCCCACCTCCTTTTTCCTCATCCCGCCTCTCTTCGCGCGCTGGGCTGCGCCGTGTCATCTGTCGCGCGCGGCGCTCCGATTGGCCACTTTTGCCTCCGCGGCCTCGGGCTCCGCCTCCCCTCCTTCCGACGCTGACCAATGAAAACATTTGTTTGGGAGTGGGGGGGGAAAAAAACCCCTCTTTCTTCCCCCCTTCCTCCGCCCACCCTTTTGCTTCCGCCTGTCTCTTTCTTCCTTTCTTTCTCCCCGCCCCCTTGGAGGCGTGGCCTGCCGAGCTTCTCCGCTGGGCCTGCCGGGCTCGCGCGCCGGGCTCCCTCCGATCTCTCTGCGCGGCGCGCGTGGCGGCGGCGGCGGCAACGAGGAAGCGGAAGCAAGCGGGGAGCTCGCGAGCCGGGCGGCGGCTGGCGTTGCAAGGCGCCCCTTTGCCGAGGAGTTGCGGGGCGGAGAAGCCGCCAGGGCGCCCAACGGCCTGCGCGCTGCCGGGATCGCTTGCCCTGCCGCCGCAGCTACCGGAGGCTTCCCATGCATCAGGTAGGACCAGGCCCGGTGGCTCGGATACCCGGTAGGGGCGTCTCCCCGCCGGCCCAGCCCGGTCTGTAAAAGCCACGCTGGGCTGCAGCCCCGCCAAGGGCTTGCAATGCAAATCGGCCCCGGGGAATTGACTTGCGCGTGATCTCGCTTTGCAAGGGTGGGTGTCCCGCCGGCGGGGCGCAGAGAGGAGTTTTATGGGGAACCCCCCCCCCTCCCGAGGCTGGGTTTCCTAGGAGAGGAACGGTAGAGGCGAGGCAGCTTGCGCGGTGGTCGGCTTGCAGCGAGGAAGCGAAGGAGGGGCGTTCGGGTTAGGAAAGCAAAAAAAAAAAGGGGAAGGTGTCATCGGAGGGGTGGGAATAATCGAGCCGTGGCGGGAGTAAATATTGACCGACGTAGTAGTAATGTCGCTGAGCAGAGGTGTCGGTGCAATGGGGAAAAAATGAATGGGGAGGGATGGAAATCTGACAGTCATGCCAAAATGGGAGGGGGATGATCGGATAAAATTCAATTGTTTTTATTATTATGCAATTGGGCATGTTGAAACGGGCCAGTGGCCCCCCCAGTCTGCTGACAATACCACTTTCCCATCTGAGATGTCCTCTCTTTACTTGATCAAATTAAACAGAACATACTGATTATTTCAGAATATCTTTGATATCTTATGACCCTCTGCTTCTGTGTAACTGGGCAGCCAGTCCTGCTTAATCCTTGATTATCATGCTAGATAGTTTTCCTGCGGCCATTTTTGAAACTATTCAAGGCTGAACTGAGTCTATCCCCCCCCCAAACGAATAACATGTACACCAAGAATGTACATTTTAAGTGCACAAAAATGTACACTGAAAAGTTTTGCCTTCTAATGTTTTTTGGCGTTAAGTTCCAGTGAAGTTAAGGAGCTTCCATCTTGGTATCCAGTTTTGAAAATGGGCATAAAATAGAATGTTCTGTATTCAAGTTCTCTTAAGTGAACCTTATGAAAGGAATGTAGGTGCACTGTTTTCTTGAAAGATTATATTCTTTGGAGGTGCTGAATCTTTTGGCTAAAAGCAACTTTCTATGACTTGTTCTTGTTATGTTGGTGACTAGCCCTTCGCTGATGGATATTGAGTTGTAATTTCTAATCTTAAAATATCCTTATGTGTGTTTAGTGCTAAATAAGGACCACTTAATTCTCAATATACCCTGAAGAATGCTTAATTTTTCGGAGTATATTTCCAAACGCCTTGATATTTCTATGAACTGTGATAGATGTTAAAAGGTACTTTGCTTTGCCTCTTTTCCAGGGTTATTCTCTGCATGCATTTTTTGGTTTAAAAAAAAAAGAGGAGGGGTGGTTTATGTAGTTCATACCACTTTGCAGGCTTCCAGCCTATAGGGTTAGGGGTTTTGTGTGTGTGTGTGTGTGTTTGTGTTTAAAACCAATAACCCAGGGATGCAATTGTCAAAAAAAATATATGTTACTATCAAGTCTGGATTACCCCTTTGATGAAAACCTGGCAAGCGAATAGCCCCTGCTTTGTAAAGATGGCACAAGGAACCCTGGACTCTAAAGATTGGGCAGCCATTTAGGGAAGGGGGGGAGGGAGGGAAAGTGTTATATCCTGCAAATAAAAAATAAAAAAAATCTGAAGTCCTTTAACCCACCCTAAGTTGCCCAGCCCCCCCAACCCCAACCCCCAATCAATAAAGCTTCTCTCCAGCTTTCCAATACAACAAGTAACTCCACTAAAGGGGTGAGGTGGGAGGCAGACGCAGAGATCGGGCGGGCACCGGCCCTCCTAGGCGGGTGTACCTTCTGCACCCCCCAGACCCACCCCCAAACCTCCCACCCCACCCCACCCTCCACGCTTTTGTCCGCGCCTTCGCCTCCCTCCCTTGCAAAAAGGCGCGTGCCTTTTTTCTCCCCCCACCCCTTGCAAGTGCGCGTCCGGAAAGGGGNGGAATAATCGAGCCGTGGCGGGAGTAAATATTGACCGACGTAGTAGTAATGTCGCTGAGCAGAGGTGTCGGTGCAATGGGGAAAAAATGAATGGGGAGGGATGGAAATCTGACAGTCATGCCAAAATGGGAGGGGGATGATCGGATAAAATTCAATTGTTTTTATTATTATGCAATTGGGCATGTTGAAACGGGCCAGTAGCCCCCAGTCTGCTGACAATACCACTTTCCCATCTGAGGTGTCCTCCCTTTGCTTGATCAAATTAAACAGAACATACTGATTATTTCAGAATATCTTTGATATCTTATGACCCTCTGCTTCTGTGTAACTGGGCAGCCAGTCCTGCTTAATCCTTGATTATCATGCTAGATAGTTTTCCTGCGGCCATTTTTGAAACTATTCAAGGCTGAACTGAGTCTATCCCCCCCCCCAAACGAATAACATGTACACCAAGAATGTACATTTTAAGTGCACAAAAATGTACACTGAAAAGTTTTGCCTTCTAATGTTTTTTGGCGTTAAGTTCCAGTGAAGTTAAGGAGCTTCCATCTTGGTATCCAGTTTTGAAAATGGGCATAAAATAGAATGTTCTGTATTCAAGTTCTCTTAAGTGAACCTTATGAAAGGAATATAGGTGCACTGTTTTCTTGAAAGATTATATTCTTTGGAGGTGCGGAATCTTTTGGCTAAAAGCAACTTTCTATGACTTGTTCTTGTTATGTTGGTGACTAGCCCTTCGTTTATGGATATTGAGTTGTAATTTCTAATCTTAAGATATCCTAATTTGTGTTTGGTGGTAAATAAGGACCACTTAATTCTCAATATACCCTGAAGAATGCTTAATTTTTCAGAGTATATTTCCAAACGCCTTGATATTTCTATGAACTGTGATAGATGTTAAAAGGTACTTTGGTTTGCCTCTTTTCCAGGGTTATTCTCTGCATGCATTTTTTTGTAAAAAAAAAAAAGAGGAGGGGTGGTTTATGTAGTTCATACCACTTTGCAGGCTTCCAGCCTATAGGGTTAGGGGTTTTTTTTTGTGTCTGTGTGTGTGTTTAAAACCAATAACCCAGGGATGCAATTGTCAAAAAAAACGTCACTATAAAGTCTGGATTACCCCTTTGATGAAAACCTGGCAAGTGAATAGCCCCTGCTTTGTAAAGATGGCACAAGGAACCCTGGAATCTAAAGATTGGGCAGCCATTTAGGGAAGGGGGGGAGGGAGGGAAAGTGTTATATCCTGCAAAAAAAAATAAAAAAAAAATCCGAAGTCCTTTAACCCACCCTAAGTTGCCCAGCCCCCCTTTTAAGCCCCCCACCCCAAACCCCCCCCAATCAATAAAGCGTCTCTCCAGCTTTCCAATGCAACAACAAGTAAGTCCACTAAAGAGGTGAGGTGGGAGGCAGACGCAGAGATCGGGCGGGCACCGGCCCTCCTAGGCGGGTGTACCTTCTGCACCCCCCAGACCCACCCCCAAACCTCCCACCCCACCCTCCACGCTTTTGTCCGCGCCTTCGCCTCCCTCCCTTGCAAAAAGGCGCGTGCCTTTTTTCTCCCCCCACCCCCCTTGCAAGTGCGCGTCCGGAAAGGGGAGCTTGCTCTTTAGAAAGGTAGTGGTGGTGCAAAAAAAAAAAAAGAGAAGAGAAGAGTTGGAAATCTTTGCACTCCCCCAGTCCGGGAAAGAGAGAGAGAGAAGGAGGGGGAGACACACACACAGACACACTCACAAAAACACACTCACACACACCCAGAGGCACAGGCAGGCGCACACCCTCGCTCGCAAGGAGAGGAGGAGAAACTGCCGCCGCCGCCGCGGCTGCTGGGTTGCTGCAGCGAGGAACATGAATGCCCCCCCTTCGGGAGCTCGCCTCGCCTCGGCTCCATGGTGAGGAGAAGGAAGAGCCCCCCCGGCCCGGCAGACCCGCACCATGGGTAGGACGGGGCGGCGGGGGTCGCTCGGGGGGCCCCCCCACCCAGCCGCGCGCTCCGGCCCGGCCGCCTCTCCTTTCTCCTCCTCCTCCTCCTCTGCCTGCCTTGCCCAGCCACTTTCCCGACTTGGGCCGCTTCCCGGGCTCGGGGGGCTCCGCCGTAGGACCCGGGGCCGCCCAGGCGTGCGAAGCGGGGTCCCCTGGAGCCCGGCGGAGGGTCCCCCGGGGCCCTCCTCTGCCCCCACCCGCCCGAGGGCCGCGCGCTCGGGTCGGGACGAGAAGGGGGATCGAGTGGCAAACAACGGCGGCCATGTTGAGCGGAATGTCTGCGGCGAAACTTCTCCCCGCGGGGGGGAGAAAGGCGGGCGGGGGGCGGCCGGGCTGGGCCTGGGGAGACCCCGGCCATGGGGGGCCACCCCCGCGGGGCGGGGGGAAGCCCCGACCACCGGGCCCGGGGCTTGTTTTGGGCCACCAGCCTCATCCTCCTCCTCTTCTTCTTCCTCCTCCTCCTCTTCCTCTTCTTTTTCCTCCTGCCAGGATGACAGTCAAGCTGGGCGACCACAGCAGCGGCGGGGCCCCCGAGGAAAGCCTGAGGAAGCTGGGCAAGCGAGGAGCCGCCGCCGGCGAGGAAGAGGGGTGCCCCGAAGGAGCAGGAGGAGGATGTGGAGGAGAGGGGGCCAAGAAAGGCCCGGAGGAGGGGACCCCTCCGGGAGAGACGGCCAACGGGGGTCCCTCCTCGGGAGTCCCACCGGCGTCGCCCCCGGCTGCCACCGCCTCCTCCTCCTCGGGCCCACCGGCCGCGCCTGGCCACGACCAGCATCACTTCCTCAGGTCCAGCGTCCGGCCGCAGAGCAAGAGGCTGAGGAAGGACCCCCAGGCCTCCTGTGGGGCGGCCGTCAGCGGAACGGGCAGCAGCGGCGGTGGGGGCGGCGGCGCTGCCCCCACGGGAAAAGGAAAAGGTGGGTGACACAGGCAGACCACCCTCCTTCACGCCAGACCATCACCCCTCGCAGTGGTTAGTTAATCCAGAAAGAATCGGGGTGAAGCCACGCTTGGGAGTGGACCCCGAGTGTGTATTATGGGGGTACAGGTGATTCGAAGCATCATTCGTCAGGGCTGGTCTCATTTTCTTGCACCCCGAATTGATCTAGGGGCGGGGGCGTCAGATCCACCCAGAAGACTTGGATTCAAAATGGGAAACCGTTTAAATTGGGAAGGTTGCTTGACTACATACGCTATTCCTCCTGCTTGAATTTTTTTTAGCGGTTTTGTTTTTTTATCTTCCTTCAATACTCAAGGTTTAGGTTTTCCCCACTCTCTGGTCTGCATGGGTCAAGAATGTAATTTATTGATGACTGTTGATAATCAGTCTTGATCATCTTAGAAGCAGCCTCCTTTAAAAGCCTCAATCTGATCTTTTTGATTGCTGCAGGATGGTTGAGTTTTAGCAGCTGGCGTTCCTGGGCACGGTCTGGTTCTTAGTCAACAAATAAGTTGCGATGTTTTCTTGTCCATATTATTTTTGATGCTTTTTGAGTCGTGAAAATAAGGCCGTTTGAATGGATCTGACGTCTCCAGACTAGGAATCTCTTGATCCGTTCTGCATTGACTTTAACTGATGGATTGTATAAATTTCTGAACTAGAATCAACTGAGTTAGCGGTTTTTTGGGTAATCACCGATATTAGCATTTGATTAAAGTGCAATTGTAACACGTTTCTATGGATTTAATGATTCTGGCTTTGTTTTATTAACCAGTTGCATTTATGGAAATGGAGATCCTTAAGACTTTCTTAAAAAATATTTTTCCTGATGAACTAGTATATTGGATGGGAGAAATAAATAACTATATAGATGTCATTAGAGATGGTTTGTTTAAGACAGCCTTTCCCAACTTTGAACTTTTTTTTATAAATCAAAATTACAGAATCTTTAATATTTCTTGGCAAGATGGCAGAAAATGTTGACGCCACATTAGATTTGACATCAATCTTTTTTGAAGAACAGGTAGTGGGGTATTTTCAACATAATGCTGTGACTTGTGGAGTTTTGTCCTCAAAACTGGATTGGGTGAATCCATCCAGTTGTCAGTTATTTAGTGAAGGACAAATATATCATACTTTAACATATACATTAAACCTATCAAAGCCCTGTATAACTTCAGCATTGTTTCAGCAAAGAAATACTTTGTTGGTTTACCTTTTTTTACCCCTTGCATTACTATAAACATTTGTGCCCACACTCACATGGTGTAAACATGTATTTAGTGAAAGTGAAATAAACATCACAAAGTACGCTTTGCATTAGCAGTTTATAGGAAGTGTTACTTCCTTATACTGATCTGTCTTTTTGGAATGCAATATTTTATTTAGATGTACATTTTGATAACCTGAGATTGACATATAGTTATTAATTTCAAAAGAAGCATTTGTCATATTCAGCATCCTAGATTGATCTAGTTCTTATAGTTAGAGAAAGATGTTTCTGACTACATGGACGTGGACTTCAATTCCCAGAATTCCTCAGCCAGCATGCCTCTTTACAGAGAATTGTGGGAACGGAATCCTAAGTGAAAAACACAGGTATAGACTAATGCAGATATTTTTTCCAGAGTGCTGGATGGAAAATTTCCATTTGCTACATAATCCTAATAACCAGAGCCTAAATTTTGAGTTTTCTGCAAGCAGAGTCTGTACTGCACAATTAAATTCAATAAATTTCTGCAGAACTCATCTTGGAATGAACGGAAATTTTACCATACTGTGGAGTCCTCGGTACTCTCTGAACTTGGTTATTTTCTTGCAGACATTTCATTACCCAACTAGGTAACATCATCAGTGTTAGGACCGTCTTCTACCATATCACGGCTGCGTGTTAACGCAGCCTTTCTTTCAGTGGGCTTAAGAGCATGACTAGAAATGTATGAAGTTGGAGCCTGTTTCTCATCCTTCAGATAAATGTAGTAAAAGGGGGGGGGGAGTCTTACTTTTCTCAACAGAACAACATGCTTCAGCAGTTGCAAGAACAGCCATGAAAGTGCTAATATTTCCACATGCCTTTGATGTGTGAATCTGTTAACGAAGTACACTGCTTTAATCATGAAGTTCAGTTGTAGACAAACTGAGACAATGACCAGTATTTAACAATGAAACACATCTGGTAAAATGTAGGAGGTATGGGAAAATAGATAAGTGGAGGCATGGCCTTTTGATCTCATTCAGGCCTTCTGATCTCATTCAGGCCTTCAGAACAATGTAGTATCCTTGTGAAGAAGTTGAACTATAATTTGAGAGACGTAATGACTGTCCCTGTTTGACCTTGGAGAGATCAGCAGGGACTTTGAGCCAGTCAAACCCTGTCAATCTTCTTCACAGGTGTGCTGTGGAATAAAAGTAAAATCCCACATACACCACTTTCCCCTGCCAGAAAAATGGAAGGAAATGAATGCAATAAATATGCCATTTCCATTAGTTCTGTAACTTGTAGACAGGTGAATATTGGATCAGAAATCTTTCAAGTGAAGCTAATAATAGTAAGTTTACCCTGGACCTGGGTGGGTGAGATAATGGAACAGATCATTTCCAATATCCTACTTCTCTCTAAAATTTCAGTGGTAATCTTTTCTTGCATGCTGGTTAACTGGAATAATCCTGGTTTAAGCGCTTTGTTATTGTAAAGGATATGTTCCCTCTGCTTATTTTTGAGGGGTAAAAGAGGGGAATTACTTCCCAAAATACATAGGAGATCCTACTCTTACCGTACCTGTTACTCCTTGACATTAACGAGAAGGGTTCTGGAGGCCAAGTAGGAATGGAAGTGCTACTTGGCAATTCAGCGTGATTCATACAGGATAAGTGGCAGAAATGTTCATTTCTTGCCCCAATATTTCTAGTGGTATTTGAGCCAAGGTCTACTAACATAGACTAGAGTTCCTAGATACATTTTTAATTTTTCTGGTATATCTTTTTAAGGATATTCCTGTATCTGCAAAGTCTGTTTCAAGGCTTTACAGCAGGAGTGTCAACTGCTGGCCCGCGGGCCGGATGCGTCATGCCGAAACCGCGCCCACCCCATTGCCGTCAATGGGAAAAAAGTCGCAACACGTCACATGTTGTTGCGAGTTTGACACCCCTGCTTTACAGTAATAGCTTTCAGTTGTTTAAATTGCTTGGTGATGGTAGAGTTGCTAAAAGACTTGTTATTCCTTTTTATAGACATATGAACTCCCAATTTACTAAGGTTTTATATATGGCATGGTTATCCTCATTATTACCTTGGCATTGCTCCATTTCTAGGCGATTGTGCCAGCACAGCATTCATACTTACAGTTAACTGAACCATGACTTGCTTAACCCAGCATCCGGAATTTTCGCATCCTATCCAGGTAGAACTCGACCACATTGGCTAGATCCATGTATCATTGTTTAATACAGGACAGGAAGCCTGAGGCAGGATATCTACATATTTGTAAGGCACTTTGGGAAAAAGATGGGCTAATTTGAGGCTCATTGTGTTTGGGCCACAGGAAGGGTCTGTCTTATCTCAATAGACAGGTAGTTGATTCTGGATTGAGCGTTGTCCGTCCAATTTTAGGTATGTTTATTCAGAAATTAAATCTTGTTTGGGTTCACCCATCATACTAAGCCACATTGTGGTTTGCTTGACTTGGGTTTAGTTTTTTGCGTGAACATGTCTGGTTTATTCCATAAACCAGTGTTTCTCAACCTTGACAATTTTAAGGCATGTGGACTTCAACTCCCAGAATTCCACAGCCAGTGCTGGCTGTGGAATTCTGGGAGTTGAAGTCCACATGCCTTAAAATTGTCAAGGTTGAGAAACACTGCCATAAACTCTTGTTTGTTCAACGTGTGTGAACTCTGTCATTAAATGGAAGAACCCAATATTCATGCAAGTGTATAGTACAGTATATAGGGAGGTACATTTTATGGTATATACAGTTTGATACACCTCATGGTACACATCAATTTTTTTTTTATTAGAGAAGGGGTCCCCAACCCCTGGTCCGTAGACTGGGTTGCGGCATGCCAGCAACCGGTCCGCACAAACAAGCAAAGTCCCATCCATGACATGCAAGCAGCACACAAAACCACACTCCCTCCGGTCTGCGGAAAAACCTCTCTCCACAGAACCGGTCCCTGGTGCCCAAAAGGTTGGGGACCTCTGTATTAGAGTATAAAGTTTCTTAAGTAAAAAAATAGATCTACGCAGTCAGATGCTTTCAAATGTCAGTGTTTGCTGATATCTTCAACTGTTTCGGTCCTACAGTTGACATTTTTACCATTTTTAAAAGAAAGTGCTCCGAGGGTTTGTACTTTTAATTGGAAAGTAATATGAATTTGGCACACGATGAGGTGTAGTAGAAAAAAGAAAACAACCTTTGTCAAGCTTTTTCCTTCTTCCAGATGTTGGCCCTTTGTTAGCTGTCAACACTCATGGTCTTGAACAGGTTTCTCCCCCCCCCCCAACTGAAGCTGTGTTAGTCCATTGCAGTAAAAACACCAGAATATCTTGTGGCACTTTTTAAAGAGAAACAGATTGATAGGGCATAAGCTTTGGGGGATGTAGACTTTAAGTGCTTCAAGTGTCTGAATATCATGCATGTTGTAGAAAGGCTTTGGTGTGGCTTTGGTGTTGGAATCCTGGCTTGTTTTGGTGGGCTTGGAATATCCATCTTGTGTTTAGCTATTAGAGGAAGTTTTTGTTCTTTAGGGAGTCCTCCTTTTAAAAACCATGGAAATGTCTTCTGGGGATGTTCAAGAGAGTGTCAGGGGATAAATTAACAACATGCTTGTTAAAACTAGTATTTCATTTTAAATTGTTGCCGGTTATTCCTATCCTGACGCTTTCAGCTTTTCCTTCGACTCTGCTGAACAATGTCTAAACATTGGGCTAGGAAAACCTTACAAGTACTTTGCAGTCAGGGCAAAGAAATGCCTTATTATAGGATTGATTCAGCATGTCTAAGAGAGAGAAAAAACTGTGTAATATTTGATACTTACCATCCCTAAGAGAAACTCCTCTGATATAAAACTTTATTATTTAACTCCTTAAAAATATTAACCTCGTTAATTGCTTCAAATGAGTGCACTGTGTGTATTCTGAATGCAGACTATTAGGCAGCTGTTTTAAGAGTGAAGCCAGCCAATTGCGAACAGTCTTTTCCAAATTTTGAATATTTGGGAGAATTCATGATTGCTGTAGTTGTTTGGTTACTATAGAATCTATAGATGATCTTTTTCTTCAGTTGCAAGAGATTCTAATCCTTTAGGCATAAACTATTTCTCTCTTTTGAAGCTGTTCTTGTGCCTAGAATATTTTGCATGGGTTGGCCATTGTTATTCTCACGTTCATACTAGCTTACAGGCCTGCCAAGATGGCTATTACAAATAAATACCCTTGACTTGATATTTCCATTATTCACTTGAGTTAATGCCTTCCTGGGCACGGCTGAGATTGTACCGCATTTTTTTATAACCCACTTGTCAGATCTCCGTATCTGTATGCCATTCATTAGGCACAGTTCATAATTTGTCAAAAAGTGCTAAATGAACACAAGATACTCAGGCAAAATTGTACATTTGAACACGGAGTCTGTGTATTTTACACGTTACAAAAGGCATTCATGATAAAAAGCGTTACGAAAGGCATTCATGATAAAAAGCGTAGAAAGTAAATCAGCTTGTCAAAAACTTTTGGGGCACAATCAGAAATCTGGCTAGCCGAATTATTTTGTCATGATTTAAGAGCGTTTGCTGGTTTGGCCTTTAAAGGGAATGAAACTTACTTTTCTTGGGGCCGTGAGTTCTAAATCTTACCTATCTAGTGTGTAGAACAATTCAATTACGTTTTATAATTTAAATAGACAACTGCATTTTCTTGATGCTACCTCTCGACATTTCTCACCAACATAGAGCAAATTCTTCAACGCTGGAGGCCAAATGTAATGCATGCCACAAGGCAGAGAAGTATATCTAACATGCCTCTTCTTTGCAGATCAATGACATCAACGTGTTGAGCATGTCTACACTCTGAATGACTTCAGAGCTGCTTCCTGCACCTCCACGTAGAGACTGTTGCAATGCCTAGATAAGGGACTCCCCAAAGCTGTAATAATATTTGTAAATGATTGGTCACCTGGTTTGACCTAATTCTGTGATTAATTTCCCTGCCAGCTTATCACACTGTTTTGACAGCGTGGGAATTTCTGTGTAGGTCAGGGGTAGGCAACCTTGGCTCTTTTATGACTCGTGGACTTCAACTCCCAGAATTCCTGAGCCAGCCATGCTGAGGGGAAAGAGAGAGGTTTCCAAGCTGAGCCATGCTGGCTCAGGAATTCTGGGAGTTGAAGTCCACGAGTCATGAGGGGGCCATAGTTCCCCCATGCTGGCTCAGGAATTCTGGGAGTTGAAGTCCGCAAGTCATGAAGGGGCCACAGTTCCCCCATGCTGGCTCAGGAATTCTGGGAGCTGAAGTCCACCAGTCATAAAAGAGCCAAGGTTGCCTACCCCTGAGCTAGTACAATCATTTGCTTAGTGGCCGTTTGAACTTACAATGGCTCTAAAGAAAAGTGACGTGTGACCGTTTTTCACACTTAACAACCATCGCTGCATCCCCATGGTCACAGGATCAAAATCCAGATGCTTGGCAACTGGCTCATATTGATGATGATGATTGAGTGTCCCGGGATCATGTGATTCCCCCTTTGCAGCCTTCTGACAAGCAAAGTCAATGGGGAAGCCAGATCCATGTTTCTAAGTTAAGAACTGCAGTGATTCACTTCACAAATGTGACAAGAAAGGTCATAAAATGAGGCAAAACTCATTTAACAACTTTTTTTTGCTTAGCAACATAAATTTTGGGCTAAATTGTGCTCGTAAGTCGAGTGATTAATGTATATGTAAAAATGTAAAATAGCCTCCATATCTCTTTAGCAGAACACGTCTACTTTGCCAGAATCCATTTCAGTTAACTTTATTTCCTAGTGACTGTATTAGCTTGTCTCTCACCTGTTTTATTCATTTTAATGTCTATGGAGATTCTCAGTCAATCCAGGTCATGGTTGTCCCAAAGGTGCTTTTTTCAGGAGGCAACTGGATTTTCCTGTTTTTCTTTGAAGACCTTTCGCTTCTCATCCCAAAAGCTTCTTCAGCTCTGGCTGGATGGTGGGGAATGGAAGGATTTATATTCCTGGCAGACGATGGGGAATGGAAGGATGGGGAAACAGCTGTCTGCAAGGAGTATAAATCCTTCCCTTCTCCACCATGCAGCCAGAGCTGAAGAAGCTTCTTGGATGAGAAGCGAAACATCTTCAAAGAAAAACAAGAAAGTCCAGTTGCCTCCTGAAAAAGCATCTTCTGGATATTCATTTTAATGGTGACAGAACTCATTTAGGTTAGAGCTTAAAAGTACCTTTCGGAATACTTGAGGATGCTCAACATACTACGTGGACTTTTTTTAAAAATTACATGTATGTGCCTGTCAGTGAAAGATAGCTACAAGACTGCTAAAAAAAAACCACCCTGGTTAATTTGCAGCAAACAAGTTACAACACCCCATTCCTGTAGACTTGTTCAACAAGAGTTGCACTGATATTGCCGGCAAAGGCTGGCTTATAAGGCCATTTCCATACGTGCAGCAGATGAGTCTCGATCGTCTGTGTAATTAATTACAGGCCACTGATATTCTTTAATTACCACGGCTGAACCTTGCAACCTGCTCAGTGGCCCAAATCTTTTCTTGTCCCTTCCAGAGTCAGTTGACTCCAGTCTTTGAACACCCCATGTTCCTTTTCTCCACCCTCTGCCACGCAAAATAGTTTGCGCGATGGCCACACCCTATCAAAACAGTGACGGTAGCCATCCACCCTCATTTCATCTTCATGGGCGTGGCATCATGAAATATTGCTGATTATGCTCTCAAAGCAACACGGGTGATGTTTCATCCTGGCTGAATAGCCGTATCCCTTGTTTCATCTGGCATAGTCATTTACCCAACGTCGTAACAATAATAATAATAATAGTAATAGTAGTAGTAGTAGTAGTAATAATAATAATAATAATAGTAATAGTAATAGTAATAGTAATAGTAATAATAATAAAGTTGGAAGGGGCCTTGGAGGTCATGTAGTCCAACCCCCTGCTCAGGCAGGAAAACCTATACCATCTCAGACAAATGGCTGTCCAGTCTCTTCTTAAAAACCTCCAGTGTTGGAGCATTCACCGCTTCTGGAGGCAGGTTGTTCCACTGGTTAATTGTTCTTACTGTCAGGAAGTTTCTCCTTAGTTCTAGGTTGCTTCTCTCTTTGGTTAGTTTCCATCCGTTTCTTCTTGTCCTGCCTTCAGGCGCTTTGGAGAATAGCTTGACTCCCTCTTCTTTGGGGCAGCCCCTGAAATACTGGAACATGGCTATCATGTCCCCCCTCGTCCTTCTCTTCATTAGACTAGACATCCCCAATTCCAGCAGCCTTTCCTTATATGTTTTAGCCTCCAGTCCCCTAATCATCTTTGTTGCTCTTTGCACTCTTTCTAGAGCCTCAACATCTTTTTTACATCATGGTGACCAAAACTGGATGCAGTATTCCAAGTGTGGCCTTACCAAGGCATTGTAAACTGGTATTAACATTTCACGTGATCTTGATTCTCTCTCTCTGTTAATGCAGCCTAGCACTGTGTTGGCCTTTTTGGCAGCTGCAGCACACGGCTGGCTCATATTTAAGTGATTGTCCACTAGGACTCCGAGGTTCCTCTAACGTTGCAAAGGTTTCAAAATAGAAAAGGTCTTCCTTCATGCATTCCTTGGGGTTTAGATGCCATTACAGGTAGTCCTTGACTTACGACTTGAGCTCTCAAGTTGCCCTCCAGTTTGTAAAAACGCATCTGAAATTAACAATTGACTCTGCCATCCAATCTCTGTGCTACAGTTTGACAGTTTCTTGGGTTAACCCTTTTCTTTCTCTCTCCTAAAGGTGCAGATAATGGTGGGACATCATCTAGCAACGCCTCAGGAATCCCATCCAGCACCCCAGCCGGCAATTCAAAATCCGGTTCAAGGAACCTAAGCTCCTCAACCGGAGAAAAGGAGGAAGGCAAGAAAGTGAGGCGACAGTGGGAATCCTGGAGCACGGAGGACAAGAATACCTTCTTTGAGGGGCTGTATGAGGTGGGTGCTTTAAAAAGCTTGGGAACCGCCAGGTCCTCTTCCAAAGGCTCCGTGTTATCCGTAGCAGAACATCCAGATTCAGCCAGAGTTTCATTCCCTACAGCAGGGGTGTCAAACTCAATTTCACTGAGGGCCACATCAGCATTGCGGTTGCCCTGCAGGGGGCTGGGTGGGTGTGGCCAGAGTGGGTGCAGCCTACTGGGTGGGCGTGGATGGGGTGGGTGTGGCCTACTGGGTGGGCGTGGCCAGTTCTACATCATTCGCGTCAAAGGTGCCTGTGGGGGCCTGGGCAGGAGTGGGACAGATCTGAGGGTCTCTGGCAGAAGGGGGTGGGACCGGAGCAAGCGCCAAGGCATGGTCCATTTCTTCATTCCTCACAAAGGGTGACACCGCCCCAGCATGCACCCAGGGGGCGCGGCCGACACAGCAGGGGCTGGTTCCTCGCTGTTTCCAGACGGCCTTGTAGAGCTAAGACTGAATGCATTTCAGCATAGATGGCCACCACAAAATTGTACATTGGCTCCCAGCCAGCCTGGGCCAGGGCCAAGGCAGCGGGGGCCGTTCCCTCACTGTTTCCAGGATGGCTTCACGGGCCACATGAAACCACTTCACGGGCCGCATCCGGCCCCCGGGCCTTGTGTTTGACATGTCTGCCCTACAGCATTAACCTTGTGAACTCTCAAGCTTCCTCCTTCCGTTATATATTCAATATGGACAGTGTTTAATATTCATTTGCTACGTATATGTAGGGCTGTGGGTCTGTACATATGTTGTACATAGTATGTTTAGGTGTGTGTCGTGTATGTGTTTCACTTTGAGAGCAGGCAACTAAATTTCATTTTTGATGTGTGCCGTTGTGCCCACAGTAAAAAAAAATGACAATAAAGGTTACCTTATCTCTTATCTTATCAAAGATACATGCGCAGCCTTTAAGGCGAACTTTAAAAGGCGTCGAATATTTTGTTGGCTGGCATGAGAAGTGGGCAGATCGCACAGGTAGTCCTTCACAACTTAACAACCACCATCGAGACCGGAATTTCTCTTGCTGTGCAAGGCGGTTGTTAAATGAAGTTGTGCCGAATTTTGCAACCTTTTTTTCCCCAGCAAATCACTGCAGTTGTTAAGTGAATCACGCAATTGCTAAGTAAACACGGTTGTCCGTGTGAAAATTGACCAGAAGTCACTTTTTTCAGCACCATCGTAACTTTGAACGGTTGCTAAGCAAATGGTTGTAAGTCAAGGACTACCTGCATGCCCTATTGATGTATCTAAGCCAGGGGTAGGCCACCTTGGCTCTTTTATGACTCGTGGACTTCAACTCCCAGAATTCCTGAGCCAGCATGGCTCAGCTTGGAAACCTCTCCCTTTCCCCTCAGCATGGCTGGCTCAGGAATTCTGGGAGTTGAAGTCCACGAGTCATAAAAGAGCCCAGGTTGCCTACCCCTGATCTAAGCAGTCTGAAATACATAGGTTATCCCAGCATTTTGAGAATATTATTTTGAATGAATTGCGATTTACCAGTCGTGTTTCACCCATGTTTCAGTTGCATTGTCTGGGTTCCCAGGAATTATAGTATGAAGAAATTCACCAGAATTTTATCTGTTTAATCCTACTGATTGTAAGAATAATGGATTTCTACCCGTGTCTTTTGTAGGATTCTGAATGCTAGCATTCGTACAGAAAACCTATTTTCTGTAACCATGCTGGAATAAATAAATGTCAAATTCTAGAGACCTGTGCTGCCTTTTGACATGTCTGCAGAAAATCACATGTCAAACTGGTGGTGTCATGTGGAAACGCCCGTTTCCCCAAAACCCACAAACACTTGACCCAACTCTGGAAGGTGTGTGTCATGTGCTTATTCCTGCTGCCCCCTCTTCTCATGTCGTAATGTTTGCCGTTTTTTTTTCAGCATGGCAAAGACTTTGAGGCGATCCAAAACAATATTGCCCTGAAGTACAAGAAGAAAAGCAAGCCAGCAAGCATGGTGAAGAACAAGGAGCAGGTCCGGCACTTCTATTATCGCACTTGGCACAAGATTTCCAAATACATTGACTTTGATAATGGTGAGCACACCCTGAAAGGTTTTGGTTGGCTTCTATGAACGATGCAACAAGCTAGCATAGTTTATCTTTGGATGGACAGCTGGTAGATAGGGGGTAGGAGGGAATGTTTAGGATTTGCCCAGAGCACATTCTTGTTCAGACGAAGCAGACCTCCACCCCATCAGTGATTGAAATAGAGCAGTGATGGCGAACCTATGGCATGGGTGCCAGAGGCAGCACTCGGAGCCCTCTCTGTGGGCACACATGCCGTTGCCCCAGCCTTGCCTCCGCCCGTGACCCCCTCCTCACCAGCAACCCCCTGGAGGAGAGTCACCCCCGAGCGTGGCCCACGCAGAGCAACTCAGCCAAGGACATGGCAGCCAGGCAATATAGACAAGACTCTGCCCTCACGCCCCAACGCGCACAGTTGATGCTGTGGGGCGCGGGCAGAGGGCGTGGCCGCCATGGCGCTGCTGGGCTGCCTGGGCGATCTGCGGTGGGCCCTGGAGGTGGTGAGTGGCCCTGCGGGGTGGGGCAGGGGGTGGAGTGGGGCAGGGGTGGGGCCAGTTTTTGGGCACTCCGTCTCTAAAAGGTTCACCATCACTGTAAAATAAAATCTAGCACTCGCCTTATGACCACAATTGAGCCCAAAATTTCTGTTGCTAAGCGAGATAGTTGTTAAATGAGTTTTTGCCCCATTTTACGACTTTTCTTGCCAGAGTTGTTAAGCAAATTGCTGCAGTTCTTAAGTTAGTAACATAGTTGTTCAGTGAATTAGGCTTCCCCATTGACTTCACTTGTCAGACATGATCCTGGGTCACTGCAGCCGTCATAAATATGAGCCAGTTGCCAAGCATTTGAATTTTGAACGTGCTGCAGCAGTCATAAGTGTGAATAACAGTCCTGAGTCACTTTCAGTGTCGTCGTAACTTCAAACGGTCACTAAACGAACAGCCTAGCATTTTTTTATATCTTGGAAAAATCAGAATATTGCAAAAAGATAAATGTGGGAGTAGGTGTCGGTGTCCTCCTAAAACCAGCTGTAAAATGTATCCCTTTTTCAGAGAGTAAAATTACATGAATTGCAGGGATCCTGTAATGTTGAAATAAATCTCAGTATTTGCCTGATAGATCCTTAAATAAGAGGATGCCGAATCTCTTAGTTTAATCAAATCCCATGCAAGTTTGTGGTATGTCCTTTTCTTTGAACACCTGTGTTTTTCTTTCTTTTGCAGTGTTTTCTCAAGGGCTGAAAAAGTCCTCCCTTGAGCTTTATGGCTTAATTTGTTATGGGGAGCTCAGAAAGAAGATTGGGGGCTGTGAGTATTCTGTTTTTTCCGATGTCATGAAATGAGAAAGTATGGGGCTTGCCTTTTAGCTTCCGGGGGGGAAAAACCGTTTCCAAACCGTTTTGCCAGATGTTTCTAGTTTTCCCCTTTTACAGTATTTTGCAAAATAGCTCTGCCGTGTGCCTCTCTCTGGCTTTGTGTGGGAGAGATTTCCAAGCATGATCTGTAGTTTTTGCTCTTTCACGCAGAGTAGAAGGAAGCAGAAAACACGCAAGGAAGCATCTGTTATTTGGGGGTGTAATTTCACATACCATGAGAAATCCTTGCCTAGCAGAAGGGTAAGAACGACACAGGATGACTTCTGCAGAATTGAATACAGAGATCATATCTGACTACAGATTTAGAATGAAAACTAAAATGCATTCTGAGCAACTTTTTTTTTAAATCAATATATCTCATCTAAAGTGACCATAAAATTCTTATTAAATTTTTGCTTTCTCAGTTGAACACGTTCCTTCTCCTCTTCCATTCATCATCATAGTTCTTCTTGGGATATGCAGCTTTGTACAAGTAGTTCAGAGAGAGAGAGAAGTGCATTTCATACTTAAAAAAAAATAATATAGATTTGTGATTTGAGGAATTTGAGTTACATACAATTAAATGGTGTATGCTTGATGCCTAAAATTCATTTTGTAGAACAACATGAAGAAACTTGCTCTGTTGAGGTTTAATTAAAATGATATTCCCCCCCCAGGAATGACAGTTTTGTAGTTAATTATTTTCTGCTGCCATGTTTTGTTTTTGATATTCTGCCCATCACTCAAATTTGTTCATGTTCTTTAAAGGTATGGATGACAAAAACGCAGCTAAACTCAATGAGCTTATCCAGGCTGGGTGAGTAATATTTTTAAAAGGTGATTACTGCCTTTTACATCTTTCATTCTTTCACGTTGCAAATGCTCAGAACAGATATTTTGTTTTAACTTGTACTCTTGTCAAGTGACAGATGGAATGATTTCAGTATATTGTGCACATTGTAAGCTGCCCCAAAATCTCTTGAAGTGGGGTAACTAACATTAATCTAAATAATAAAGGCATTAATGTTAGCATCAAGAATGACCAAATACTTGCTTGAGGTTTTCAATGAGAAAATGGTCCTGCTTTTGATTTGGATCCTATAAAGACAAATACTACTGGAAGAGAGTAGATTGTGCCCATCACAAAAAAAATGTACTTTCCTGGGGGTTAAGGCACTAGGGTAGAAAGCAAGCGACTCTGAGTTCTAGTCCTGCCTTAGCCATGAAAGCCAGCTGGGTGACTTTGGGCCAATTACCAGGAGCCTGGGAGTTCTAGTCCCACCTTAGCCATGAAAGCCAGCTGGTGACTTTGGGCCAGTCACCAGGAGACGGTAAGTTCTAGTCCTGCCTTAGGCATGAAAGCCAGCTGGGTGACTTTGGGCCAATCACCAGGAGCCTGGGAGTTCTAGTCCCACCTTAGCCATGAAAACCAGTGGGTATCTTTGGGCAGTTGCTCTCTTTCAGCCCACCCCACCCCAGAGGCTCGTCGTTGTGGGGAGAATAGGAGAAGGGTGTGTTTGGATATGTTCTCCCCCTCCTCCCCCTTGAGTTATTTGCAAAAATAACAAAGACGGGATATAAATAACCAAATCAAATCTTCAAGCATCTAACCCCTTTTTAATCATTCTTTTCAGAGCCACAACGGTTCGCTACAAAGGCAGGAACCTTCGTATCAAGGCACCCATGTGCAGGGCTCTGAAGAAGCTCTGTGATCCAGACGGTATGTCGGGAATTCTGGGCAGGAGAGCTGCTTGACACAGCTGGCAGGGGTGAAGATCCCGTGTGCCCCCGGCCCGTGTCACGCTCACTGTTAAAGGCAGAGGCTGGGATGTAGCATGTACCAAAGAGATATTTGATACGTGAACTGGACAATCACCTGTCTGAAATGGTATAGGTTCTCCTGCTTGAGCAGGGGGCTGGACTAGAAGACCTCCAAGGTCCCTTCCAGATTCTATTCTATTCTATTCCCAATGTTCTGTTCTATTCTATTCTATTCTATTCTATTCTATTCTATTCTATTCTATTCTATTCTATTCTATGTTTTATTCTATTTCATATTCTATTCTATTCTATTCCCAATATTCTATTCTATTCTATTCCATTCCATTCCATATTCTATTCTATTCTATTCTATTCTATTCTATTCTATTCTATTCTATTCTATTCTATTCTATTCTATTCTATGTTCTATTCTATTTCATATTCTGTTCTATTCCCAATATTCTATTCCATTCCATTCCATATTCTATTCTGTTCTGTTCTGTTCTATTATGTTCTATTATGTTCTATTCTATTTCATATTCTATTCTATTCTATTCCCAATATTCTATTCTATTCCATTCCATATTCTATTCTGTTCTGTTCTGTTCTATTATGTTCTATTATGTTCTATTATGTTCTATTCTATTCTATTCTATTCTATTCTTCTTTGTTCTTAAGTCAGTGGGGTAGCCAGATTCACTTAACAATCCTGTAGCTAACTCCACAATTGCAGTGATTCACTTAACAAATGTGGCGAGAAAGGTCGTCAAATGAGGCAAAACCCGTTTAACGACTGTCTTGCTTAGCAACAGAAATTTTGGGTGTAAGTTGAGGATTCCTGACAGTTAGAACAATCAATCAGTGGAACAACTTTTGCCTCCGGAAGCGGTGAATGCGCCAACACCGGAAGTCTTTAAGAAGAGACTGGACGGCCATTTGTCTGAAAGGGTATAGGGTTTCCTGCCTGAGCAGGGGGTTGGACTAGATGACCTCCAAGATGACTAGATGACCTTCCAATTTTATTATTGTTGTTATTGTCGTTGTTGTTATTATTATTATTATTATCATCATCATCATCATCATCTGTGCATTGTTTTCTTGATATGTGATTTCCTTGAGCATTTTGCTTAACCGGCCTCTCAGGTTTAGTATTTCCTGCATGTCTTCTGCTGTGTCCTATAGGTATAAGCGACGAGGAAGATCAGAAGCCTGTGCGTCTTCCTCTGAAGGTTCCTGTGGAACTGCAGCCACGGAATAACCACGCGTGGGCCCGGGTGCAGAGTCTGGCCCAGAACCCACGTCTCAGGTACTTTAAAGGCCGGCTATGGGAGATGAACGGGTGGAATCTGGAGCCCTGGAATCGGATCCAAAGCATCAAGCAAAATAAGTGGCTGACTCGGTTTGAGCTGAGAATTTTTAGAATGTGGTTGGCACGTTCTGCAAAGGATCTGAGCCATTAAAAACAAGATTTGTAGGTTTTTTTTTTCCTTTCCTGTTAAAATACATCGGTGTTTAAGATCTCATATCCTGTGCTATTATTTCTGTGTCTTTCTCCGGTGTAGTAAAAATGGGAGTAATAGAATCCTAGGTTGGGTTAGAGGTAGAGACTGGGAAGGCCGACGTTCGTTTTCCTCAGCTTATCTAATGACATTGTTCCTTCGCTAACGTTTCCCTCATTTGCTGATCCTTTCGTTCTTTCTCCCGTGACTTGGCAGAATGATCGTGGAGCTGCATCGGAAGGTATCCAGCCTCATTGAGTTCCTGAAACAAAAATGGGCTCTCCACGAAGTGCGTATCGTATCCTTTCTCTTAATGCAGAAGTCAGTGGCATGGAATATAGTCTGGATTCCCAAGGGGGGGGAGGGAGGGAGGGGCTGCATTCTGGAGGAGCCAGGAACACTGCAGTTAGATAGTTCGTGTGGGAGAAATGGGGTGAAGACAGCTCCTCCCTAATAGTTGCCAGAGTACATGTTTAATAATGCAAATAGTTTTAGCTTGGCGAGATTTTTTGTCTATAGTTGAGGAACAATAAAGGAAACCGCTCAGAAGAACCTCAACGTGTTTTGCTTGGGTTTTGGAGCCTGATTTAGTGACTTCCTTGTTCCAAGAGTTGGCGTTTTTAACATTGCAGGTAGTCCTCGGCTTACAACCCCAATGGAGCCAAAAATTTCTGTCCCTAAGTGAGTGGTTAAGTGAATTTTGCCTCATTTTACGACCTTGACACAGGTGCTAAATGAATCAGCGCAATTGTTAAGTTAGTAACGCGGTTGTGAAGTGGATCTGGCTTCCGCATTGACTTTGCTTGTCAGAAGGCCGCAAAAGGGGATCACGTGACCCCGGGCCACCCACAACCGTCATAAGTACATGCCAGTTGCCAAGCCCCCGAATTTTGATCACCTGACCGCGGAGATGCTGCAACGGCCGTAAGTGTGAAAAACGGTCCTAGTTCGCTTCCTTCAGTGCTGTTGTACCTTTGAACGGTCACTGAATGAGCTGCGGTAAATTGAGGACTGCCTGTACTAATGTTCATTAAGCCGTCTCTTCCTTAGGACAAGAGTTCCTTTTCCAGCTTTTTTTTTTTACCTTTGCAGTCTTATTAGTAGCCCTCCTCCTCTTCGGGGTAATCCAGCAGGGTGCCACCGACTTGTTTGGGGTTTCCGGGGAAATATTTACAGGTCCGGCCTGCCCTTTTTGCTTTTCCACCCCTGTCTTCCTAAACCTCCTGCACGCAGAGGAAAACACTAGCCGAGAGGCAGCTGCAGGATTGTAGAGAGGCCGAAACCAGCAGCAGCAGCAGCTGTTCCGAAGACCAAACGATGCTTCACCTTTTCCCGGGGGAAAACTGTACGCTGACACCCCTGCCTGGGGTTGCCCGCGTGGTACACTCCAAAGCTTTCTGCACAGTGCATTGGCAGGAATCGGGCCGGTGCAAGCAGAGTACCAAGGACGTCCACCTCTTGCCCCCTGCCCAAATCCTAGGCATCCAGAGCGGTCAGGGGACAGCCAGAGGGCAGGTGAAATACTCACGGGGGGCAGAAAGTAAAGGCGGAGCCAAGCCCGACACGGCCGCGGAAGTGAGCAGAACTCCTCAGCTGACCCTGGATCCCGTTGCAAACCCGGAAGATTGCTCCCCCGAAGCTGGGCTTGCCGAAGCAGCCTTCTCGGACCTCAGTGTCGTCAGCCATCTCAGCAAGCCAGGTGCCGGGCTTCAGGGCCCGAGTGGGAGCTTGGAGAAGTCCATCCCGGCGGCCGAGAGCAGAAAGGCGGCGCCCATCGTTGCCTTGCCCGCCGCGGTGGACGCCGGCAGCGCCAAGTGCAATTGTGGCGATCTCCCGCCGGACCTGGAAGAGCTCTCCCTGCTCGATCCGTTCCCTCGTTACATGAAGTCCTGCCACGATCTGATTGTCCCTGAGAAGTGTCTTTGCGCGGAGAAGCTGGATAGAAAAGAGCTTGCCTTGCCGGAACGTTCTCCCGCCGGCGGGGCTTTGCCTGGCGCCGCAGAGACCGGCAGTCCCACACCGTTGGCGAGTGGCAGTCTGGAATTGCCCAGCGGTGGTCCCTCCGCTTCTGAAACTCAGGCTTTCCACTGCTCCGGACCTCAAGCCGAACCGTGTGTTAAGGAGCCCCCTGATGCGGTCACGGAGGACACTCAGGAGAAGCTCAACACCTCACTGCCACCGCCTCCGCCACCGCCAGCGCCTCCAGCTCAGGGACAGATGGTCACAAAGTCTGTCAAGGACGACCCCGGCCGCCTCGCGCAGCAAGTGCGAGAGAAGGGATGGAGCCTGCGGACGTCTGACAGCCTTACCTTGGCTGAAATCTACCTCATGATGGGCAAGCCGAACAAACTGCAGTTAGAATACGATTGGCTGACGGTCTTGGGGCAGGAAACCCAAGATGCCGGGGAGCAGGTCGCTGAACCGAAATGTGTCCCTCCATCGGCCACTTTTCATAAACAGAAACTCCTCAATTGCCTCCTGAAACTCATCTCGACCGAAGTGAACCCCAAACCGGTAAGTATCCGTTGGACTCAAGACCCCAGATTGGACCAAATTGTCACCTCTTAAGTCGTCATAGCCAATTCCTGCGAAGTAAGTTGGATCGAAGGTCCTCCATCTTTCCCACTTATCCAGATGTGGCCTTTAAATCTTTTGCAGCTGGCTTGCAGCTTCCCTTCTCTGCTTGCCTCTCGCCTATGAAATGATGACTTAAGGAAATAGGCTTATTTTGGTATAATTTGGATCTTCTTTTTAAGATTATTTGCGATGGTGGTTAACGTTGTTCATTGCAAAAAAGGCAAAATAGGGAGAATTTTCATCGTTTCTTAGTTAGACATAATCCTCACTTAACGACAGCAATTCTGTTGCTAAGCAGTGCAATAGCTAAGCCAAAATTTACATGACCACGTCAGGCCCACCTCATTCCCACTTCTGCGATTTCACTTCATATGTATCCAATCCAAAATTACGATTTTAAGAGGTCAATTTTAGATATGTAGATATGTGTGCAATAACCAGAACTGATTATAATGGGATTCATACATGTATAAATATAATGATCAGTTTTAGGTGGGTGCACCGAAGTTTTATGAGGCTTTACTGGTTTCTAGGCTAGTCTTTAAAAGCTTTTCAAAATGATGCAGCACTTGACTTAAAGCAAATATTTATGGACCCCTGGGCTAGATAATTAGTGAATTCACCACTATCCTGCCCCAGGATAGTTAGATAAGATAACCTTTATTGTCATTTTTTACTGTGGGCACACTGGCACACATTAAAAATGAAATTCTGTTGCCTGCTCTCAAAAGTGTACAGTACATAACGCACATATAAACATGCTATATACAACGTACGTATATACCTACACCCTTACATATGTTGTTGTTAGTTGCAAAGTCGTGTCCGACCCATCGCGACCCCATGGACAATGTTCCTCCAGGCCTTCCTGTCCTCTACCATCTTCTGGAGTCCATTGAAGCTCACGCCTACTGCTTCAGTGACTCCATCCAGCCACCTCCTTCTCTGTCATCCCATTCTTCTATTGCCCTCCATCTTTCCCAGCATCAGGCTCTTCTCCAGTGAGTCCTTCCTTCTCATTAGCTGGCCAAAGTACTTGAGTTTCAACTTCAGGATCTGGCCTTCTAAATATTAAGAGAAAGAGGAAGCTTGAGAGTTCACAAGGTTAATACTGTATGGAACAAAACTGTGACTGCATCTGGATGTTGTTACCCAGAGGGTAACAAGGAAAACAGGTCGTGTAGAGGATGTGTGGTGTTCTAGCCAATCTTGCGGATCCTGCTCAAGCATCACTTATAATGTTTTTATATGCTTATATGCTGTTCTGAATGTAATTTGGATGTTCTGAATGTTCTTCTGTAGCTCTGAATGTTCTTTGGAATATCTGTTCTTTAACATTAGATCAGGGGTCCCCAACCCCCGGTCTGTGGACCGGTACCGGGCCGCGGCATGCCAGCATCCGGTCCGCACAGACAAGCAAAGCCCCATCCGTGAGATGCAGGCAGCACACAAAACGACGCACCTTCCGGTCCGTAGAAAAACCTCTCTCTACGTAACCGGTCCCTGGTGCCCAAAAGGTTGGGGACCTCTGCATTAGATGATGATGATGATGATTTGAAGCATCCTGCAATTGAGACTTCACTGCTTCCTTTCCAGATCCCCGAAATGAATTCCGTTGCGACATCCCCTATCAAGCCCATTCAAGAGGAACATGCTTTGACCCCTCCCGGGAAGGTGATTGCCATTAGCACCAGGAGCCCAGGCTGTGCTCGCAACCAGACTGCGCTTCACAAGAAGACCTTTCCCCCCAATGCCACTTCCAACTCCTCAGGTGAGTCAGTCATATAGAAAAACCTGTCCACCCTGTGCAGGGTCCACATAGACATGCCCCTCCCCTCTAAATCCTGTGCCTAGGTCAGGGGTAGGCAACCGTGGCTCTTTTATGACTGGTGGACTTCACCTCCCAGAATTCCTGAGCCAGCCATGCTGAGGGGAAAGGGAGAGGTTTCCAAGCTGAGCCATGCTGGCTCAGGAATTCTGGGAGTTGAAGTCCACGAGTCATAAAAGAGCCAAGGTTGCCTACCCCTGTCCTAGGAAGTCTCCAGATTTGGGGATTTCCCGAATTCATTACTCAGTTGGGCAAGATGGTCCAAGAGCCGTTTCCAAGTTCGAGTTTGAGAATATTGTTCGGTCGTTTGGCATTGGACAGCTTGTACAGAGCTACGGATTTGTCAGTCTCCGAGACCAGTACTGAAGAAGCTTTGTTGGGATGAGAAACGAAACGCTTTCAAAGGAAAAAAAAAACCAAGAAAATCCACCTTGGAAAAGCACTTTTGGGGGTCTCCTAGAGCAGTGTTTCTCGACTGTGGCAAGTTGAAGATGTGTGGACTTCAACTTCCAGCGTTCTCCAGCCAGCATGGCTGGCTGGAGAATTCTGGGAGTTGAAGTCCACACATCTTCAACTTGCCAAGGTTTGAGAAACAGTGTCCTAGGAAGGTTGCGCTCGTGATTCTTTTCCCTTTTTTCTTGTGATGCAATGCACACCTTCCTGCAGATCCATACAGGTTCATGGAAGCACTTCCAAGGCTTTTCCTAATAGAAGTTGTCAGGATCATGATTTAAAGGCTAACCAGCTGATGTAATGTAAGGTGGGTGATGCCATGATCGGAATGACTCAGCAGTGTCTGTGTCTCTTTAAGAGCCTGAGTATAAAAGGGAAGGCTTTTGCTGAAGTGTCTCTCTCACCCATTTACTGCTGTAACTGCTGTGTTGTTGGATCTTGCTGAATTACCACATGTGTGTACATCGTTCCTGGTGTATGATATTGTAGATAGTGTAAGATAAACCACCATTTAATATAGACCACTGTTTACTGTATTTACTCCTGGGTTATCTCAGCACAATTGAGACTCTGCACGCTCTGACAGAAGTCCTCTCGGCCTGCCCTTCTCTGTCAATCAATACTTGTGTCATTATCCTTTCCTGCCAGGTTTCCGAAATCCTTCTAAACCCCTCTTGGTGGCTAGTTCTTCAAATTCCAGCAACCCTGATGCAGACGGCGGCCTCTTCGCCATTCCCACAACCCTCCCGCCAAACAGCAGGCACGGGAAGCTTTTCTTACAAAACAAAGAAGCAGACCTGAGCTTCCGCCAGCGCTTGGACACCATCAGCGTGAGTCTCTGCGGCTTTTAAAATGTGTAAATGGAACGTTAAGAGAAAAAAACCCAACCCAGCCTTCTTTGTAGTGGTAACGTTAAGCAACTCTCAGTTCCAGGTGCCACTCTTGGTCACGCTGTTAAGATTTCGTGGCATTTTGTATTATTTATATGCTCTGGGTTGCAGCTGTGTTGTTGGGAATGCGATGGAAAAAAAAAAATCTCGGGTTACCCAAAGTTTAGAAAAGAATGAAGGCGGAATTTCAGCCAGTAGGGAATCAAATTGCCTGCTTCTTCCTCTACTGTTGCTTTCCTGCTTTCTCCATTATCAAAACATATTTTAAAGTCCTTCCTCTCACGTTCCAGGCAGAACCGAACAATCTGAAATCAAGTTTGTTGGTTTGTTTATTAAATGTGTTTGCCGCCCATCTGCCTGAGGGCTACTTTCTACGTTCAGGTGGGAAGAGCCTGCCACTTTTTCCAAATTTCTGATTCTGGTTGTCTTGCAGCCGACTATTACTCTGCTGTCTCTGCTACCAAATTAAGTGGACATGTTTCATATTCCCTTATATAAATTATGTGGAGCCTTAGAGTCTTTGCCACAAGAGACACTAAATCAGGGCTCTGAAAAAGATCCTATTAACCTAGTTCAGGGCTCTTCAAAGTTGGCCCTTTTATGACTTGTGGACTTCAACTCCCAGAATTCCTCAGCCAGGCACGCGTGCCTGGCTGAGGAATTCTGGGAGTTGAAGTCCACAAGTCATAAAAGGGCCAGGTTTGAAGAGCCCCTGTATTAAGAATATCAGAATGCTGTATCACGAACTACTGTTTCTCTTTAGATGCAATCAGATTTTTTCTTGCCAAAGCCAAGAAAACTACGCAGCAGACACCTACGGAAGCCGCTAGTTGTGCAGGTAAGAGAGAACCGCTAATTGAAATACATTCGTCACTCGATTGACAAATGGATTCATTTGGCATATTTGAGGGGTTATTGTTACTTTGGGGAGGGTTATTGTTTCTCCCCATCCATTTGGACAGAGGTAATTGGTTCTTCCTGCTTCCTGGTTCTCTGCTTTCTCTTGAGCAGTTAACAAGGCCTGTCAGCATGAGGGAGAAGCAGATTGCATATCATTTCAGTTTTAGGCTACGAAAAAGCAGCCAAAGGTGCATCTCTTTGTAAGGTGGAATGGATCAGACTTGAATACACATTTAGAATTCTTTTTAAGGTGCAGAAATTCGATTCTCAAATTGTATCCTAAGAGGGATCTTTGGTTTTTTACCACGCTCTGTTAAACAGATGGACAGTTTTGGGCCAGATGATCTGACCTTCCTGGGAGGAGAAGGAATAGGAGAAAGAGTAATTTTTGTACAGGTCTTAGTTCCTGTTTATTGCCAGCATATGGCCTTCAACACATAAAACCTAGAAGAATATAACTCTACACATCAAATCAAACTTCTCCAACCCTTAAATTAACTGAATGCAATCAGTTATTAGCAAAAGGTCCAGGTGTTCATAACTATACAGGTAGTCCTTAAAATTGAGCCCAACATTTCCGTCGTTAAGTAAGGCAGTTGTTAGGTGGGTTTTGCCCACATTTTACGGCCTTTTTTTGCCACAGCCGTAAAGCGAGTCACGGCAGTGATTAAGTTAGTGACACGGTTGTTAAAAGATTCTGGCTTCCCCTCCATTGACTTTGCTTGTCAGAAACCGGCTGGGAAGGTTCCCAATGGTGATCACGTGACCCTGGCACGGTGCAACTGTCCTGTCACATGACCATAGGGATGCCGCAGTGGACATAAGTGTGAAACCTGGTCATAAGTCCCCCCCCCCTTTTTTTTAGTGCCATTGTAACATTGAGCGTTCACTAAGGAAATGGCTGTAAGTTGAGGCCTGCCTGTATTGTTACGGAGAATGTATTTGGAGATTGTCCGTATGATGATTAAACATGGACCAGGGATACAATATAAATACTACTCTGTTTGTTTGTTTTTTTAAGTTCTCTTGCTTTCTTCTTGCAGAGGACCCTGCTTCCTAGACCATCTGAAAGCCCTTCGCAGCATGTTTGCTCCTTTTCCATCTTATCTAACTCCTCCGTAACAGGTGAGCCTCTCGGCGCTGTGTATAATCTGAGCAATATATTTAGACTGAGCTGGGGAAGGCTCCTATCTCCTGTTCTTTGACTGGAGGGGATTAAGAATTGTGGCCCTTTCTGTCTGTGGACTCGTCACGGAGCACTTAACAATTCTCACTAGCTGCTTTTCCAACAGCAAGCCTTTATTTTGATGGTTTATGTCAGAGGTCTCCAACCTTGGTAACTTTAAGACTTGTGGACTTCAACTCCTAGAATTCCTCAGCCACACAGGGATGGCTGAGGAATTCTGGGAGTTGAAGTCCCTAAGTCTTAAAGTTGCCAAGATTGAGGACCTCTGGTTTATGTGACATCCTCCAAGGAGGTAAAACACGAGCCTTTGGGTAGAATCCTACGGACATTGATGGGGGAGCATGCCTCTGAGAAATCTGGGGGTCCTGGCATCCTACTAAACTGCCACGATAACCCCTAGTGCAGGGGTAGGCAACCGTGGCTCTTTTATGACGCGTGGACTTCAACTCCCAGAATTCCTGAGCCAGCATGGGGGAACTATGGCCCCCTCATGACTTGTGGACTTCAACTCCCAGAATTCCTGAGCCAGCATGGCTCAGCTTGGAAACCTCTCCCTTTCCTCTCAGCAGGGCTGGCTCAGGAATTCTGGGAGTTGAAGTCCACGAGTCATAAAAGAGCCAAGGTTGCCTACCCCTGGTCTGGGACATTGCAGCCGTCATAAATACGAGTCAGTGGCCAAGCATCTGAACTAGTGAGAGCCGAGAAAAGATTTTCAGCACAGTCAATAGATGCTCAAGGGTTTCCTGCTTGAGCAGGAGGTTGGACTAGAAGACCTCCAAGGTCCCTCCCAACACTATTATTCTATGTTTGCCACAGCCCTATGCTACCCATTAATTCTACTGGGAGTATCTAAAGCTTTTCTCTTCCGTTTTCTTCCTGTGAGAAAGACTCAGAACTGGGTGCCAAGTGGGATATAACTCCCAAGTGACTTTAAAAAAAAAAAGGAAATTTGGTGTGCTTTGAAACATTCCTGCTGTTTTTGATTGTTTCTTCTTCAGGAAGGGGATCTTTCCGGCCAATCCAGTCTTCGCTGACGAAAGCTGCCGTGTCACGTCCCATTGTTCCCAAGATCCTTCCAGTTCAAGCCACCAGTCGTCTGTCTAGTAAGTCTTCTTTTCCAAAGAAAGTCCAGGCACAGGTAAGGTTAGGTCTCCATGAATTCGGAGAGCGAAGTGGACATCGCCAACAAATTCGTAGTGCATCAGTATGCTTAGGAGGGCGCTGACTTTTCAGGTCTACCTTAGCTAAGCGTCCCGGTAAAATACATGGAAAAATCCCATGGGGGGGAAGCAAGCAGGGTGGGAAAATCCACTTAGGGTTAGGTCTCCATGAATTCAGAGAGAGAAGTGGACATCGCCAAAGAATTCGTAGCGCATGGAGCCTGCCTTATCCCAGATCTTAGTAGTTCTGAAGTAACTGTTTTTATCTTCCACCCGTGATTAGTTTTTAAAGTGCTCGTTATGTTTGCCCGGGTCTCTAAATCCTTTTGACAAAGATCCTATTAGCCTAGTTCAGGGGTCTTCCAACTTGGCCCTTTTATGACTCGTGGGCTTCAACTCCCAGAATTCCTCAGCCAGGCGTGCCTGGCATGCCTGGCTGAGGAATTCTGGGAGTTGAAGTCCACGAGTCATAAAAGGGCCAAGTTGGAAGACCCCTGAACTAGTTAATAATTCAGGTGATAGCAGGACAATGGAGATAAAGGTTTTAAGTACGGTTGAGATAATGAAGCAATGGGAAAAAAAATCTTAGCTTTTGAGATAGAGGTAATCTTTATTTAGTGATTGTTTCATATAGCGACTGTTTGAATTACCGTGATGGTGAAAAAGCGACTTTGCGACCGGTCCTCGCATTTACATCCTTCACAGGTCTATAAGCAAAGGAAAGCCGAGATAAGATCATAAGCACAACAGTCATGGTTTCCCTTAGTGACCTCTTTAATGATTGAGTTGCCGCTCTTAGTTAAACGAGGACTGCCTATACTGAATCGATGAAATGTGTAAATACAAGAAGGTGCTATTAAAATAAAGTGTTTTCCTGCTGGTGGCAGATGTAAGCTTGCAAGAACCTCAGGTTTTAAGAGTTCTGCCTTCAGGAAAATGCCCTTCCTTATGTTTGCTGTTATTTGTCCAAAGGTGCGATTGATTTGGCGGCTAAATCAGCCGGTATTATCCCTGGCAGTCCTTTGCCGCTTCTGGGGACCGAAGGCTTGCCAAACGTTTCCCCGCTCTCACCAGAGGCAGTATCCACCGTGGTTGGAGGTCAAGATTCCACAGTGGCACATCAGAATGGAGGCTCTGTAGCAACAGTGGCGGTCAGTTTTCAGCTTTACTATAATCTCCTCCTCCTCCTCCTTCTTCTTCTCCTCCTCCTCCTCCTCCTCCCCTCCTCCTCCTCCTCTTCTTCTTCTCCTCTTCCTCCCCTCCTCTTCCTCCCCTCCTCCTCCTCCCCTTCTCCTCCTCCTCCTCTTCTTCTCCTTCTCCTCCTTCTTTTCTCCTCCTCTTCCTCCTTCTCCTCCTCCTCTCTCCTCTCTTCTTTTTCTCCTTCTCCTTCTTCTTCTTCTTCTTCTTCTTCTTCTTCTTCTTCTTCTTCTTCTTCTTCTTCCTCCTTTCTCCAGCTCATTCTATTACAGGGTTAGGCAGCTGTGGCAACATTACGACTTGTGGACTTCAGTTCCCAGAATTCCTGAGCCGGCCATTCTTGCCATTTCTTGCTGGCTCAGGAATTGTGGGAGTTGAAGTCCACAGGATGTAAAGTTGCCCATAGGTGCCCACCCGTTCTAATGGGATGTTGCTTTGGGCACAACGTGCACCAATTAGATGCTAGGCTTCAAAAACCAAGAAAGACACGTCGTGATTCTTACAACCAGATTTTTTTTATTGTTGTGGACTTATCAACAGAATCTTGCCAAGCCGAAGCAGACTACTACCTGCCCGAAGCATATATTCTGGGAACTAATGAGGAGGGGCTGTCTTCACTCTCTTTCTCTCACATAGGATATCTGGGCTGAGTTGCCTCTTATTCCTCTGGAATGCACCCCCTCCCTCCTGGAAATCCAGCCCTCTATATTCCATCCCACTAGACCAGGGGTAGGCAACCTTGGCTCTTTTATGACTCGCGGACTTCAACTCCCAGAATTCCTGAGCCAGCATGGCTCAGCTTGGAAACCTCTCCCTTTCCCCTCAGCATGGCTGGCTCAGGAATTCTGGGAGTTGAAGTCCACGAGTCATAAAAGAGCCAAGGTTGCCTACCCCTGCACTAGACTCCTCCAGACAGCCAAACACCCTTAAAAGTCTTACCCTGCCTTTACAACTCCAGCTTTCCCGAAATGGCCTCTCCACCCCAGTCCAGACTGACACCTCATCAACTATCTCAGATATTAAATGGTTCTGTTGTTCTACCTGGCAGGATAGTCGTTCCTGTCCTCTGTAACAGGAGAAGGGCTCCCAGGCCAGCTAGCCACGATAGATAATGGAGATGCTAGTTTGTTTTCCCTGAATTTCTGTTCTGTATCTTCCCTTTTTCTTTTCTTTTTTCACTATTTATTGGTTAGATTTATTTCACTTCTTTTCTTCGGAAATTCCTTGGCAGTAGCAAGGCAGGCGTGTTAATAAAGCATTAATGTTCCATAATTTCAGCGTCTCTCTTCCAGCCGTGTGGCTCAGGCAGTCTTTCTTGATTCCAGGGTTCAAGCCATGAATGTCGGGTTCCTTTCCTTGGTCTACCATCCCAGTCTGAGCAAGAAGCCATTCCTGATGGCTTCCAGGTAAAGTATATTTAATTAATAACTACGTACACTTCAGAACTTAATAGACACCGACGCTGTAGTTCTGATTAAGGAGGCTGTGTGCATAACCAGTACTTGCAGCCTAGTTTTAGACATAGTCGTTTTAGAATAGTCATTTTGGAAACTCTTTCATCCCTAAATAAAGAAGATTGGCAAGGCACTCGTCTGAATGTTGTGTGAACTTTTAAAGTCTGTTATTAGATACTTGAACTCCGCCCCCCAAAAAAAAATCTATGAACACATGGCACATGCTAGTTCCAGTAAACACTGATAACACTCATAGTTATAGAGAAGCAAGAATAAATCTTGCTAGATCAAAACGTGAGGCTCAGACAGTGGTGAAGTGCAAACAAAGTGGGGGAAAAAATATCATCTTGTGAAATTGCTGGTATCCTGTAGTCTAGGCTATTGTTTTTGCAATGTTTGCAACTTCCCAGAATGTGGACCAGGGTTGTAGAATTTCCCATCCAGCAGATCAGTGAAGTCCATAAATCTGAAAGGCACTCGTGTTTATCTTCTGTCGCTGAATAGTCCAGCATCTCACAGGGATCCCTTTCAGATTTGTGGGCTTCGTTGCCCTGAATTATCAGCAATAATTCTGTTGGGAGTCTATTGAAATAAATTGTTTCATTGGATAACATACATTAAACAAGACATTTGTATGAGCATAGCAGTGAGCTGGAATCTTGGGGGAATCCGATTTCAACCTTGCTAGATAACTGTTCTCCAGATCCCACCGTTAGGGAAAGCTGTCAGCTTGGTTATATGCCATCTGTAAAAGGAAAAATCATCAATTTCTCGGGAGCTGAAAGGAAGAACAGAGATGGGAGACTGTAAGCAAAACTTTCAATCACCGATTGAGACGATACTGAACTATAGATGGAAAGACTGGTTGCATCTAATGTAAGGAAGCTTTGTGTATTCAAGCACGGAAGTAGGGTTGCAACACCCTGACAAGGTTCCTGGTCTTCTGCACGGGCGTAACAGCTTTAGAAAAGGACATGTTGTTGACGTTACGGTTGTTTACGATTACCGTTTGCTTGCCACCCCAGGGAACACCGGTCCTTTCTCTGCCGGAGCTGCCTAAAACGTCGCTGAGGAATGGCCTTGCTCCCTCTTCTGAGACGTCCAGTACCCACCTGTCTCCTCCCAACGTCTCCGCTCTCCTGGACATATCACTTCCTGGACCCCCCGAGGATGTTTTGTCTCAGGGAGAACCGGCTACTCAAATCAGTGACTCCATCATCGAAATAGCAATTAGCTCAGGCCAATACGGTAAGGGAGAAAGAAGAGGAGTGAGTGAGTGAGATAGATGTCAAAGGTTGCTGTTCAAAAGATTGCCATAGGTCTGACTCATCAATGGGTTCTGTTTTTGTTTGACCTTGATAATGCTCAAATGGGTGAGTGTTTCTTGAAAACAAGAGTGGGGAGCTTGTGATTTTCCCCCCCAAAAAAAGGACGGCTGCATATTTTACATACTGCAGTAACATTTTCCATTTACAGGTGAGAGTGTTTCCCTGTCCCCAGCCAAGCTGAACGGCAGCGATAATTCCAAAAGTCTTCCGTCCCCATCCTGCAGCCCCCAGCAAAGCTGGATCGCCTCGCCCAGCCACGATCCACAGTGGTATCCCAATGACTCCACCGACTCTTCCCTCAGCAGCTTATTTTGTGAGTGCAGCCAAAAAGGCTCTTAACGGCCCGGTGTGTGTGTGTGTGTGTGTGTGTGTGTGTGTGTGTGATATGACCAGGTTTACCTCATTCTTTTGTCCCATAACCTCTCCGTTGTCAAAACCCAACTGAGAGATGTACATTGAGCAAGCAGGAGACCTAACCGTACGCCCTTTAAAAATCCGAGCATAGCTACAGCCCACTTAATCAGCAACATTTATTCCACCCTTATCCCATCTGGTCTGCTTCTTTTCCTTGGTCCACGAAAAATATCAATTTTTTCCATGACAAATAGCTCCCACAATCGGGACCAGAATTTCTGTTGCTAAGCAAAGGCGGTTGTTAATGTGAATCCCGGCAAATTTTTAACAACCGTTTTTGTCACCATTGCTCGGCGCATTGTTGCAGCGGTTAAGCGAATTGCGCCATTGTGCAACGAATCCAGCTTCCCCCCCCCAGTGACTTTGCTTGTCAGAGGTCAGCTAGGAAGGTCGTAGATGGCAATCACGTGACCCCCTCCCAAGGATGCTGCAACCCTTGTAACTACATGCCTGTAAATACATGCCTGTAAATTCAAGTGCCCGAATTTTGATCATGTGAGCATGGGGAACGCTGCAACAGTCATAGGTCTGAGGACTGCAGGTCTCTTTTTTCAGTGCCGTTATAACTTTTGAACGGTTGCTAAGTGAACGGTTATTAAGTCAAGACCACCTGTAGTGCTCTGGTCCCAGTTGGGAAAACAACCTGTTGTAACGGGCATCGGTTAAGTGCCACCTCTTGCCCAAAGAGTGGGCTTTTTTTCTGAGGACATCATTGGACTTTTCTACCTTGGACTGAGATCGCCGTCTTGACCTCTTCCTACCTCTGTTTTACAGCCAGTTTCCTTTCTCCGGAAAAGGGCCGGAAAATGCTGCCCACCTCAGTGGGCAATCCAAGCAGCAGCTCCTTGCTGGGACCCAGCCTGCTGGATGGGAATTCACGGGATTCTTTTGTCTCTCGGTCCATGGCTGATGTCGCTGAGGTACAATATGCTTTTTCTCGGAGATAGGGTGCAGAGCTTTGGGCTGGGGTGATGGCACAGAGAGAGAGAGAGAGAGTTTGGGATGCCAGTGAAGGTGCTGGCCTAGAAGGAAGGAGATCCTGAGTTTCAGGGCTGGCTTTGGCAGACAAGCTGGCTGGTTGACTTTGGGTCAGTCTCTCTTAGTCCAGTCTCTCTTGAGAAGGAAGGAAGGAAGGAAGGAAGGAAGGAAGGAAGGAAGGAAGGAAGGAAGGAAGGAAGGAAGGAAGGAAGGAGTGGAACAAACAAGGAAGCAAGGAATCTAGCAAAGGAAGGAAGGAAGGAGTGGAACAAACAAGAAAGCAAGGAATCTAGCAAAGGAAGGAAGGAGTGGAAAAAACAAGGAAGCAAGGAATATAGCGAAAAAAGGAAGGAGTGGAACAAGCAAGGAATCTAGAGAAGGAAGGAAGGAGTGGAACAAACAAGGAAGCAATGAATCTAATAGGAAGGAAGGAAGGAGTGGAACAAACAAGGAAGCAATGAATCTAGCGAAGGAAGCAAGGAAGGAAAGAGTGGAACAAGCAAGGAATCTAGCGAAGGAAGGAGTGGAAAAAACAAGGAAGCAAGGAATATAGCAAAAGAAGGAAGGAGTGGAACAAGCAAGGAATCTAGAGAAGGAAGGAAGGAGTGGAACAAGCAAGGAATCTAATAAGGAAGGAAGGAAGGAAGGAAGGAAGGAAGGAAGGAGTGGAACAAACAAGGAAGCAATGAATCTAGCGAAGGAAGGAAGGAGTGGAACAAGCAAGGAATCTAATGAAGGAAGGAAGGAGTGGAACAAACAAGGAATCTAGTGAAGGAAGCAAGGAAGGAAGGAAGAAAGGAGTGGAACAAGCAAGGAATCTAGCAAAGGAAGGAAGGAGTGGAACAAGGAAGGAAGGAAGGAAGGAAGGAGTGGAACAAACAAGGAATCTAGCGAAGGAAGGAAGGAATGGAACAAGCAAGGAAGCAAGGAATCTAGCGAAGGAAGGATGGAAGGAGTGGAACAAGCAAAGATAATATAGGATATTATTGCTTTGACACTAGCGAAGGAAGGAGTGGAACAAGCAAAGAATTTAGCGAAGGAAGGAAGTGGAACAAACAAGGAAGCAAGGAATCTAGCAAAGGAAGGAAGGAGACCTATATAGACAAACAAAGCCCACACATGTGGTATTTTGCATCACTACTCCACCCCTAGCCATCATTCCGCCCCCTCCCCCTGCAAATATCGTGCAGCTATTGGCTAGCAAAGTTGCACGCTGCACATCCTGATAACCAGCGTGCCTTTGACCGTATTCCAACCTCCGCTGAGCTCAAAGAGAAAGCCAGAAGACCAGGAAGCCAACGATCTCTTTTCTTCCCCTTCTCTTTGGTTGCAGGTGGTAGATTCCCAGCTGGCCTGCATGATGAACGAGAACAGCATAGATTACATATCTCGTTTCAACGACCTCGCCCAGGAGCTCGCGATCCCCGAGCCCCCCCGCCGAGAGATTCTCTTTGACGGAGGGAGTGGCGGTCCCCCCATGGGCGACCTCTCTCAGTGAACGCATCCCCACCAGCTGGCTGGTGGGCGCCGTTGAATTGGCCATACCGTGGAGGAATGACGTCATAGCTATGCAGCCGATTGGGTTTTTTTTTAATTATTATTATTATTATGGTTTTTTTGTTGTTGTCCTGGCGGGAGCATACCTGACATGAAGAGAGGAGCTTTTTTTTGTCTTCGACCTTCTACGGTTCCTGGAAAGTGCAATAGGCTGGGAACAAGGCACTGTGGAGCAGTATTATAGGAAGTGAGGTGTGTGTGTAAGCTGGTGACAAAGCCACAAAGTTTACAAGACGAGTTCCGGGTTTAAGGTCTGAGCAAGAAATCCTGAAAACTACACTCTTAGATAGAAAACCAAAACTGTTGTCGGGGTATCCACACATAAGCTGAAAGTTGGGGGTAAATAGTGGTATGTTTTTATTAAGTTTTCTGTTGTTGGTTTTTGTTTTTTAGAACTTCCTCTCCTGATCTGTCACGGTCGTCTTGGCAAGTCAGTTGAGCTGGTATTCCTCACACTTTCCTGTCGCAACAGAGCAGCTGAATTTTAACAAGGCTTTTAACAGAATTCTTTCATTGTTTCTTTATATTCATTAACATTCCAGCAGGACACAGGGAGGGAGGGAAAAAAAAATACCATGTTTAAAAACTAGGATAGGGTCAGAGGAAATCTTGGAAGGACACAAGACCTATCCTGCTTCTTTTTAACCTTCTTCCCCATGCTTAAAAAAAAAAAGACAGCTATCGCCCGAGGACTTCCATTTTTCCTAGCATGCCGGCTGGGGAATTGTGGGAATCGAAGTCCACATATCTTAAATTTGTTGGAAGTTGAGAAACACTCTTCTGGGGTTGGGGGTGGTCTTCTAGATACGTTCAAAGTCAAATTCCTTTGAGATGAGCACAATCATTGGTGACGGCCATGGGAAAGTCCTTGTAGTCTCTCTCGGGACCTGGTCTTACTTGGGGATGAATTTCCGACTTCCCGGTCCAGTCTGCAGCTCGGGGTTCTTGGTAGTTATTAGACGAGAGGCCTCGTGGCAAAATCAGGGCCATAGACTAGACTGGGATGTCAGCGCACTCCCCCCAAAATCATGTTTATATCTCTTTAGATATCAGGAGTCAAGCTTGACACGAAGACACTTTCTCTTTTCTTCTTAAGAGCCCCTTTGATTATTGTGCATTAGCGTTTTGGAGGACGAATCTCTTGACCACATTTCTGGTTGCAGTTGAGGAACGTTTTTGATCATGTTCTGCCGATGAAAGAAACGGGTACAATTCTCTTACTTCTTGTAGGTTCCTAACGCAGTTATCAGTTTTACACCAGGGTCTCTCCATCTACAGTCAACAAGGGCCCTTCCTGAGGTCTGTAGATGTTGGCCTCTTAGCCTTCAGAGCTTGGATAGCCGGTAGCCATCACTTGACTTTAATTTTGCAGCCAGCAAGAACCATCTAGTCCGGTGTTTCTCAACCTTGGCAACTTTACGAGGTGTGGACTTCAACTCCCAGAATTCTCCAGCTAGCAATGCTAGCTGGAGAATTCTGGGAGTTGAAGTCCACACCTCGTAAAGTTGCCAAGGTTGAGAAACACTGATTTCTAGTCCCTCTTCTTTACCGATTATTCCAGATTATACAGTCCCCTTAGTTGTTCCTCTCCCACAAGCCGAGAGCATTTCTAACCATCATTCCCTTATGAAGTGCTGTTCACCTGCAAGCAGCCGCTCTTGGCAAGCCTGTCCTGTGGATGTCTCATTTTTTCTTCAGATGTTTGACAGGCAACCGTGACTTCAGACCTGGTCCACAAGGTCTACCTTGCTTTTGCCCAAACTGACGTCAAAAGGGAGCAAAAACGGTGCTGATCAGGAGAGGCATCTCTGTTCCTGGGATTTATCCCTAATCCTCTTTTGGCATCGCTCCATGTTTCTTCGCTCTGCCTTGCCGCAGAACTGGAGGGCCTCTCCTAGCTGCAGTGTATTTGTGACCTGAGTCCACCTGCCCTTCCTTAAATTAAGATGCTCTCCAGATTCTGCAGAAGCTGAATGGAAAACTGCTGAGATCATGCATACCTCTGGGGCTAATTATTATAACCTAATCATCTGATTCTCACTGCTCCTTCAAAAGTTGCAGTCCTTCTGAGTATTTCGCCGTAACTGATAACTAAATGTGTTCTTTTATTTCGGGCCAGAACACCCTATGCGGTTCTGATAGCAAGGGACAAAATAGCGGTCCACAGAGTTCCGGCAGTCACAAGAGATTCTCTCCTTTTACCATACTGGATCTGCATGTATCTAGACGCCTCCAGGCAGCATCTGTGATTTAGGAGGCATTTTAGCAACTTAGCTTAGATCCCACACTGCCGGAATTCACTTATTGCACTTGTGCAGTTTTTGCTGATAAAACAACATTTTTCCCCCCTCGGTATCCTTCAGCTCTTTTCAGTTCTGTGTCCCATAGAAAATGTTTTATTCAGCGTGTTTTGTTCAAATAAAGCAACCTAGGCCGACTCTTTCAGTGATCATCATGCAGCTTGCACTGTGATTTAAAGCTTTTATGTGGGTTTTATGTGGGAATTCTTTCCTCTTAACTACTGGGCTCTTTGACATGGATATTTTAAACTCAAGTTTATGGAGCCCCCCCCCTTTTTTTTTTTTATGTCTGTCTGGAATATTCACCTGCCTTGCAGTGGAATCAAAAATCCTACTCGGGATACCGGTCCTTGGCGTGGGGATCAGTGTCCCTCCTGACGCCAGCTTTCTCCATCCACGAAAGCAAAGAATGTCGTAAGAACTATTAGGGCTAGACAGTTTTTAATACGGTTTTGTTGCCGGAAACATCCCTAAGTAAGTAAACATTCACAAAGCAGCTCCTTTCCTCATACTTGACAGTTTAAAAGCAGTATCTACGTATCAGCTTTAGTGCTTCTGAAGTACTCTGCAAACGACACTGAACTTCCTTCGTAAAGTCTTGTCTCCTTTCCTGTTTGCTTAGTGGTTTTTGTCCACAAAAATTTTAAAGAAAAAATCCTTTTGTGGCCTTTTACGTCTTGGGTGTTACATCTGAAGTCAAGAGCAAGGACAGCTCCGCTTTTAGGACTGAAGCAGAGGAGAACTCCAGTGATCTCAACTCCAGCCCTTTTGCTGCAGTGCTTCTTTATATAAGTGATTTTAATTCTTGCGAAGCTGCTGGCCTTAATGGCTGCTGTCGAGAGAGATCCTAATTGGCTAAGCGCAGGAGACAATTCTGAGCTGTTCCTCTGGATCCTTTTGGATCCAGAAGACTGTCAAGTTTATGTGCAACTTCTAGGGAATCTGCAGGCACGGCTGCGTCTAAGTGGAGTCCTCTTGCCTCTGTTTTTGGCTGGAGGTATTGAAAGAAAAGGCTCTTGTGGATGGCCTGATTTTCATTCGTGCATTTGGTTCCTGAAAAGCTTTTTGGTGTCCAGTGTTCTTTTTCCAATCAGATGGATGGGTTGATGTGTGTCTTTTACAAATGAGAATGTATGCAGTGGATATAAGCTTTTCCCGTAGGCCTACCAGACAGGGCACTGGGAATCGGAAGCGTTTGCGCCTAACCTAATGTAAAGTTTCAAGAATGTGGGTTAGGCGTTTGTATCTGCCCATTTTTTGAGTGCCTGGATTGGACAGTAGTTGATGGTCTTGCTTGTGCAGTGCGTTGAAATTGGCCAATCGCTCAAACATTGACTTTTAGTTTTGATCAATGGGGACACAGTTCACGAGGAGTTTCCCTCCACACACGACGTTGGTTGGAATGAAATTCCCTATGAACTGCGTCCTAATTATCACACGCTTTTGTTCTTTACACAAAAGAAATTGGCATTATGTAACCTCTCTTTGATTGTTAACTTTATTACTTTCTTTAGCCAGCTTGATTTCAGTTATACCCATAAGGATGGCTTGTCTTTGACTCGACCAGTGGTGGGTTTTTTAGTATTGCATTTGGGGTTTGGGTTATTTTTTTAAATACACACACACACACACACACACACACACACACACACATATACACACACACTCAATACTTGTATGCTTACACAGAGAAGACAGCTGAATTTTAAAGGAAGAAGCGGCACTTTTTTTTTTGAGTTAACCCAGCCCTTTTTAAAGCTTTCCTTGTGACCTGTAAATGCTAAATAATGAAAATGTTTGCAAGCACTACAGCAATGAGTTATCACGAGTTGCCAAAATGTGACAACTAGCTTTTGAGCTTGTGCATTTGGCAGCAGATGATGTTGCTGTTTCTTTTAATAATAGTTAAGCCATATCATCTTAAAAAGTTTTTTGTCTTGTTTTAAAATGTGAATTCGTTTTTCAGATAATATGCATATATAGCGTATGTATAAAGCAAGAATGCCTGTCCTTAACTGATTTATTTTTTTGTACCATATTGTAAATTATATTATTTATTCTTTATCGACTTTTGGAAAAAGGAAAAAGGTGTTTGGGTTATTTAATATAATATACAAAAGTTAACTTCCTCTGTTTTCAATTTCCAATTCAAGTTGTAAAGTTGTTTTTATGATTGTCCATAAACACTTACTAATCCTTGGTCTAATCTGTGTGTCTGAGAAAGATATTTGATAATCATTTTTCTTCTCCAGATTTCCTATAGTTAAGAGTTCAGAGACATTAGAGGTCATTGGGGACTTTTGAGGATCTGTGGAAAAATCAGTATTCTATTACATTGGGTGAAATTGAGTATAGAAATGCCCTGGAACTTTTAACATTTGAAGCATTAATTGCTAAGTTCTTTTATTTCCTGTTTTGATGAGTGTCTGCATTCCATGGGAATTATTTTAATAACCCCCAAAAGTGATGAGTTTGTTCTGCTGCTTCCCATAGCTAAAAATGACCCTGAACTTCTGCCATCGACTTTTGAATAGAAAGCAATGCTACTAAGCTTTCAATGTTGCTGATCATCCTTCCCAAATCTGACGTCTCAGCGGATTTGTGGACTTTTTCACTCCCAGAATTCCCTAGCTTTAAAAGTTGCCAAAGTTGGACACCCCTGCCCTAGCCAATATTGGCATTGCTGACAATTCTAGTATTAAATATGTTCACACATCTAGAAATTACCAGTTTGCAAAAGGCTGGAACATGCAGCCCAACAAAATGTTGCCAAGCAAGCAGTATAAAATTGGGCAATGCTTTAAATCAGTGGTGGCGAACCTATGGCACGGGTGCCAGAGGTGGCACTCAGAGCCCTCTCTGTGGGCACGCGCGCCGTCGCCCCAGTCCTAACCTTCAGCTGGGTTTTATAAAACCTTTTCGCTTGAGGCCTCCGCTGCCATGCGCAAAAAAAAAAAAAAAGGTTCAATCAATCAGTCAATTTCAACTTCTCGTGGGAAAAAAAAGATCTCACAAAGTTGGAATTGATTGAGTGAACTTTTTAGTCCCACCCAGTCTGCTTACCACTGCAGCCACGCCCACCCAATGGGCCACGCCCACCCGGCACCTGACGATGCATAAGTGGGTTTTGGGTTGCAGTTTGGGCACTCGGTCTCTAAAAGGTTTGCCATCACTGCTTTAAATTATAGATCAGTGTCTCACGTGTTCATCCTTGAAGTGAAACAATGGATTTCTTTTTTCCAGATATGAGAAGGATGTCCAAACTAGATAAAGAACAGACAAAACACCAAGGTCAAAAGAAAAGTCAAGATGGTGACAACATTGTGACTTTTTTTTTGACAACACCCCTTTGCCCAGCTGGCTGATAGAATGATTCTAAAATAGAAATTTCTGCTGTAATAAGCTTTATTGTGAGTGGACTTGAAACTTGATATTTTGATCTAATTAACACATCACCCCTTGCCTTCACACAACCACCCAAGTATAACTAAACTATGCTTTATTGAATTAATGTTTTGGTTAGTACCAGTGCATGGAACTATAATCCCACTGGATGATCACAAAGGCACCCTGCATGAATAATTGACCCAAGTTTCATTAGGAACAATGCGACCGGCACAGAACAAGTAAATATCTGAATTTGTTAAAGGTTAATCAGTCAACCTCTTGTCAAGTAAGATCAATCATTTGCCCAATAATAGTTCAGCCAATCGCCTATCCCAGTGTTTCTCAACCTTGACAATGTTAAGGCATGTGGACTTCAACTCCCAGAATTCCACAGCCAGCAATGCTGGCTGTGGAATTCTGGGAGTTGAAGTCCACATGCCTTAACATTGTCAAGGTTGAGAAATACTGGGGCCCCTATCCTTTTGGAGTGCTCGTTCGCTTTGCAACTGATAGGTGCGTTCACACAACCCGCTTAAAACAAGGTGAAGACCTGATGACTGCATTTATTCATATTAGATTTTGTAATGGTCCACCTTGGGTTAGGTCAGTGTTTCTCAACCTTGACAATTTTAAGGCATGTGGACTTCAACTCCCAGAATTCCACAGCCAGCAATGCTGGCTGTGGAATTCTGGGAGTTGAAGTCCACATGCCTTAAAATGGTCAAGGTTGAGAAACACTGGGTTAGGTCTAGCGCAGTTCAGGCTGTTAACGCGAACTCGGACCACTCGGGAACCAGGTTAAAGGAGTGTTTGGAAACACGTGGGGGGGGGGCGGGCGGGGAGGAGCCGCGGCCCTTTAAATTTAAAAAAAAACAAAAAACTTCCGAGTCATTTCCGCTTTTCTTCCCCCTCATCCAATGAGCGCCCGACCTCTTTGGAGCGGCCCCGCCCTCTCCCACAGCAGACGCCCCGCCCCTTTCGGCTCCCGCCACCTCGGACTCGCGCTCCGAGGGGCGGGCCTTCCCGCCGCGGTTGGCCGAGGCCGGGTGGAACGGCGCCGCCCTCGGCCAATGGCCTTCGGAGGGCGGGGCCGAGCGTCGAGCCGGGGGAGACGCGGGAGAGAAAAGAGGCGAGTCGCGGCCGGGAAGCAGAGCAACCCTCGGAGGCCCGTCGCTCTGCCGGCCACCATGTTCCAAGGGCCCGAGACCGACACGGCCAGACCCAGCTCCAGGTGAGGCGGCCGCGCGGCTGGGCTTTCCCCTCGGGAGGCCGCTGCGGGGAGGGAGGGAAGGAGGGAGGGACTCCAAATCCCAGCATCCCCAGCCTGGAGACGGCCCGGCCCGTAAGCGCCTCTGCAGGGCGGGCGGAGGAACACGTGGACGACGACGCCTGAAGGGAGGAGGAGGAGGAGGAGGGGGGGCGGCTCTGCCCCCCCTCCCCACCCCCCCACCCCGCTCAGGTCGCGTTCACACGACGCGTGTAACCCAGGCCTGCGAGGTTTCACACCGGTTCCGCGGGGCGCGTGAAAACCGGCCCCGCTTGTCACGTGGGAATGAATGAATACCTGGCTTGAGGTCTGGCGGGGAAGCCCGCCTCGGGCGTCGCCCCCTTGGAGGGGCGATTCGGCTCGCCTGGGCTGGGCCAGCCGGCTGGAGACCCCATTGGGGTTGGGGGGGGGCGAGATGCGGGGAATGCTCGAGGGAATCGAGGTAGGGTCGTCTCCCTCCCCCCCCCCAAAAAAAAGTACCCTGCCAGCCCCTGCAACACGGGTGGGTGGGTGGGCGGGCGGCATGTAATTGTCTGCCTTGCTCGGAGCCCAATAAAGGTTAAGAGTGCTTATATAATGCCTTGGTAAGGACCCCCCTTGGAAGGCTGCCTCCAGTTTCGGTCACCCCCATATAAAAAAAAGATGTTGATAATTCTAGAAAGAGTGCAGGGAATAAAGGCGATGGGGGGGCTGGAGGATAAAACATACGGAAGGACGGCGGTTGCAGGAATTGGGTATGTCTAGTTTAATGAAAAGGGGGACATGACAGCAGACTTCCAGTATCTGGGGGGGGGGCTGCCCCAAAGAAGAGGCAGTCAAGCTATTTTCCAAAGCCCCAGAAGGCCAGACAAGAAACCATGGATGGAAACTCGTCAAGGAGAGAAGCAACCTGGAATTAAGGAGAAACTTCCTAACCTTGAGGACAATTAACCAGTGGAACAGCTGGCCATCAGAAGTTGTGGGTGCTCCATCACTGGGAAGCTTTCTAGAAGAGACTGGTCAGCCATTTGTGTGGAATGGTATATAGGGTTTCCTCCTTGAGCAGGGGGTTGGACTAGAAGACCTCCAAGGTCCCTTCTACCTCTGTAATTCTGTGAGAAGGGCTGATGGGAAACATTCCGTGGCCAAAAGGCGCCCAAGCCTTGCTTAACTGAGTGGTTATTTATTTATGGCATCCAGCCCAGTTTTGTTTATTTGCTTGATTCTTGTCTTTATTTTATTTATTCAATTTCTACTTCACCTCTGTCACCTAAGTGATTCTGGCTGGTTATAAGTAACTCAAGGTAGCCAAGGTACATAAGATTCCTTCCTCTTCCTGATTTCCCCATAGCAACCCTGTGGGGTGGGGTGGGCCGAGACAGTGCGACACTAGCCCAAAGTCACCCAGCCGACTTTTGTGCCTAAAGCAGGACTAGAACTTGCCTTGGGATTATCTCCCCAAGTTGTAAAAATGCCCTGCTTGCAAAAGCGAGTTGCCTGGGTTGTGTCTGTGATGCTGGTTGTTATTGTTCCAGGATTTTAAAATGCTTTCAGGGGTTTTCAAGATTTGTACTATCTGCTAAACAGCATTACTGGCATCGAGTAAATGGTGCGGGAATTTCCAAAATAGACATGTGGCAATTTTCCATTGGATATATATATATATATAGCTATGTAGTTAGAACAATATCCTGCATGCGCCAGGAACAACTTTTTAATGGGCACATGTTGAGCGGCCGCTGCCTTTGCCTTGAAGGGATTAAGGCAATGAATCTTGAGTTGGGTTTCAAATTGTTGGAGTTGCGATACTCCAGCATAAATTATTGATTGCCAAAGGGAATCAGGTGCCACCCAACCGTGCTGTCTGCTCCTGGAATTTCAAGAAGGCTCAACTGCATTTGCCTGCTTTGTTACAAAGTGGGTGTGGGTTGTGAGACTACAGGCTGTAGTTCTGCATCTCTGCAGTTTCGTGTCTTGCCTGAGGCATAAAACCATCTCTTTAAAACTGCTTTTTCAGGCCATGTGCAATGTGCAGTGGGCTTTTTTTAACGAAGCAGTAACTCGGGATAAAAGTTGGAATTCAATCCTCTTTTTTACTCTATCTCTCATAACTTAAAACAACAAATTCAATCTTTCATATGTTTAGACCACTGGTTCCAAACAACTGGGAGTGGTTTGCAATAACAGCAACAACAAAACATAAAAGCAATAGTAAACCCCACAACGTAACAGAGCATTGCTTCAACTTTGGTATCGAAACCCTTTAAAAAGTTCCATGTATACTGCCTTCCGGCATGTAACAATGATCCCTTTGGATCTCTGGAGATAAAAGTGGGCCATAACAAAGCATCATGAAAGCAGTGCATCTTAGTTTCCCCCTCTTTTGTTCTTGGAGTGGGGGGAGGTGTCTCAACACCCCACCCCCATCCTCAGCTGGCCATACTGATGGTCCTGCAGATAGTTTAGAGCAGAGGTCCCCAACGTTTTGGGCACCAGGGATCTGTTCCATGGAGAAAGGTTTTTCCGCGGACCGAAGGGCGCGTGGTTTTGTGTGCTGCCTGCATCCCATGGATGGGGCTTTGCTTGTTCGTGCGGACCAGTTGCTGGCATGTTGTGGACCGGTCCCGGTCCACAGACCGGGGGTTGGGGACCCCTGGTTTAGAGCCATAACATACAGGACTCTCTATAAGTTAAAGCTAGAACATGGAATTGTATTTAGAAGCCTGTGGCTTCAGAGCAGCATTAAGGTTATGTGAAATGGATAATTCTCACCTGTTAGTAAGCCACTGCATTCTACAGCATCCCTTCCAAATAGCTTTCAAAGTGATGAGGGTGTGTTGCTAGGGTATTATCTCCTTAAAATGTCATACATGATATACCAGCCAAACCTGGGCAGAAGCCTCATTAGTCACAGTCCCCATTTGCCAGTCTAGCAGCCGATGTAGCTGTTGTCTAAGGGGACCCCAAATTGTGAGATCCCTCCTAAATGTCCCCCTTTTATATTGGACAAGAGGAGCAGTGCACAGTGGTCTCTGGATAAACAGCACTGCCACATCTTTCAAGAATTCTGTCCAGTTTTGTTTTTCTTTTTTCAGCCTCCAGGCACTGAAACAATCCCCACCCAGTTCACATGATCCATGTTGGCCTTCCACAAGCTCTTGAAACTCTTTCCCCAGGCATCAAGCTAGTTGGAAAGGTGTCTAACCTTGGCAACTTTAAGACTTAGGGACTTCAATTCCCAGAATTCTAAGAGTTGATGGATACCCCTGGGCTAGAACATGGGATGAGCCCTGGAAATCGCAGTTGCCTAAATACCTTTTTGAAGTTAAATTCGAGATAGATTAGCTGCCTGTGGAAAAAATGATTTGCAGGTAAATTGTGTGAAGTAATGCCAAACCATGTCTGAATGACTGGCCTACTTCTATAATTTCCTTTGGATGAAGATATAACACTGCAGGCTCTTTTCCACTGTGGCACATTGAAAGAAAATAGCTATAATTCTACAATCTTCATTTCTTCTTCTTATCCAAACAGTTTGGTTGTACCGGAAATTTGGTTTATGAAATAAGCGTGGTAAACATCTGGTGTGGATTATAGTAGTATCTGCAATTTTTACCATCCCTTTGGCAAGTGGTATTACCAATGAAATAACTATCTCCCTTCCTTTTTAGATCATAATCTCTCAGCTAACTATCACTGAGATTACATATTCCTGAAATGTATTAATCGTTCCTAGATCACTCCTCCTTTTTTACAGTATACAGCAAATGTATAATCCTTCAGAGTGTATATTGTATAGTCGTCTGTACAAGATCTACCACCAAAATCATGTTCTTTATTGGTGCGGCTTATAGCTTTGCAAGAAGTTGGTCTTTACTTAGAAAGTGATCCTCCATTGACTGCAACAGTCTAACAATGCATGCTAAGGTATCCCAAACAAAGGATATAAGTTTGTTAATTTTCTGTGACACAATCTTTCGTGTGCCGTTTGCATTGGTTGCTGAAACGAGCCCCCATCTCTTTCTAATTGAAAGCATGCTGGCTGGGGGGATTCTGGGAGTTGAAGTCCACAAGTCTTACAAGTCGCCAAGGTTGGACACCCCTAATTTAATCCTTCATAGACCAATAAAGAGCAGTTATTATAATAGGCAATAACACAAATCTATAATCTTTTTTTTTTAAAGTGTATATGTCATGGCTGCGGCAGATGAAACTCTTCAAAGAACTTGGAGGCATTGTTTACCTTAAAGAATCTTTATTCGAGTAGCATGGCATCCCCACGTACATAGGCAAAGCCAAAATCCGAACCCCCCCTCCCCTGAGCACATAGTATCAAAGCACAATTCCCTCCTCTAATTCACAGTCATAAATCACATTCTCCAATTAGTTTGAAACGCAGGCTTTCCCTCCAGTTCTTCAACCTGGCCATTTCTTATCACTTCTTATTTAAAAAAAAACCTTGGGTCTCACACTAGTTACAATATTGTTATGCCTAACTAAACTCCCATGCACATTCCTCCCCCCCCCCCCAGTATCCTCTAATTCTAAGAGTAAAACATAAGAAGGAAAACGGCTGCATCTCCATATATTGTCAAAGCAAGAACATCCGATGTTCGCAGCGTTGACAGTATAACTTGGTGTGTATCTCCTAGCCAGTATTCAAACGCTGTAGTTTTCACCGATTCATCAAAGGGTGTCAACAAGTTCCCGAGGGATAAACTGAGCTCAGCCTGTTCAGCCTTCTTCCTCAGCTTGGGATTGGGTGTGGTTGTGGCCTCACCCAGCAACCGAAAGGAAAGGAAAATCAAATCACTATCCAGAAGAATCAGGCCAACTTTGCAACAATCCCTTTTGTGGGTGGGGGACGGGGAGGAAGTGTACATACAGTTCTCATAGGAAAGGTCTGCACTAAGAATGTTATTTGCCAGTACTGTATAGCCCGATACTTTAATCCAAATTCTTCACATGGATTTAAACAAATGCTAATTTTGAAGACAATTAAGTTTTACAGGCGCCAAGAAACTCTTGTTGTTACCTCCTCTGAAATTTTTTTTTTAGATAAATCGAATGCTGCCAGATAAAATAGGACCTTTATTAGCCAGTGCTGACCAGGGGTTGCCCATCCTGAATAGATGGAAGCTAATTAAGGAGAGAACCAACCTGGGATTAAGGAGAAATGTCCTGACAGTTGGAACAATTAATCAGAGGAACGCCATGCCTTCAGAAGTTGTGAATGTTCCAACACTGGAAGTTGTTAAGAAGAGATTGGAGAACCATTTATCTCAAATGGTATAGGGTTTCCTGCCTGAGCAGGGGGTTGGACTAGAATACCTCCAAGGTCCCTTCTAACTCTCTTGTTCAGTTTTTTTAAACCATTCTATGCCCAAACCATGGTTTCCAATTTAAATGATCCCACAATTCACAGTTATATTAAATGGAAGTCAAACAAACAGTATAATAAATGGACCTTACCCGCCACTGCCTAGTTCTGAGTATAGAGTATCTTTTATAATCACGGTTGATTGAGGATTGTCTTCTGCAAAACAGGGTGTTGCAACCACCAGGTGGAACCTCCAGCAATCTCTTTGGAAGTCCAGACGTGTCCTCTTCTTCCAAATCACAGAAAATGGCCTCCAACATATTTGCAGCAGCTGAAGAACCCCTGAATTTCCCAAAGAGAACGAATCCCCCAGGTGAGACCCACGCTCTTCTTGAAAATACTGGGGATGGGAGTGACAGGTTTGATAGGTTCATCCGTGAAACCAGGTAACTATCATTTATCATTTGAAGAGCCGTGATGGTGCAGTATTGCAGGCTAACTCTGCCGACTGCCAGCAGTTCGATCCTGACCGGCTCAAGGCTGACTCGGCCTTCCATCCTTCCGAGGTCGGTAAAATGAGGACCTAGATTGTTGGGGGCAAAATGCTAAGTAAACGGCTTAGAGAAGGCTGCAAAGCACTATGAAGCGGTATATAAATCTTAAGTCCTATTGCTATTGCAGTTTTTAGACAACGCTGATCTCTTGGGAACTTGCATAAGGCGTAAGATATTTTTTTTTAGTGCCATTGTCACTTCGAACAATCACTAAATGAACTGTTGTAAGTCGAGGACTACGTGTCTCTTTTCAGGGATGTTAATGCTCCACTTACATTCCAGATTGTAAAACTTGCTTACCCAGCCACGAAGTTGTGAAAATCTCTGGCTTAGATGTGGGTTTTTTTGCATGGTACTAAGAGCTTTCGGTAACAATTCACTTTTTTTCGCCTATTTGTAATGCTGTAAGACTGTAATAAAGGACTGTTGAGAAGCAGAAAGGAAAAGCAACAGGATTTTAAAAAGGAAACGCTTAGCCCAAGGTGGTCAAACGTGTCTCAGTCCCGAAGGGCCTCAACATCCTAGCTAGAGGGTCCGCTGCCCGTTTCCTCCAGCCCTGGAGAATCGGAGAGGAAGAGCAGGTCCTGTAAACTTCCTCCGCTATTGTTGCCTTGCAGGTGGGAAGGACAGTGGCATTTTTGAGGATCATAAACCTAATGAATCCCGGCAATTTATAAACCCACCTGGAGGAAAAACAAGCAACATCTTTGGGACTCCGTCGCCTGTCAGCACAGTCAAAGCACATCCAAATAAGCCCAAGGTAACTCGCTTACAGCTTCCACGCACTTTCTTTTCTTTAAAAAAAAAAAAAGTGGAGGGTGGGGAGGGCAAAAGGAGAGCCCAAGTTACAGTAATATCTATGCAGGCAAAGCAGTTTGTGTTTGAGTAAAGCAGCGGTTCTCAACCTATGGGTCGCGACCCCATTTGGGGTCGATCGACCATTTCACGGGGGTCGCCAAGCAAGGCTGTCCGCCATTTTTTCCCTTTTTCCAGCGGGTGCCTTACCTCTTTTGGGCTGGGCCAGCTGGTGGTCGGCCTGCTCCGTCTCTGCCACTTGCCAGCTGCGTCTCGGCTGGCGCAGGGGGCGGAACCATGCATGTGCGGCGCTCCCGGGCAGGGAAAGTCCTCAACCTACGACCGGTTGGGTAGTCCTCGACTTACGACCGGTTTAGTCCTTGACTTACGACCGGTTTAGTCCTCGACCTACGACCGGTTGGGGGTCGCGGCATTAAAAAGGTTGAGAACCACTGGAGTAAAGGAAGCTGTTGGATATGTCCTTCCTGGGCTACAGAAACATCTTACAAAACTAATGTTGTCTTGATTGGGCAGGCAATAGAAATAATCTAGCATTAAAATCAACCGTAGGAGAAACACGAAATCTAAAGATTTGAAGAGTTCTTGGTGCTCCTTGAGTTTGCTTGTTTTCTTGCCGGCGTTTCATGACCCAAACTAGGTAACATCCTCACTAGCACTGATGAGGTTACCTAGTTTGGTAATGAAACGTCTGCAAGAAAACAAGCAAGCTCAGAGAGCACCATTTCAGCCCTGAGCTAAAAATATTCTCCTTTAGCAGTCTCTTAAAAAAAATTATTTTTTTTTTGTCTGATGCAGGACCCAGGGTTTGCATGTCCTAGAAGCATTGCTTTGTAAAGCTGAATTGCCAGACTTGATTTTTTTTTTACAGCCCGAAAGGATTCTCAGCCAATGAAAAACGGCCTTTTCAAAGTCTTGGTTAATATCTGGAACCTTTTTCCCCTTCTTATCCAGGATCACACCTTTCTCTTGAATGATAGAGGAGGTTCGGCACGGGAAGTAAAAGGTAATTGGAGCAAGAATTCTGGGATTCAGTCAGCCCCATTATTTTATTAATATTTGAAAAACCACACTGTAGCTTTAGTGCTAGATACTTTAGAGCAGGGATCTCCAACCTTTGTTAAATGTCTCTGTCTATTCAACTGCCAGATTTCTCCAGCCAATAAGATTGGGGAATTCTGAGAGTTGGGAGTCCAGAAGCCTTAAAGTTGCCCAGGTTGGACGCCTCTGGTTTAAAGAGAGATTCACTGAAACCTCCATTGTCCCTCTTAAGAGGTATCCCTGTATGATCCTTACAATGTACCACATTTGACAGGCCATGCTACAGATATTAAGAGTTTCAGACAGTCCCCCTGTCCCTCCTGACCCACCGTCCTTCCAAGTGATCATGTGGGGGAAGCATTGTACAAGCTGGACTAGCTAAGATCTCCTTCAGATGGCAGGAGTGGAAGACTTAAGTGGGAGTAGTAACTGAATCAAAACACCGCACCAAGTTTGGGAGCCTTGCATGCAAAATCCAGGCGTTGCCAGCATAGTTGTAATACAGCCCAATGATGGAGGACTGCGTTCTAACTCGCAACTTATCATCTTGCCCAGTTCCAGAAGACCAAAGGCCACCGGTAGAATTGCCGAAGGAGAAGAAGGACCTGCCGAAGGAGACCACCAAAGAACCTGGCCCCAAGATAGATGATCACGAGCCCAGGCTGGGACCACGGCCGCGTTCTCACAACAAAGTCCTCAACCCGCCGGGAGGCAAATCTAGCATTGCGTTCTATTAGGGAAGACCACTTCCTCAACCCCCTCCCCCTCCCCCCAATGTCTTAAGCTTTGATTATCAGAACCCAAAGGCTAATTTTCTGGTGCTTGAAGGAGGGAGGTGCTTAGTAGTTTGGCTTACTCAGTCCATGCTAGCATTTGGCGTAAGCCAGGGGTGGGGGAAACCTTGGCTCTTTTGTGACTCGTGGACTTCAACTCCCAGAATTCCTGAGCCAGCCATGTTGGCTCAGGAATTCTGGGAGTTGAAGTCCACGAGTCATAAAAGAGCCAAGGTTCCCCCCACCCCTGGCATAAGCCTTTCAGGTGTTCTCTTTGCATTCTGAACCCAGTTAAGGAAGGCTCCCTCTGATGGCTTGCAGAGCACATTCCAGTTAAGGTGCAATACTAACTTCTTGATCTGCCAGCTAGGCAATACAGCCTCGGGGAGATTTTCTCTGTGTCTGTAAAAGAAAGGGAGGCTGCTCCAATCTGCCTTGGAAAAGAAGAGTTGATTGTCATTATGCAAAAGAAAGAAAAAAAAGTGAAAGGAGAACCTTCACGAGCAAATCAGTTTTTTTAGATAAATTGTAGTTGAGATGAATCATGCACAAATCCCTAAGAGGGTTTTTAGAAGCTTTGCTTTTGTGGCACTCCTCTTTTGACTAGTTGGGTATAACTTTATGGTGAGTAGCAAAAAAAAAAAAATCACTTCAGTTTAAAATTAGAGCCTGCCTCCTCTCTAAGGAGACAGTTCAAAAGCTAGTGACTAACTCTCTCCTTCATCGCTAATCTCTCTGGGCAAGCTATTGTGCCTGAAGATTTTAACTTTCCTTAGGCTGCGAACTGCTGCTGTTTGCAGAAAGATTCTCCTCTGGTTTTCTGCTGACTCTTAGTCTGTTCTCCTTGTTGATCTTTGGTTCCCTTTAGCAACCTCTGTCTCCCCTTGGCCAGGTCTTTCCATGCAGAAGCAGCACTGTCACCTTTAACTACATCAGGTGGTGCTTAAGGGCACTGTTTTGTTTTTTGCAGTTCTTGGGCTCACCCCTTCTATTCCCTCTACCAGCAGGGGGGGGGAGAAATCAGACTGGGGGGGCCCACCAGTTCTTGTAGGGCAGGCAGTGACAAAAGAGATGGGGCCTGAGTAACGAACAGTTACTTAACCATGGGGGTCTCGTAACTCACATATTTGCCCTCCTGTGATTTCCTGGAACAATTCTTCATCTTATTACATGTTCACCTATTTTATCTCCTCCTCGTCACCTCCTTCCCACCTGCACCCACCTCAAACATCACATAGTGCCAATTCATGTGACCTCACAGATTCTGAACACCCAAGCTTGGCCACTTTAAGACTTGTGGACTTCCAACTCCCAGAATTTCTCAGCCAGCCATGCTGCCTGAGGAATTCTGGGAGATGGAAGTCCACAAATTGCAAAATAGCCACAGTTGGAGACCCCTGCTGAAACACCATTCCTCAAATGGCCAGGGTGTTCTTCTAACACAGGGGTAGTCAACCTTGGCTCTTTTATGACTCGTGGACTTCAACTCCCAGAGTTCCTGAGCCAGCTTAGCTGGCTCAGGAATTCTGGGAATTGAAGTCCACGAGTCATAAAAGAGCCAAGGTTGACTACCCCTGTTCTAACAGTTAGAAAGCTTGAAAACCAAGTTATTGAAAGAGCTTTCTCGGAAGAATAGGAAAGCTTCCATCTTTTTTAAAAAAAAAACTTCTGTAAGAGGTCACTTATTCTTTAGTTCCTGGAAACCAGAGAGCTTCCAGATGTATCAGCTGAACGTTAACATCTCTGTGCCTTTTAACTTGCAAGAGAGTATTTAAACACCCTTAACCTTTAAACTGTGAATGTCACCTTCCTGTGAATTTTTAACCTAATTCTTAAGATGACCTAAGGATGACCTTGAGGCCTATTTCTAACAGTCTCATTGGGAAGGGGTCAACCCTAGTTCTTGCACATACACTCACTTATTCCATTTTTAAACCTCAACAGGAAGCAACCGAAGACAACATTCCCTTGTAGAGAGTATGATGTCTGGATAACTGGAATGTCATTTATTTAGTTTGATTGACAACTAACGCTCTTATATCCCCAATCAGAGCTGTCCTGCCCTAACGTTTCCTCCAATCGTATAGTCTCGTCCCTCTGAGCATATTTTTAAGTATTATGAGAAAACTGCATATTTTTGTAATGTTTCAGTTACCTGTTTCACATTGGAACAAATATGAGTTGACCCACCATAAAGCAGCTCAGATCCATACTTAACATTCAAATAACCTTGCTCTATAATTCTAAGGACATTCAAAAGCAAGCAGTCACCCTAGAATGGATTTGTTATCCTTGTTGACAAGAAGCTATGAAAAAGACCAATCCCAAAATACATTCCAGCATTCATTGTTTGAATCCCCATAAAAAACAGGATCGCGGGAAGGCAAAATTAGGCAACAAAATCAAATACTATCTCCCTCGTTTTTCTTTCCTTGTCTGACCACCGAAGCATATTAGTCTGTTTGGCTGAGGTATTGTCAACCAGTGTCCTACTGATACCATTTCTGCTTTTTTTGCTATGCAGATGCAGCTCAGGGTAGCAAATCCCAAAGGGCAGCCAGTGACTTATCCTGGAAGATTGCCCAAGGTGTGTATTAAATGTAGTATTTTGCTCGAGAGGGCAGAAGCAAGAGAGTGTTGCAGATTAGTGAGAGATGACTGCCAAGGAAAGGAGGAGCGAAGGAGCAGGGCGGCTGCTTCCGTGCTTGTTCCTATTGTGAAATTGTCTTTGGCAGATTTAGAAACTTGGTTACGATGCTTATATTGCATAGAATCAAGGGGAAATTGTTGTAGTGTTATAGTCCTACATATTATATTTAATGGTTAGCTAACCTCTCCAGGCACACGTTGGAGGTAAGGAGTAACTTAGCTGATTATTAGAGCTGATTCAAGAACCCTGCTAGTCTCTTCACATCACTGTTGCTTCCAGGATGTTTATAATCTACATTATTTGGTGGCTGTCATCTTGCACCGTTTCCCAGAATTGCAGGGTGAGTTTGCGAAGAGACAAAAGGGAAAAGGTCTCAATGTTTCTGGAGGAGTTCCTTCTAGACCAGGGGTGTCCAACCTTGGCAATTCTTAAGACTTGTGGATTTCAACTCCCAGCTGGCTGGGGAAGTCTGATAGTTGAAGTCCACAAGTCTTAAATTGCCAAAGTTAGACGCCCCCTGATCTACAGCGTAGCAGGATTGCTCAATGTGAAAATGGTCAGACCATCGTAGTTTGCCTTTTCAGCTCCCATTTTCTGTTGGAATTCATCAAGCACATCAGAGAACCTCTGTAGAATAGCTTGATCCATCAGCAATAAGACAAGTTCTTTGCCAAGCATTTTTGAGATACTCTATAGTACCAGAAGTTGAAACGGTTTAGCATTTTGATAAAACTATGAACTAAACGGTCAAGCCATGCTTGAAACTCAGCGCTGGTTTAATAATTCTTGCCAAGTTCCTTCCATACGGTTGGCTGTAGTAAATACCATCCCTTCAATACTAGGGAGATGGGAAAAAACAAACAGTGGAATGCAGACACTGTGTAGCTTTGTAACAAAATGAGCAATATGAGAACCATCGGCCAACGCCAGCTTTGGATGCCAAGGTCGTTGCTGCACATGGATTATTTGCGATTGCAAAATTTCAAAGGGGTGTTTTCACCAGTGCTTCTTTCTCTGTTAGCCTTTTTTTCCAGCTAAGCCTTAAGTTATGATTGATTTATCTTTGTGCCTATCGTTGGTTTTTTTTGAGGGGAGGCTGAGGGTTACACTGTGTATCCAGAAAGGGTATTTTTTTTTCTTTTTTTAAAAAAAGAAAACTACGCCAGAAGTTAATGATAACTCAAATGTGTTGAATCATGTGCTGTTTAATAAACAACTGTATTTTGTTAGTCCGTTACAGTAGAGCTGATGGATTCTTCAAGTCTTTTTATCCCCTTATAGTCTCACGCGTTATACATGTAGAAACTAAGATAGCCTAAGCCAGGGGTAGGCAACCTCGGCTCTTTTATGACTCATGGACTTCAACTCCCAGAATTCCTGGGAGCTGACTCAGGAATTCTGGGAGTTGAAATCCTTGAGTCATAAAAGAGCCGAGGTTGCCTACCCCTGGTCTAAGCCCAAGGTGCCTCTTGCAAAAAAAAAAATAAAAATCATTTCTTGCCAAGCAACTGGCAATCCAGAAATTTTACTGTAACCAAACTAGCAGTATATTACATGAATGGTAAAGAAGGCGATTGTTGGGGGCAAAACAGAAGCAAGATTTATAAAATTCCTTTTATTTGTGCTAATTAGCCATTGTGAGGTGGCACAATCATTAGCTATGCAACCTTGACATTCAACCTTGAACTACTGACTGTTCCGTTTCCATAGGCAAATCCACTAAGACGGTGAACGGGTTAAGGGTTCAAAGCAGTTCCTTTTGTGAAATTTGACAATCTGTAGAGAGGAACGAGAAGATTTTTTTCCCAGTTCTTCCTGTCATAAATAGAGAATGTTTTTGTTCTGCTGAAATGCCTTTAAGTCTTTCTTTGTAATTGTGATCAGGGAAGTAGTATGAACTTGATTGAATCCATTGCTGAGCCATTGGTTCTCATGTAAGTCAAGGCTGGCTGGTATATCTGCATTTTTTTTTAAAAAAAATTCAATCCCTTTGTAACATTACCACTATCCCTTTTCCCCCAGTGTCCAAATGTGAAGAGTGTTGCTATTAGACAAATCAAGTTGTGTCCATTGTTCTTTATATCATTTGACAATTAAAGATTAATTAAGTTGCCCGTCTTGTTTTTATGCGAATTGGGCTACACGGGCATTCTGAGAAACGTTAAATAGCTCTAACCCAGGGGTAGACAACCTTGGCTCTTTTATGACTCGTGGACGTCAACTCCCAGAATTCCTGAGTCAGCTAAGCTGACTCAGGAATTCTGGGAGTTGACGTCCACGAGTCATAAAAGAGCCAAGGTTGCCCACCCCTGTGCTATACAGTTCCATCTGAGCTATTTTCAAGGCAGATGCGTCTCCGTATCTTGAATTTGATGTTGAAGACATTGATTGGGAAACCTGGTCAGGAAAGATCTCTTGAGAAGATGTCCCACCGGGTCATAGGTTGTCTAGTTGGGCTAAAAATCAGGTTGCAATTTAATGGGGAGGCGATAGAAGGAAGAGAATCAGGAATGCTGGTCTAGTATTTTTACCGAAACCCATCCATCTCTGTTCACGGAGGCCTGTCTACAGCCTGCCTGCATACTGTCTCTTCCAAATTCTGGAGATTTTCCTATCAAGCGATGAATATCACAGGGGACAGTTGCTGACATGGGCTTGTTTTATTTTCTAATTGCAGTGCAACATCTGAAGTCTAAGGCCAGTTAGGAGCCAGCAGAGCCAAAAGCTAAGTCATAACTGGATCACGTTATTTTCAAATGCCCCTGGGATGGGTTTGGTTTATCCAGAGTGGTAAACTCTGTCCAGTCTGAGTGAAGTGAATATAGTTAACAGTATTATTAGATTAATGTGTATTATGTTTCCACTTCCAGAGCAAAGCTAAAACGACCCTCTTGACAAATTACCAACCTATATAGCCACAATTACTAGTAATGACATTGTGCAAAAGAGATACAGAATATTCAATATCCATATGCAGTCCAATCAATAATCATTCACATTAGACTTTATATTTCCAAATGGTCAGGATGGAGCTACTGGAACCCTTCTTAAGAAGCAGTCAAGAAAGGAGAGACGGAAACTGAAATATCCGGGACTGTACTATAATGCCTCAGTTCCTGGCTAGATTGTATTAGGATTTTCAATACCGTCAGAATAGATTTCAAAAAGAAACCAATATAACTGAAACAGATGCGTGAGGAAGGCAAACCTTGACTTAAAACCTCATGATTTTGGAAAAGGGAAATTATAAAGGATTTCCATGGAAATTGATAATACTGCTGTGGTGGATGCTACGAGGACGTTGGAGCACAAAATCCATTATTAGCCTTTTCCAGGATAAGAGGAGATTTAAAAAAAAAAAAAGAGTGCAAGATTTGTATATACCAGTGGTGGCGAAACTATGGCACGGGTCGTGGGCCTTCAGGTGGGTTTCATAAAACCTTTTCGCTTTAGGCCTCCGCTGCCATGTGCAAAAAAAAAAAAAAGTTCAATCAGTCAATTTCAACTTCTCGCGGGAAAAAAAAGATCTTGCAAAGTTGGAATTGATTGATTGAACTTTTTAGTCCCACCCAATCTGCCATTACCACCGCAGCCACGCCCACCCGATGGGCCACGCCCACCCAATGGGTCACACCCACCCGGCACTCGACGATGCATAAGTGGGTTTTGGGTTGCAGTTTGGGCACTCGGTCTCTAAAAGGTTCGCCATCACTGGGATATACAATTGCTTGCACAGAGTAATTTACATTCCCGCCTTTCATCCAGTTAAGATCTACACAAAAATTATTTCAATCTCTTCAGCAGAAAACCTCCCGCAATAAAGAAGACTAAAAGAATGACTAAATAACTCAAAATTGGCATTTAAAAAATCTCGGCACTCACGGCAGCTGTAGAATTAATTATAGTGTTAAGATTTTCAGTTATTATATAGCACCTAGCAAGCTACTTGCGAAGCAGCTACTCCTATATACCGGATTTATGCCCTGTAGTTTAAATTCCCTTATTAAACCCCCAAAAGAAAGAAAAAAAAGGGGGGGGGACACATTGCTGAAGAATGAGACACCCCTCCCCAAGGCTCATTTGTGTTATACTCCATGCCCTGAAGGACTCTTCTTTAGTTGATGGATCGTTCTTCTTCTGCCTCGCTGAGAAGGGGAGCTGTGTCAACAGGCGGCTGGGCCACTGCCTCGGTTGGCGAGCGTTTGGTTGAACGGTTCAACGTGCCACCCTGGGGATTCATAGAATGGGGAAAGTTTGGTGAAGTTTGAACCTTTATGGACACAGTCCTGGGTAACTGATCCCCCCTGGTTAACCAGCCAAGTGGATTCTTACCTGCTTCTTATCCACTATGTTAAGGCAGACAGAGCTCCCAATGCAAGCAACGGTGTTGGCCAACATGAAGACCATCATCTGTTGCCAGCGCCATAAGGGGATCTTCAGTTCACTAGCAAAAATTTTTTTTAAAAAAAAAACATTATTTGCCTGAACAGGTAGCAAGAGAAACAGAGGCATCTTATCACGTTAGTTCCCCAAGATACAGTAGTCCTCAACTTACAACAGTCCCTTTAGTGAGCTAAGTTACGATTGCACTGAAAAAGGGACAGGACCGTTTTTCACCCTTATGACCACTGGACTGTACCTGCAGGTCAAAATTGTGATCAAAATTCAGACGCTTGGCCACTGACTCACATTGATGACCTTCTGGCCCGCAAAGTCAACACCGGGAGCCAGATTCACACTTTACAACTGTGTTACTAACTTCACAACTGCAGGGATTCGCTTAACTGTGGCAAGAAAGATTGTAAAATGGGGCAAAATTCACTTAATAACTGTCTCATTTAGCAACACAAATTTTGGGCTCAACCGTCGTTAAGTCGAGGACCACCTGTTCTTGGTTATTAGTTCCATCATCAAGTATCAAGCAATTTATGGAAGCCATTCGGAACGGCTGTGACGCATTTTCTTGACTTTTAAGGCATAAACTCTTGCTTCCATTTAGGCAGAAAGACAGCTGTGGTTACCTGGACTTTGTTCCCAAGATATGTCCCACGATCACATTGGAGAGTCCGATGCCAATCATCTGTACGGATGTCGCGAGCCCCATCGCTGTTCCCAATGTTGCTTGAGGGACCACGAGTGGAATTGAAGGCCACATGCTGGCCTGTACAAAACATAGTGGAAAAGACGGACAGACCAGGGAAATAATGTGAGAAAGACCGCTTTTGTAGGAAGAAAGAATCAAATTTCACGGCAGCTTCATCTCGGAAGAAATAATCGGATAAAGCAGTGCTTCTCCACCTTAATAGCTTGAAGATGTGTGGACTTCAAACTCCCAGCCAGCATTCTGGCAGTTAAAATCCATACATTTTAAAGATTGCTACGGTTGAGAAATGCTGAGATAAACTCTTACGAGTCGAGTTCTTGTCGTCAACTCCTCTAAGTGATCATGAGATCCCAACCTTCTTCTAAAATCTCTGTTTACTGATAATCACAAGGGGATGCCACAGATTAGGCTGCTTAGATGGACTCATTCTCTCCCAGGAACAGAAGCCACACTTATTTCTCAGGAATGCTTAAGATAGACAACATTTAAATCTGGATTCCTGCAAACAGCAGCAATTAAACTCTTACGTGCTCTGTGACCTCTGATTCTAAAACTGTTGAAGCCAGCACTGAAATGTGAGACTCAGCAAATCAAAATCCCACTTCAATGGGCTTGCCAAACAGTTCTCCTGCTCTGACTCTCTCCTCACCTCCTAATCCAGTGGTGGCGAACCTATGGCACGTGTGCCAGAGGCGGCACTCGGAGCCCTCTCTGTGGGCACGCGCACCATGCCCTGGAGATGGCAACTGTCCCTCTTCAACCAGCCACCTGCTAACTTGCCGAGGTCCCACGTGGCCGGATGCATCCCAGCATGGCTGGTTTCCCTCCCCCCTCCCATCCCTCTTGGCCTCGCATGCTCTCCTTTTCCCGGGCACGACCCACTGCATCGCCTCCTCAGCTGTTGGCCGGCCGTCTAGCTCAGAGGCGGCTTCTCTGAACTGCTGGGGGTGGGCTGCGGAGCCCCAGAGTGCGCCGGTTAAGGGGCCGGCAGGCTGTGGCTGCTGACGGACACTGTCGGGCCTCATGCGCTCGCTGGCCTCTGTGTATGGGGGCCGATGGTGTCAGGCAGCAGCCACCCCGGCCCCTGCCTCTCCTTGCCCTGCAACAATGGTACCCAAGCCCTACCTCGCCTCACCCCTCAGGATGAGCCTCCTGCCCACCGCCCATCTGCCAGAGACCCCCTGGATCTCCCCCCAACCCTTCCTGGCCCCCACAGGCATCCCTCCCCACGAGCAATATCGAGGTGACCACACCCACCCAGTCTGCCATGACCACCACAGCCACGCCCATCCAGTGGGCCACGCCTGCCTGGCACCCGGTGATAAATAAGTGGGTTTTGGGTTGCAGTTTGGGCACTCGGTCCCTAAAAGGTTCGCCATCACTGTCCTAACCTTTCTCTTTCTAATGAAGAACCCAGGAACGTTTGACAAAAGTTAGGTCAGTACCAGAAACATCCCCACGGCTTAAAGTTGAGTAGAAATCGGGAATCCGTGCATTCCAGTTCTGAAAACTTACGGCTGCGAAAGAGTAGGTGATTCCTAGCCAGACGGTGGAGACAAGTGGGGGAACGAAGGTGAAGGCCAAGAGAGCAAACACGGGCAACGTTAGCACCGCACAACCAACCGCAAACACACCTCTCAGACCAATATAATCCTGGAAAAAAGCAGAGAGAGAGAGAAATGAGAGCCAGTGTGGTGGAAGTTCAAGGCGTCAAGCTAGGAACTGGGAGAACGTGAGTTCTAATCCTGCCTTACGGACAAAGCAGCTAGGTGACCTTGGGCCAGTCACTCACTGCCCGCTCTAGGAAGAAGTCAAGGATCAACCACTTCTGAAATCTTGCCATGGAAACTGCAGTCACTTAAGAGCCAACCTTGACCTGAAGACACACACGCATGCATGCACACATGCACACAAATCTCATAGAGTAATAATGCATCCAGCTATTGGGACCACAGAGAAATCTATCTTTAAAAAGATATAATTCACATTTTTTAAAACCTCAAACTGCTACCCCCCAAAAAACCCTACCATCTAAAAGGAGAACCTCAAGGAATAAATTAAGAAGTGATATCATTCCTCAAATATCTTTTTTCAATGATGATTTGATGACTTGGAGGCTAATTACATTGGAGCTAACCAGAGAGAGAGAGAGAGAGAGAGAGAGAGGAAAAAAAACAATTTCTGTCCTTGTACTCTCATTTTGAAACAAGGCCGCTAGCAAAAACTCAATGTAGCTCTCAACCCAGAAAAAGTTGCACGCCTTGTTGTGTTTGCATATTCTTTTCAGGCTTCATTTTTTCCCGTTTGCACAATTTTATGGGTTGCCTTACCTCGCCCTACAAATGCAGGCGCCCCATCAAGGCACTGCCCCATTTCTGCCCTCAAGTCTTAATAAAAATCATCCTTCGAAACTTACGATCAATATGCCAACAGCCGCCGAGAGAACAAGAGAGCTGTCGTAAACTGCTCCAGCTATATATGCAGCTGCCTGTTGACTGTAGCCAGGATACTTATCTTGGATAAACTTACTAGAAAAAAGAAATGGGATAGGAGAAAGAGAAAGAGAGAGAAATCCCGTTAGGACTCCAAATTGTTTTGGCACTGATGGGGGAAAAACATCACCCTTCTACAAAGAAATCAACTCTTCTAAGTTGAGCATTCTGTGTTTTTAATAGCCTTTGGTGACATGGCTTGTTTTGTTCTAAGATGCTGCATTGGCAAGCGAAGCCAATGTCTAGAAGATAAGTTCCCAGGCAACGTGGGAATCTCCACGCTCCTCACAGTAGCAAAGGTTTGGTGGAGGAACACCCCCAATATGGCGTTTTCACTGTGAACCTAGAGAAATTTCCCAACCTGATCCTAGTCCTTGCTTCCAAATTTACCTATTCCTAGTCCTTACCTATTCCTAGTCCTTACCTATTCCTAGTCCTTGCTTCCAAACTTACCTATCAAGCACCAGCTTGATAATTAACTGAGTATTCAATAATTATTTTTCAAGCGCCACATTTTTCATACATTACTGGAAAGAACCATTCTACAACCAAATCCTTGCTCAGTCTTAACAAATCTAGAAAAATGCCACCGGGTGATTCCTGGCTCCTAACATCTGCAGAAGCCCAAACTGCAAGACTCGGATATTCTGTGTTGTCTTTGGTTAACATCTAGTCTCATCTTTCCTATTCATCCCCCCCCCTGCCAATCAATATTTCAGTTTTGCTGATGCAAAAGAATAAAGCAGGAGACTTTGTCGAGATCGCACAAATTTGAAAGAGTCAGGGAAAGCGTCCCCAAATCAATCAGCTCCTTCCTTGAAAGAAGCTGCAACAGTGTACAGTACAGTATAGTGTACAGAAAATCCACAGCTAGCATTTTTGGGTCCAAGAATTGTACAGGAATTGTACAGGAAACTGGACAATGAACAGTGAGCGGCCCGGGGCAGAAAGGGGATTTTTAACCACGCTCCTTCGCGTGCCAAAACCTCAGAACTGGCTTCTCTTGTGCCTATGTGGAATTATCAATAAAGTTATACTCTTGGTAAATTAATGTCCCAGGGGTTTCTTTTGCTGAATATGCCAAAGGGACAGTTGACCCACTGCATGCCACAGGATTCGCTCCATTCTTGCCCACAGTCAACCCTCTGTCCCATTTTGCGAAATGAAATGGCTTACCTTGCATCGGCCACAAAGGGGAAGACCCCATTGTAGAAGAACATGATAGTAAGGACCAAAAGCCAGTAGCGAAGGGGTAAGTGGCGGATATCTTGAATTTTCTGGAAGTTAAAAATAAAGCACGCGTTAATTACCTACAAACACAGCTCTGAGGATTAGAGTCTCTAAAAACAGCTTTCTCTAGCCAAGTGGTTCTCAATCTTTTCTTCACCACGGACCTCCTTTAAATACCTTTTGTGGCCATGAACCAGGGTCACAGACCCCTCCAAGATTTAACTCATAACATTTCTTCAAGCCTTCGCAGACCCTCTGTGATGACATCGCGGCCCCCAAGGGGTCCGTGGACCACAGGTTGAGAACCACTGCTCTAGCCTATTCCACAATTCTTGAATTTCAATTCTCCACATTTCTGACATTGTGGCTGGATAGGCTGAGGGTTGCAATCCAACTCAACTGGAGAAGATAGCTTGGATCAATACTTCACCAAGGCTTCCTCCCACCCTGGTTCTACTTAGAGAAGAAAAAAATAATGATGCATTCTGAATTTCCAGGCTTTTATATATGTTCACACAACGGAGAAACGGGGGAACCAAAAACGTAATTTTCCATCACACCTTCCTGCTCAAACTCATTCATTTTCACATTTCGCATTTACAGCTACTGGAGACTAAGATGAAATAAACCAAGATCAACCTCCCATCCAACACAGGAAATTCAACCAGCAAAGCAAGCACCAGAGAAACCAGATGTGCAGATTCTCTGCTGTAACATAGTTCCTTTAGTTTTGATTCCGAGTGTCCTTTAAGACCAGCCAACTAGCTTTATTCAACAAAATCATTGGTAGAAGGTATAAACTGAGTCAGAATGCAAACCAAATAAGTATTCAGAATCCAAAGCCATTCAGAACCTCCCCCCCCCGCCTCTCTTTTTTCAAGAGATAGGAAAACGGGGGGAACACAATGAGCTTAAATGTTTGAAGTCTCTCTTGACCAACTTGGTCTTCCAACTTGGCCCTTTTATGACTTGTGGACTTCAACTCCCAGAATTCCTCAGCCAGCCCCCATTTTGTTTGTTAGATTTAAGACAGGGGTCTTCCAACTTGGCCCTTTTATGACTTGTGGACTTCAACTCCCAGAATTCCTCAGCCAGCCTCCATTTTGTTTGTTAGATTTAAGACAGGGGTCTTCAAACCTGGCCCTTTTATGACTTGTGGACTTCAACTCCCAAAATTCCTCAGCCAGGCACACGTGTCTGATACAACACCCACCCTACCTACCACTTTCTTGGACTCTTGTTGGAGAACTCCATCTAAGCCAAGCTGCTTCGTACCCACTTTGTCCAGCACGCTGACGGTGATGGCTGAAATAAAGCCCAGCACGCATAACAGGGCTCCTGTGAACAGAGAAGAACCAATCATCAGAAGAACCAATCATCGATGAACTTTAGGGTTGGCCTGAAACCTTTTTAAGTCGGATAACCTTTGTAGTCAAAGCATCAATGTATTGCTCCAGTGTAGATCTTCTTTTGAGAACCAGCTGCATTAGGTTATTCGTTGACCTTCTGGAAAAGCTCCCGAGTTCTGATGGAGCGTTCTAGGCAAGTTCTCTCAATCTAGTACAGTTCATTTAGTGACCGTCCAAAGCCTAGCCCTAGCGATTGTGCTCCAAGAGAAACTCACCTCCCCAAAGTGTCCACTGGATTCCAAAATGGCTTTCAAACTGCTGGGTGAAAAAGAAGTTGAGGACACTCCCGAGACGGGAGAAAGAGAGAGTCAACCCGAAGGCGAGCGCCAGCTCTTTGCCTTTGAACCAAAAGGCGGTGATGCGGTTCTGCACAACTCAAAAAGCAGAAGAGAGATCAGCGTTACTAAGTGTTACTGATTCCTGCATATGGCAAGGTGTTTAAATACTGCTACTTTAATGGTAAGGTGTTTAAATACTGCTACTTTAATTGTTTGTTCTTGAAGCTATACATTTCATTTATAAATTAAAACAAACCCACTCCACTTTTCCACTGAAGAAAGGCGTAATTTTGGAAATAAAAGGAAATGTTCATAGGCTTCCACTGTCCTATAAAACTACTAAAGTTCGCTTTAGTTCTCCCTTTTCAATACAACTTAGAGAAAAGCTAATTTGTGTTTGCACAATCTGAATCAGGAAGTTGGCATTAAGATGTATTTTTTTAAATACATTAATTCTTTCAACAATTAACTAGATAAGGATGCGTTCAGATCTCACCCTGATTTGTTTATCTCATTTGTTGGTTTGATAAAACTTTTAAAAGAAAAGAAAAGAAAAGAAAAGAAAGGGGCTCTAGTAAGAGATGTGAATGCATCTTGATTCAAATCAAGATTCCTGCTGGATGTATCGAGGATGAAATGAAAGAAAGTAGCTATGTGTCATGGTTCCGAAAAGAAGCAATTTTTCAAGGAACTTTGAGGCTTTATTTACCTTAAAGAATCCTTTTATTGCTACATAGCTTCGGCAGGTACATAATGAAGCCCAAAACTGAATCCTCCCTCGCCCAATCACCCGTAACAAAGCATAAATCACTCCTTCATTTTACAATCATCCATTACGTTCTCCAATTAGTTTGAAGTGTGAACCTTCCCTCCCATAACTCCTCTAGTTACAACTGACCTTGGAAATACTGTGCTGAAATATTGTTGTGGTTAACTATCATACTTTCCCACCCGCTGTGCTAACATTGTCCACTTTAACTCTAGAAGTGATGTACAGGTTAAATAAAACATGCTTGCTTCTTCATATATGGCAAGCAAGAACATCCGATGTTAGCAGTCTTGACATCCGCCCCCCCCCCCCTTACAAAAAGGACAGATCCTGCAATGTGAACAAAAGCATAGGTTAAGGATTATTTTTCGGTTTGTTGGGGTGTTTCACATAAAACATATAAGGAACGGTTGCTGGAATTGGGTATGTCTAGTTTAACGAAGAGAAGGGCGAGGGGGGACATGATAGCAGTCTTCCAATATCTCAGGGGCTGCCCCAAAGAAGAGGGAGTCAAGCTATTCTCCAAAGCGCCTGAAGGCAGGACAAGAAGCAATGGGTGGAAACTAACCAAGGAGAGAAGCAACCTGGAACTAAGGAGAAATTTCCTGACAGTTAGAACAATTAATCAGTGGAACAACCTACCTCCAGAATCGGTGAATGCTCCAACACTGGAAGTTTTTAAGAAGAGACTGGACAGCCATTTATCTGAAATGGTGTAGGGTTCCTGCCTGAGCAGGGGGTTGGACTCGATGACCTCCAAGGTCCCTTCCAACTTTATTATTATTATTATTATTATTATTATTATTATTATTATTATTATTATTATTATTATTATTATTATTATTATTATTATTATTATTATTATTATTATTAATCTTTTGACAAGCCTGTTAGCTTTCACCTCACTGGATTTCACCCAGGTGGCCTCAGACAACAGGTATCCCTTCCATTGTACTAGGTACTGCAATTTCCCTTTAAAAAAGGGAAAAAGGGGGCCGGATGTCAAGACTGCTAACATCGGATGTTCTTGCTCACTATGGCTGAATCTTGCTTACCAAAGAAAAAGAGTGGAAAGAAGTTAAGTCATTCAATGCTTCGTCTCAGCTCACAGAACCTTATCGGCAAAGAGTTTAACCAGGTTGACCCAACGCGCTCTCCCTTCTATGAAGAGGACGCTGTTCGTTCCTTACTTGTGAGCGATCCATTTCCAGAACCAAAAAGCAGCCTGCCAGTGAGCATCAGAGGCAAGAGATACGGAGTTCCTTTCAGGTGGGAGCCCAGCGCAAAAACGGATGATCCCAAGACAGTGAGGAAAGAGAAGACAAAGACACCAACTATGGAGAGAAGGAAAGAGGAAAAAAACCAGCATGGGCAAAATTCTACAGGCAAAACACCTGGCTTTTACAACAACCGTGCAAACTGGAATCCAAGAGGGGACAAGACCCAGGTTTATAAACGCTTTAATCCCTTCTGATCACATAGATCTCCAAGACACGCCACCACTGTTTCCAGTTGCAGGCGGTCTTCAACTTTCAACACAACTGGGGGCTGAATTCCCATTGCTAAACAAGGTGGCTGTGCCGAACGTTGACTTTTTTTTTTTGGCTACAGTTGTTAAAACGAATCACTCTGGTTGCTAAATAAATCATGTGGTTGTTAAGCAAATCCAATTTCTCCCACTGGTTTTGCTAGGAAGTTTACAAACGGTGATCCCCTTACCCCAGGATGCTACAACCCTCGTAAATAGATGCAGGTTTTGTCAAGCACCCGAATTTTGAAAGTGCCACAAATAGTCACTAAATGAATTGGTCGCATGTCAAGGGCTACCTGTAACAAACACAATACTTAATTCCTATCTCTGATAAGAAAGATCAAACATTTTTCTCTTAAAGCTTGTAGGAAATAAAACTACTCAAAATTCTGCCATGTAAAATACACTGCAAATACACACGGTCTCCTTGTGCTTCCCAAGAAACATGATCTGGTTTTTAAAATGCTTGAAAAAAATTCTGGAAGGGCTAACCAAAGATACTCAATTTCCCTGGCAATCTTACACCTTTTTCTACTCAAGAAAGGCAGCCCATCAGATCCAAGGCTCAATTTAAAAGAATCACATTAATGTCTGCCGACCAGTTTTCAACTGTGTGTTTTGTAGCCATCTACAGAAATAACCCAAGTGAAGGGTATGGTCTGAGATTACACAGCTTGCCAACTTCTAACACTAGGTCAAAACAAATGTTGTTATGAGAGGTCCTTGGTGGCCTCTGAGCTTAGTGGTTTTCTTGCAGGCGTTTCATGACCCAAACTAGGTAACCTCATCACTGCTAGCATTGTTAAAAGAACAGAATAAAAGTCATTTGTCAACTCAGGACAGAAAAGAGGTGGAATTTATCTATCTGAAACAAAGCTGCACTTTCAAATGCATCTCTAACCATAACTGAGTTCCTTGATACATTTAGAACATTCGAAGCCAATGGACGCAGACCAGGGGTAGGCGACCTTGGCTCTTTTATGACTCGTGGACTTCAACTCCCAGAATTCCTGAGCCAGCATGGGGGAACTATGGCCCCCTCATGACTCGTGGACTTCAACTCCCAGAATTCCTGAGCCAGCATGGCTCAGCAGGGAAACCTCTCCCTTTCCCCTCAGCATGGCTGGCTCAGGAATTCTGGGAGGTGAAGTCCATGAGTCATAAAAGAGCCAAAGTTGCCTACCCCTGACCCAGACAGATGTGGCTAAAGTGAGCCCTTCCATTGCAAAAGGCTTTTAAAAGCTTCTTGTGAAACTTCTCCAGCGGAGATAAATGCCAATAACTTCCCAGGAAAGGCAACTGTTCGTAATGCATTAACAGAGCAGAAAAAGTCTTCTTTAGCCAGCTGGATTTGAGAAGACAAAGGGACACACAGAGCAGCATCCCCACCCCCAACCCCCCCAGATGATCTCAGAGAGAGGGCAGGAAAGTGGCAAAGAAAACAATGCGACAGTCACCCGGTTGAGATGGGCGGGCATAGAAATTAAACCGTTCAGCTCCTCCAAACTTACAGCGGTTTCCCAGTTTGTCAATCAAGAAGCCAGCCACAATCACCACCAGCGCATTACTAAAGAGAACAAACAAAAAAATCACAAAGAGGAGGTGAAGATAGTTATTTTGCGTGTACGTGTGTGTTTGTGTATATATGTATGTGAGAGAGATACTCACGTCCAGGCATAGATGGCATAGAGAAGATTATATTCTTCAGGAGTCATTCCAAGCCCTTCCACACAATCAGCTGTTGCGTTATGTTCTGTGCCGTTCTGTTGCGTTCCATTGGGGCAGGTTAGATTCTGGATGACAAATCAGAACAGAAAAATAATTGTCAATATCAGAAATTACAAATGAGCCAAGTTGAAATACAGCCTTTTAATGAGGCCTACCTGCCTATTTGTTCCAGATAACTAGAGAATTCCATCTACTAAGGGATGGGTACGTGCCTTGCAGAAGATGTTTTGGGTTATTAGGTTTTGCTAATAATGTGTATTGAAGGAATGCACCATGTAGCTATTGTGCTCTTCTGATCAAGATTTATGACTTAGTGTGATTCGACAGCCCAGTCAATTATCAATGAAGCATAGTTTAAAAACCATAGCTTAGTATAATGTGTGATGCCAGTATGTTGTTGTTAGTTGCGAAGTCGTGTCCGACCCATCGCAACCCCATGGACAACGTTCCTCCAGGCCTTCCTGTCCTCTACCATCTTCTGCAGTCCATTTAAGCTCACGCCTACTGCTTCAGTGACTCCATCCAGCCACCTCATTCTCTGTCGTCCCCTTCTTCTATTGCCCTCCATCTTTCCCAGCATCAGGCTCTTCTCCAGTGAGTCCTTCCTTCTCATTAGGTGGCCAAAGTACTTGAATTTCAGCTTCAGGATCTGGCCTTCTAAAGAGCAGTCGGGGTTGATCTCCTCTAGGACTGACCGGTTTGATCGCCTTGCAGTCCAGGGGACTCGCAGGAGTCTTCTCCAGCACCATAGTTCAAAGGCCTCAATTCTTTTGCCTTTCTTATGGTCCAACTTTCACAGCCATACACTGCAACTGGGAAAACCATGGCCAATATGTAGCAGAATCTAAAAATTCTTAAGCAGGGCCTGGGTCTTATGTACGGAAAACAAATGAAGTTGCTACATTAGCTGTCAAAAATGTGGCTTGGCATCCACACAGTGCAAAGTTTCTTGAATGCCTACATACACTTTTGGTTGCTCGGGTGTGGAAAGAAACAAAACGTTTGTTTTGTGTTAATTCTGCAGACTTGAATTCAAAAAAGGCTTTGAAACTTTGCACCGCTACTCTATTTGCTGCATGGCTGAAATCAAGTTGACATCTAATAGGGATGGAGAGAAAAGGAGAAAAACACTCACCCCTTGAAACTGTTCTTGCAAGACACTGGGAATATCAAAACAGAAGTAGGAGCCAAAGGTCAAGAGACAGTTGAAGAAAAGCACCAGGAACCGGTAATAAGCTGCCAAGAGAAATAAAGCGTTAGAATAGTAGAAAATAGTTGTGTACAATTACTGTAAAAAATATATATACGGTAATTTTCCCAGGATTTTGATTTCCGATGGCACTCTCAATGCCCAGACACTGCACTACTAGTTTACACACACACTAATTGTGGTTCTGATTTACTTCCCCAAAATTGGAATGTAGTACAGCGAGGCCCACTTTTTCATGTTAAGGGGACTGCAAAGACCACAAGGAGGCGCTTTACATTGTTGAATCCATTTACATTTACCATGTAATTTGGACGGTGTTTATTGCAAATATTTGTTCGACTGTATTTTTTCTTTAGCCACAGGTACTCCTTGATTTACGACCATTCATTTCGTGACTATTGGAAGTTGCAAGGGCATTGAAAAAAGTGACTCTGTGACTGGTCCTTCCACTTATGACCAGGGCAGCATCCCAGTCACATGATCAAAATTTGGGCACTTGGCAACTGGCATGTACTGGTTACAGTTGCAGGACCCAGGGTCAGGTGGTCTCCATTTACGGCCTTCCCAGCCAGCTTCCAACAAGTCAATGGGGAAAGCCAGATGATTCGGTTAACCAGTGCAGGGATTCACTTAACAACAGTGGTAGAAAAGGTTGCATTCCAGCTGACACCCAATCTGAGATTGTAACCCAGGGGTCTTCTAACTTGGCCCTTTTATGACTTGTGGACTTCAACTCCCAGAATTGAAGTCCACAAGTCATAACAGGGCCAAGTTTGAAGACCCCTGCTTTAACCCCTGGGAACTGCCAGGATACAAAGGCCAAAATACCCCAGCCCAGGCTTAATCCAGGCAAAAGATCTCCTAATCCCACCTCCCGTTCACATGATGAGTCAACCTGATGTCAACGGGATGCTGGCAATCTCAAACCAATGTTACTTGCTCCCTTCCAGATGTTCTCACCCAGGGCCTATTGTTCTTTCTGATCTTGCCCTTTTTTGCTGTTTTGACTTTGTGTTTAACGTTTTTGACATCTTCTCACATTTAATTGTAAGCTAACCAACGGGTCGCTTTTCAGACTGAGATGAGCAGTGCCTACTCAACATGCACGCTAAGAGTTAACCTTCAGCCAGGGCAAGCAGCTGCCCCTGGTCGTCTCTTTTGGGGGTGGTGGTGGGGAACTCGCCCAGGGAGACTTCCACCATCCCTTCTCCTGCTAAGCCATGCCAGCCCCTGCCCTCCTACCCCGAGGAAATCACGTGCAGAATCACGGGGTGAGCTGGGACAGATCTGAGCATGCAAAAAAAAAAAAAAAGGCGCCAGTGCGAAAGGGCCCCTCTGAGCATATGCAAAGCGCGCCTGGGGATCTGCACTGAAGAAAGCACCCCGGGGCAGCCGGTTCTCCTCTGCATCGGGAGCCGGGGTTCCTGCCGAGGATTCAAGAGGGGGGGGGACGCTCACGTGACCGAGCGGGGAGTCACGTGCTCCCGCTCACCTTTCTCGGCCGCCGCTTCCGCCATGGCTCCGATTCCCGGCGGGTCCGCTCCGCTTCTCCCGAGGCAGCAGGCAGGCACCGGATTGGCCCCGCCCCGGCCCCGCCCACCATCCCCGGGACCGAGTCTCCGCCCCTTTCCTCATCAGCCACTCTCTTTGTTCCTCGCTGGCGCTCCTCTTCGCGCAGGGACATTTCGCCCCGCCTACTACCCGGCCCCGCCCACCATCCCCGGGACCGAGTCCCCGCCCCTTTCCTCATCAGCCACTCTCTTTGTTCCTCGCTGGCGCTCCTCTTCGCGGGAGGGACATTTCGCCCCGCCTACTACCCCGCCCTCGGGCGAAACCCCGCCCTTCTGTCTCGTGACGTGGCTCCGCCCTCTTCCCCTCCCTTACGCGTTCCCCTATTTGTAAGCAGAGCTTTGCCTCCCGAACCACGCCTCCTCCGGGGAGACCAGGAGGCTCGCAAGCTCCGCCCCCTGCAGTTTGACACCTTTCGATGCGGGAGGCTTCTCTGCTCCGCCCCTCAGCGTGAAGCTCCGCCCCCTTGGAGTGGGTCGTTCCCGCCTTTTCTGAGGCGGCGCATTTGTCTCTCGCAAGGCGAGGGAGGTGGACGTGTGATTGTTTTTCCAGCTTCCTTATTCACAGAAAAACGTCTCAGAAACAATTACTATATCTGGTCATTTATTATTACAGTCCAAGATCAATCATAAAATCATTGGTTTAAATTTAAAATGTGTCCCATAGAATAGAATAGAATAGAATAGAATAGAATAGAATAGAATAGAATAGAATATTGGAAATAGAATATTGGAAATAGAATATTGGAAATAGAATAGAATAGAATAATGGAAATAGAATAGAATAGAATAGAATTACAGAATAGAATAGAATTAAAGAATAGAATAGAAATACAGAATAGAATACAGTAGAGTAGCATAGAATAGAACAGAAATACAGAATAGAATTAGAATAGAATAGAAATACAGAATAGAATTAGAATGGAATGGAATAGAATAGAAGAATAGAATAGAATAGAATAGAATAGAATAGAATAGAATAGAATAGAATAGAATAGAATAGAATAGAGCTGGAAGGGACCTTGGAGGTCTTCTAGTCCAGTCCCCTGCTCAAGCAGGAGAATCTATACCATCTCAGACAGGTGACTGTCTAGACTCTTCTTAAAAACCTCCAGTGATGGAGCGCCCACGATTTCTGGTGGCAAGCTGTTCCACTGGTTGATTGTCCTCACTGTCAGAAGTTTCTCCTTAATTCCAGGTTGCTTCTCTCTTTGGTCAGTTTCCATCCATTGTTTCTCGTCCTTCCCTCTGGTGCTTTGGTGAACACCCTGGCCCCCTCTGCCTTGTGGCAGCCCCTCAGATACTGGAACACTGCTATCATGTCTCCCCTATTTCTTCTTTTGTTTAGACTAGCCAAACCCAAATCCGCAGCGGTTCTTCGTACATTTTAGTCTCCAGGCCTTTGATCATCTTAGTTGCTCTTCTCTGATTTTTTTCCCAAACTCTCAACATCTTTTTTGAAGACTCTTGAGAACCCCATGGGCAGCCAAGAAAACAAACAAATGGATCATCAGACTGGTTAACTTTCAGTCCTTACCCAAGGAAGACATAACCAGGCTCAAGTTACTGTAGTTTGGACATCTTATCTGAACTGGGAAGATAGAAGGAAAGGGAAGAAGAAGACAACCATCAGCAAGGTAAATCGGCACTATTAAATTAGGGATAGGTGCACCGTTGGAAAAAGACCAGGTCTGGGACAGATGATCCTTGAGAAAATCTATCTGTGTGGTTGGTAAGAGGGACCATTAACTCGATGGCACATAATTCATTAGACTGTTTTGTAGAGTTTGCTTCCACATAAATATGCTGAAAATTGCAGCCCAAGGTCTATTTCTAAAGCAATAGACTTCACACATTTTGAGTACAGCTAATCTTTGACGTACAGCCATTCATTTAGTGACCGAAATCACAACGGCAATGAAAATAATAATAATAATAATAATAATAATAATAATAATAATAATAATAATAATAATAATAATAAAAATAAAATAATAATAATAATAAGTAGTAGTAGTAGTAGTAGTAGTAGTTGGAAGGAACCTTGGAGGTCATCTAGTCCAACCCCCTGCTCAGGCAGGAGACCCTATACCATTTTGGACAAATGGCTGTCCAGTCTCTTCTTAAAAACTTCCAGTGTTGGAGCATTCACAGCTTCTGGAGGCAGGTTGTTCCACTGGTTAATTGTTCTAACTGTCAGGAAGTTTCTCCTTAGTTCTAGGTTGCTTCTCTCCTTGGTTAGTTTCCATCCGTTGCAACTTAACCACCATTGCAGCATCCCCATGGTCACATGATCAAAATTCAAGCACTTGGCCACTAGCATGATGGGTGGTTTCCCCGGGTCATGTGATCCCATTTGTGACTTCCCAGCCAACTTCTTGGCGAGCCAATTCAATGGGGGGTTCCAAATTTGCTTAATGACCGCATGATTCACTTAACGACTGCAGTGATTCACTTAACTGTGGCAAAAAGGTCCTAAAATGGGGCGCAACTCACTTAACAACTGTCTTGCTTAACAACAGTAATTTGGGACTCAATTGTGGTCATAGGTGGAGGCCTATCTGTAATGCTATGTTAAAACACCATTATTGTGATTCGTGCTTTTTTTTTTTTACATTCTCTGAGTAAGGAAGAATTAAGATTTATGTTCAATGAATGCCCACCATCTTTAAAATACTATGTAGTGCCACAAGATGCTTTTTCTCTGGTGCAACAGAAGTGGGTTTTCCCCCACAGTTCTGTTTATATAGTACAAACATGGATTGTATTTTTAGGCAGTGTGCCCTCGAGGTGTAGTTTGCGGCATTGATCCTTTGAAACTAATATCCCCCTGGAGATCTGCAGGGCTCCTACAATGCCCGTCTTTGAGAGTTCTTTTAAAAAATAGCTTTTTCTGCAGGCCTTGAGTTGGGTAGATAGGCGCCTATTGTTGTTGGGAACATGGTTGAAGGACTTTATTCCTAAATAGTTGTTTTTAATTGAAGAATTTTGTTTTGTTTCAACATTGTGAGGCTGCCAGAATCAACTGGACGAAGTAGGCTAGACATTAATTTATTAATTTAATATTATATACAGACTCAAGTGTATACATGTATTAAAGGCAGACAGAGCGGGGGGGGGGGGACACAAGAAAATCAGAGAACAATAATAAACCTGAAGTGACAATAGCCATTAAGATCTTTCTTAGAACTATGTTTCACCAATAGCTTGAAAGATATGATTCCTTTACTGAGAAAAAAAAAGCATCATAAGTGGGATATTATTGTCTATAAGTCATTTTCATAATCTCACCTGTCCAGGAGATGTGACATGAAAAAGAGTGTTAAATAACAAAGTACATTTGGAACAGGCTACCTTATTGCTTTTTGCTTTCTCAAAAAGCAACAAACATCTTGGCTTTGCAGGACAAATGTTGTTACTTAGTTATATAACTATCTTTTTCAGTCTGATATCTTTCCAATTCTTCAAGTGCAAGAACATTCATGCACATTTTTTTTTGTTTGAAAGGCAGCCCACAATTTCTTTTGTGCCATCTCCAGTGCTCCTCCTGTTTGATTTTCCTTACCCTTTCTATACATCTGTAAACTCCCTGTAATTCTTCAGAAAAGGTTTGATCTCCACTGCCTGTTACCTTCTCTGATGCTTTTGTGTAGAAAGAATAGGATTGAGCGATGCTTTGTAGCAAAATTTTCCATTGTAGAAAAATTACTTCTACATAGCTGCATGCACTGTGCCAGTCAGCTATTGATATGATTCTCCAACCTCAGAGGTTTCTTTTAATCAATATTTCTAGCATTTGGAAGCTTCAAGGACATATTTAAGGAAGAAGTACCGGTACTTAAGTAAAATCACTGGCTGGGCTTTGCACCAAAGAGCTTCTGTGAAAAACAGCTTCCTTTTGTCCTGTTTCTTCTGTATATTTTGGAACATGAGAGAATGCAGTGGTGTAAAATTCTAACAAAGTTTCTAGGACGTAGACTATAAGATAAAGTACAAAGTAATCAAATCTTTTAAATTAAAATGTTTGCTACATATAAGGACACCAATATTCTGTTACTGCTTTTTCCTCAAACTTTCTTATTGTGTCCCCTTCTTTGTATCAGTGGGAATTCTCCCTGATTCAATATGGCTTTCTTTTAGAGATAGTTACCGCCTCAGTTATGTGCTGTTTCATTGTGATGATTCAATTCCCATTTCTGGCCCAAAATGGCCTAAGCAAGACCGAAGGGAAGAGGAGGAACAGCTGTTAATGCATCTTTCCTTCCATCGGTCTCAAATCCAATTAAATACTGCAGCTCCCTGCTAGGCTGAGGAATCGTTTCATTTCACGCATGATAACTCAGAGTCAGGGAGAAGTCTAACTAGATTATATCACATCCCTTCTTTCCTCTGTTTTCCGTATCGCTGCTCTTTAAAACCTCAGCTACATGTAAAAAGGGAAGCGTGACTTCTGAACGGTATTGATCTTCATAAATCAATGGGAAAGGGTATTCCTGCTAGCAGATATGTCCCTCCCACAGAGGTAGGGGCTGTGAGCCTGTGATTTGAGACAAGGGAGCTGTCCAGCAAAGAAAAAACAAATTAAATTAGTGCGGAGCTGTCCAGCTAAGTACTTAGATGGTGAGCAGAGAATAAGAACAGATCAGAAGAAGCTTACAAGAATAAGAGCCGGATATGTGGAAAGACACTATTCCGGTTGCAAACACTAGATTGATCCAGGGGGAAAAAAACAAACCAGACCCTGCAGCTGTGTGAAAAATACTAGGAAGAAAGAAAAATACCTGCTAAAAGATCTTACAGCAAATCCAGCATCTGCTAGTCTTTCTTAAACATCAGCTCAAAACCTTCCTCTAGAAGGGATGTTAGGAACCAAGATTCAGGGTGTTGTGTGAATATAGGCACAATAATTTAATCAAGTCTTTTATATTTCATGTCACTGCCACTGCTGTTCCTGTAGTCAACTGAATTGTGGTAGAGACCCAGTAATAGGCATTAAAATATGAGAGTTTAGTATATATTGCTGGCTTCTAGGGTAGAACAAGATGTGAGATTGGTATGTATTTCACATTAATTATCAAGGAATGCTTATCAGGCCTTGTCAATTATTCAGGACACAAGATATTCCTCTGTGGTGCAGACTATTATATGCATGGAAGGATGAGAGAGTAGTAATGACTCAGCTCTTCCTCTGACGATAGCTCTTGGGAATTGGCGGCCTAAGAGAAAAAAAAATAAAATTTCCCTTTCCCGTTGCTCGACTATCATGCTTTCCCCACAATGGAGCAACACATCAAACTGTCACCAGGCATTTGAATCATTCTTGTTGGCTCTCCATTGTAAAAATCTCCTAAGTGACTTTTTAAAAAATGGAATAAAGTCCATGCCAAAAGAAAAAAAGGAATGCTGTGCATAACAGTTGCAAATGCCCCATCTTAGAGACGTTTCACAAATAGGAAAGAACATTTTACTCTTATAGGTAGAGCTGGAAAATCCAAAAGCGTTTCATAGATATGGGTGCATTTTATGGCAGTTCTAAAGATTAGCTGTTAACCTAAAACTGTATAGTTCTCAGAAATAATCCTCACTCACTGTGCTGTTATGTAATTCCACCAGAGTGCACCACAGAGGAAGGAGCTGAAAGCATCCATTCATCAACTCTGCAGTGAGATTTATTCCATCAAACTTTTAACTTTCCTTCCACAGCCTATTAGCAGTTATTCTAAGTGGTTGCAGGACAGAGAGAAATTGGAAGGATCCGATCTGTTAGTGCAGCTGATAATTCAGCTCCTTTTGGTATCTGAGAACAGCTTCTACTCATGTCAGCTATTATAAGACATTTAGCAGTAACAGCTCACCAAAATCACTTTTCCTTTTTCCTTCATTTTTGCCATTATCTATTTATGTTTTTCACATTATAAGCCTCCAAGCAGGAATGGACTGTTACTAACTTTATGCACGCTGCTTTGGGATAATAATTCTTTCTGTAATTTAATTATCCACTATATAACGTTCATTTTGGGTGCGATGCAGAAGGGACTTAGATGGTCAGTTCTGATATACAGTATTTGGGCTACCAATTATTATTTTTTTAGCAGTGGACAGGGTGTGTTCTCTACTGGGCCAGCCAGTTTATTTGTTTTGGTAAAAATCAGCAAAGGCCAAAACTCACTGAAAGGAAAAAGGAATAGGTAAGCAAAAAACATAATTTCTGAAGCTTGATTGCATCCAAATTGTAGTCAATGTGCTGGCAATTAGCACAATACAATATTGGCACAGAAATATGGCCTGTAAGAGTTATAAATTGTGCGCTTGAGGTTGTTGAAGAATCCCCAAGGAGTTTCCAGAGGAATATACTGTGTACCATTCTATAACAGAAAGCCAGGAAAAGGTCTTTATAGAGTCATGGGCAGAGGAAAAAAACTGTTATTTCAATTATCAGGTTGATCCCGTGATAGGACTAAACTGTAGATCACATAGAATGGAGCCAGGTCAGAGTAAAACCCTGAGCCAAGAATTGATCAGGTGGTCTGGATTGGATAATTGGATCTGTTGGTTGAAAATTCTGGGAATCGCAGTCCTAATGCATCTGGATGTCATAAGGCATGGAATAATTGCAGCACGGTAATGCATTTTGTTGGAGTCAACTTTAAAAGAACACATACAAATTATTATTAAGCTTATCCAATTTCATGGCAAGCAAAGCAAAATGTGGGAATCACATGCGATGAAAAAAATATCTCTGCAAAATGGGATAGAATTAAGATAGAACAGATGAATTTTTCAACTTCTGTCACAAGCAGTAATATAGCCATGGTCATTCCTAAATGTGAAAGTAGATGCTTTTAAAACTTAATCATATAACCAATATGTTAGCAAAATACTTACTGCTGATAATTTCTTGTGTTGGGAGGAGCATCCGGCAGTTTTCCCAAACCTCATTCTGCCTAGAGACTTGCTGTTTCTTTTTTATTTGCTTTCTTCAAAGCATGTATGCATTTCTGCATGTTTTTATTTCCTTTTACCTTATCTATTTTGTGCACGTGGGAAGAGCAACTGCTTAAAATCAGACTAATAAAAAAAGCCCCAAACACTTTGATATCAGCTATCCAAAACTCCATTCTACAGAGATCCTGACAAAGCAATCCACAGCCTTGAACAATCTTTTACAGCTCTTTTATAAGTAGCGAAAAAGGGTTTCCCTTGAGTGTTTTTGGCTCCCTGTTCTTTGCCTTCTGTCTCTTCAGAACCCAGATGCTTTACAACCAGTCTCAGATCCTCCTAATGCCTCATTGATTAGTCATTTGGGAAGTGTGTGATTGTATGTGGGGAAGAAGGATTATATTACATGCCTCTGGATATGCAGTTAATTTCAACTCCAGTTCTTTGCTGAGATGGTAGTAAGACTCTCTCAGCTGAATCTTTTACTGTTTGCTCTTCAAACTTCCTATTAATAAAAAACCCAAATGATACATACCTCCCCCAAAGATCTCATAAACCATCAACAAAGAAAGCAAAAACAGAATTGCTGAAAAAGATAGCAAATGCTTTAAAATTGCTATCAAATAAAAGTACAGTTCACCATACCATAATGGCAGTCAGTTTGAGACCAGATTGCCTGCTTAAACTCAGTCTTACATTCTAATGGAGGAATTAGACTGGATAGGTCTGCAGAAAGAACTGTTCTCAGTAAGAAGGCTATTATAGGGTATTGTAAAATCTGTAAAATGGTTATTGTGGGCTGTTGTAAATACAACTACCCAGAGTCTCTGGGACGTGGGCTGTGTACAAATGTAATAAATATAGAAGTAGCAGTCTTATTATATTTTGTCAAGGACATTCTAGCTATCTAAGAACACAATTTAATATATTTTGATGTTTGCTAATGAAGTTACTCCAAAGAGTTTGGTTGAATCTGATGCACCAGGAACAACTGCTTAATGGCAAATTTTTCTCCCCTTTAAAAAAAGAAGCATAATCCATCAGGAATGTATCTTTGTAGGAGCGAGACATGTTAATCCATATGGTGGCAAAAATCATAAGCCTTTTCCAACTAAGAATTTTTATTAAAAGTCATAAGCTTTTTGTGAAGTACCAATGACATCTGTTAAAATGACTCATGAAAGGAGGAGGAGGAGGAGGAGGAGGAGGAGGAGGAGGAGAAGGAGAAGGAGAAGGAGAAGGAGAAGGAGAAGGAGAAGAAGAAGAAGAAGAAGAAGAAGAAGAAGAAGAAGAAGAAGAAGAAGAAGAAGAAATAATAATAATAATAATAATAATAATAATAATAATAATAATAATAATGAAATATTGCGACCTGGCCGTGGAAACTCCACGATTATGGATGAAACGTGTAACAGTGATACTCATTGTCATCGGGGCACTGGGAACTATGTCCCAAAACTTTGCAAAATACATCAAGAAACTGCAGCTTCCTGCAATAACTCCAGCAATATTACAAAAAACTGCGCTACTCGGAACATCTTATATTTTAAGGAGGTACCTGGTTGACACCTAGGATGCTGGTAGCAACCCGTGTCAACCATCAGCGCCAGCCAATTTGAATGCTCAGTTGACTGAGCTTTATGTCTAATGAATAAAAGATTATTATTATTATTATTATTATTATTATTATTATTATTATTATTATTATTATTATTATTATTATTGTTGTTGTTGTTGTTGTTGTTGTTGTTGTTGCTGCTGCTGTTGTTGTTGTTGCTGTTGCTGTTGTCGTCATTATTGTTGTTGTTGTTGTTATCATTCTCCTCCTTCTCTTTCTCTTATTAGTCTTTCTGTGATCCCGTGTATCCACCCCATCAACTCCAAAGAAAGTCCGGAATGGGCCAGGGGAAGAGGGTTGGACTAGAGGACCTCCCAGCTCCCTTCCGATCTTATTACTCTCTGTTCTACGTTCAGCAGCTCAGGAAAGCCCTTGTTGTTGTTGTTGTTGTTGTTGCATCCCCCAGCCCAGGCGGTTCAGGAAGGAAAGCCCCATCCCTGGGCCGGGAAGGAGGCTCCCCAGAGACCCCCTGCTCAGCCTCCCCTCCGGGAAGAGCCGGCGCCCGCCCGCCGCCACCGCCTCTCTGCCTCTCTGCTGCGCCTGTGCGCGCAAGGCAGGAGCGCCGGGGAGGGGAGGAGGAGGAGGAGGAGGAGGCGGGCGGGCGGGCGCCGGGAGTGGCCAGTGGCGCAGGGCCGGGGCGAGCGGGGGTGGGCAGAGCCGGCCGAGCGAGCGAGCGCCGGAGCGGTGGCGAGCGAAGCCGAGGCCGGGGGAGCATCACCGCCGCCGTCCATCGTCTGCAAGCGGGCCGGCCGAGCAGGTGCGGCGGCGGAGGGGAGCGCCCGGGCTGCGGCGGCGGCGGCGCCTCCGCCAAGATGTTGGAGATCCAGCTGGACGATGGCGGCGTCGGCGGCTACCCCGGGGACGACTACTGCTCGGGCTCGGTGATGTCGGAGCGCGTCTCGGGCCTGGCCAACAGCATCTACCGCGAGTTCGAGCGCCTGATCCGCTGCTACGACGAGGAGGTGGTGAAGGAGCTGATGCCGCTGGTGGTGACGGTGCTGGAGAACCTCGACTCGGTGCTGACCGACAACCAGGAGCACGAGGTGGAGCTGGAGCTGCTGCGGGAGGACAACGAGCAGCTGCTCACCCAGTACGAGCGGGAGAAGGCGCTGCGCAAGCAGGCCGAGGAGGTGAGCCGGACGGGCAAGAGCCCCCCCCCTCCTTCCCTCCTTCCCTCCTCCCCTCTAGGGCGAGTCGGAGGCCCGAACTTGGCCGAAGGAACCGGGGTGGGAAGGCTGCGAGGCCTCTCCGGCCCTCTGACTCGCGGGCACAGCCGCAGGTGCAGCTGAGCGTCCGTCCCTCCATCCTTCTCATCAGATCGGAGCCCTCAAAGGAGTAGCAGCTTCTTCTGTGGAAGGAGAAGCATCGCTGCTTTATGATGCTGTGAGCCTTCGTAATCTTTGCCCCCCCCCCCCGTTCCTTGGGCCCGAGGGGGAGAAGCTCCGGGCCAGGGGGCTGAGCTCCAGCTATTCAGCTGTTTTCAGCCTGGCCTGTGTCTGAAAGAGGGCTCTGGCTGCTGTTTCTCTTAGGGTGGATTAAAATTAAAAAAAAAAATGAAAGCAGGTTTAGAAAAACATTGGGTGAGGGGGCCTAAATCTGGAGGCATCTTGGAGCTTGAATTGGTTGTGAATTGGCTTTCCTGAAGGGCAAAGAGGAGAGGGTGACTCGGATTTATGGAGAAAAGAGGGGAAGGGAGATGAAGTTGGCTTCCAATGAATAAATGGCATAGTGGGGAGGATTCGTTTTCCCCATCACTTTTCCCCCAACCCCATCAAACTAACGGTTCTGGTGTCGGCCATCCCTTTTTCCTAGCTCCAGCGGGTCAATCGTCTTTCAGAAGTTTTCGCTTCTCATTCTCATCATCAACCTTGATCTGTTCCGCTCGAGATAATAGGAACTGTCATCCAACAGTTTGAGAGCCCCTTTTGGTCTAGTATTTAGAAACCAGGAGATGGTGAATTCTAGTGCCGCCTTAGGCATGTAAATTGGCTGGGTGACTTTGGGCCAATCACCAGGAGACCGTGAGTTCTAATGCCCGCCTTACGCATGAAAGCTAGTTGGATGACTTTGGGCCAATCACCAGGAGTTGGTGAGTTCTAATCCCACCTTAGGTATGAAAGCCAGGTGGATGATTTTGGACCAATCACCAGGAGACTGTGAGTTCTAGTGCTGCTTCAGGTATAAAGCTGGCTGAGTGACCTTGGGCCAGCCAGTCTCTCTCAGCTCAACCCACCTCACAAAGTTGTTGTGGGAAAAATAGCAGGAGGAGGAAGTATGTATATTCACCACCTTCAGTTAGTTATAAAAAATAATAACGGTGGGATTAAAAAAACCCTTAAAAAATCAAAATCAGAGGTTGCTAGATGTAGGAACTGCTGGTATATTATGTCGGCATTCATCCAAATGCCTTTTCCATCCCTCTTGGCAGGCAACCCAAATAGATTGGCTTGTCCCTGTATTAATTCCTGTCTGAAAACTTAATAATTTATCTTTGGAGGACATCAGAAAGTCACCCAGCTAGTCTTTTGAAAAATACGTTTTATCTGTCCCAATTTTTGAAAATATGCTCTCTTTTTTTTCCTCTTCTCTAGATTTTCAATTTCAGAAGTTTAGCTTGCTTCCTAGCAACTGCCTTTTCTTCCACTTAGCATGTGGATGTACCATCCATGCCTTTCTTAGCCTAGTGAAAAGAACGTGTTGGGGCTGATAAAAATGCCAGCAAAAATATACTTTCAGTCATTGCATGGAATAAAAAGATACATTTGTAAACATAGGAAGAACCAAATACAAAAAGGGCTTTCTTTGGTGGTGGCAGGTGGCCAGAAACCACATCTGAATAACATAGTTAGTAGATGCACTCGATCTGCAAGGATTTCTTGGCCCCGTTAAATTATGTGAAGTGCTATGTGAATCCAGCCGATCCAGCAACTTGGATTTTCTTGTTGAGAACAAAAACCAAAATGGAGCTAAAAGACTGAATTCAGTTCACCCAGTGACTCGATTCATTTAGCGTGCTCTGCTTAATATGTTAAGCGAGTTCAGACACTGTTAGTTGCAAGGAATGGTTTCAATTTTCATGTGGCATGCAATCTTCCATCAGACTGTTATTTTCTACAAACCGTGGTTAGGCAATAAACACGTCTGGCTTTGGTGAGTGACTTCCGAGAATCTTCCGATTGCTTTCGTACATCATGTTTATCTTCTAAAGTCCTCCAATTGCGTCCTGCAGTTTTGTAGACTGGAGTGTGGTTTCGATTTCATTATTTTAAAATGTTGCTTTATGGATGATGTCTTGCTGAGATGGGAGGCTAGGAGCTTTAATGTGGAAGATGGTGCTGTCAGGGTGGATCTTTTTATTTTTATTTTTCAAGATTCATCTTTCTTGGATGTGTCTTTCTATTAAGTCAGCGGGGAGGCCTGGTCTCCCATTGTATTTCTACCCGTGGTGTGGCTTGGACTAAGATGGGCAGCTTGTGCATTGAAACAGAAATGAGAGCTCCCAAATAATTACTTACCCATTTCTGTAAAAGCACTTTTGTGGCTGACACACTCTGACAACCACTGAATTGCAAGTGTATTAATACAGTTCCTTTAATCTTGCCCAAATTAGAAACAAATCCGATTTCTCATTCTCGACAACTTTCGGTATATTTTTTATGACTGTGATCTTGCTTTATGTGGGGTAAGCTCACAAAATATTATCATCATGATCCAGGCAAAGTCAAAACCAGTGGGATTTACCTTCTGTATGGGCATGTGTGTAGGCTTGTGTTATGGAGGTTGTGCTGATTTCAAATAACCATGTTAAAATAGCTATCTGCTTCTCTGGATAAGACAATTACAGACATTTGATGCTTTTTGTCTGGGCCAGGTCTCTAGATCCTAAGATTAGGAAAGAAATGATTGGTTGTTGCAAAATTATGACTATTACAGAAGTACAGAAAAAGAATGAGCTGCATGGTGTTTTTATGTTACCTTGGGTACACACCTTAGCACAAATAATCTGGATATTTTGGTTTTCGTTTAGCTTATACTTTTGAAGTAAAAGTATGTAAAAATATCAGTCATGGCTTAGTGCCATGAGCCTGTGCAACCATTATGACTCAATGAACCACGGTTAACATGAACTACGGCATAGTGGGAAATATGAATCTATGGTTTGTCAAACAAGTTTTTATTTGTTAATTTTTGTAATTTTCTGATGGACGGTTGTGAGAATGGTAGAAGAAATAAGTGAAGTTGTGGTAGAAGAGGGGTGTGAGATGCCTATCTCCCTAGAATCCATAGAAATACACATAACATTGTCCTGAATTGTTCAGAATTTTCCTGCTTCCTGAATTGAATTTTTCCCGGATTTCCCCTTCCCCCAAACTACCAGATCAGAAAAGAAACCAACATTGTTGCTTTCCCCCTCCTTTTTTCTTTGTGTGAACTAGGAAGGAGCTTGTCTTGAGATGTTTTCTCAAATTACTTTCTTGGCCCAAGGTCAAGCAACTTTTATCTGGCTTGGCTGTCCTCTTATCCTTCAAATCCATTTCCTTTGCCCTCTACACAAAGGTGTGTATATCTATTACAAACATTAAATTCCTGAAATTATTGATGGGGAAAGAGAATTTGTTAATCCGTGCATACTATACACATCTTTATTTCTCCTCAATGGCTGTACAGCAGAGTCTTCCAATCTAAGCAAGTTCCAAATATGCTTCTTGGGGAATTCTGGGAGTTGAAATCCATACACTTCAACCTGGAACTGGTTTAAGTTGGGAAACCCTGTTACCTATATGACCTCTACCGTCAGAATAGAGTGGATTATAAGCCTTGATCTAATTCGTTTGATTTTAGCTTGGCTTCATAAATTTCACACATTTCAGTAAACCACGATTAAGCAAACCTGGACAATTGGGAACAATCTTAATATTCCGTACAGTCATTGTACCTATTAAAAGCAATGTTAATTACTGGGTTGAGTTGCAGCATTCTCAGAAATGTCCAGTGCAAAAAAGGGCTTTTCCACTACTTGGTCTAGCTAGAGACACCAGATATTCCACTTAGAAATTACACACACACACACACACACACACACACCAAGAAAAAAAAAGCTTATTAATACTTGTTAATTTGTGAAACTGATTGCCACTGACATTTGAGAGAGGTCAAATTTAGAATGAGTCTATGCCTTTTGCCTATTTAGCAGCATATTGTTTAAACAGGAATATGGCTGTCTGAGACACAGCCAAAGGATTTTCACATCATCTGCTACTAGATTTTTTTTTTTAAATCAAAATACGTATTGGAGCATTTTATCTTCAAAATGTATACAGTTTCCACTGAGCTGTCATCCCTCCCCAACTAGGCATTTGCAGCTTATGACTTAAATTGGCGGAAAAGAAATAAAACTCCGGGGTGCTGAGTCTCTGTAATAAAAGATTTTAGCATGGTTTGGCTTTGAATGATAATCACATTTGTAGACATTGGTTCATTTCCACTTCTTTGCTAGCATAAAATTAGAATTATTCAGGTAGTCAAGATCTCTGGATTGGTCTGTTTTTATTCAGGATACAGTGGCATCATAGACTGATTACGAATACATTGTTTTTACTGTGTTACTATTTTGAAAACTAACTTTTCTCCAAGTTTCCAGCCAAAGAAAGGACAACAGAATAGAATTCAGTATTTTATTGAGAAAAAATAAGAGACCATAGGTATGTAGTAGACTAGATTCCTTACCGTCTCCTTTCTCCATTGGAGCTTTCTGAAAGCCAGTGATGGATATTAAACAGACTTTGTGTTGATTATTTGTTAGCTTCCCCAAATTTATCAGATTTAATCACTCTGTCTTGTAAAAACAGTGAAGAAAAACAGTGTCATTCTGCCTGATCATAGAGCAGTGTCTTGATGGATGTTTTTCCACTAGGTAGTGTAGAGCAGGGGTCCCCAACCCCCGGTCCGTGGACCAGTACCGGGCCGCGACATGCCAGTAACTGGTTCACACAAACAAGCAAAGCTCCATCTGCAAGATGCAGGCTGCACACAAAACCACGCACGCTCCGGTCCACGGAAAAACCTCTCTCCACGGAAATGGTCCCTGGTGCCCAAAAGGTTGGGGACCTCTGGTGTAGAGTGCTAAGAAGGGTTACAATTCAAGGTGCTGGTTATCACCTTTAAAGCCCTACATGACTTTGGGCCAAGCTATTTTGAAGGACTGTCTCTCCCCTAATACATCTACCCAGCCCACCAAGACGGGAAGGCAGGGCATGTGACAAGTTCCCATCGATCAGGGGTGTACATCTGGTGGGACCACAGAAATGGGCCTTCTCAGTGGTGGCTCTTCTTTATGGAATATCATTGTCCCCAAGGTACAGGTGCCCCCCCCACCCTGTTGCTTTTTTCAAAGGGCCATTAAAAACATGGCTTTGTCAGCGAGCCTGGGGACCATGAATGGAGCTGGAGCCAACCCAGTGGCTGATTTGATTGTGTTATTGTCATGGAAACTGGGGGGGGGTTAATGGGTTTTTATTATCTGATGGATTTTTTTTTTAAAAAAAATGTAAATTTTGTTGGGCGGCTGTGTAACTTTGTTTAATAAATAAAGGGGAAATGGCAGAGCCGGTGGCACAGTTCAGCAGGGAGTCCCAACAGATGAAACCAAAATGGAATAGAAATTGGTAATGCAAACAGCCGGTTTTATAATGGAGACTTTTGTATCAGCACAAGGAGAGGGGGATAGTGCTTTAGATCGATAATGGGGAACTGGCCAAAGTTATGCAAGGCCTAAAGATTGTAGATATCTGATACCATCTTTGTGTTTGCCTTCGAGTCTGCATCCAGCACTGCAGACAAAGGAAGAAATGTTACAGTGCAGACAAAGTTTTTTTGTGCAAAGCCAGAACAAGGCCTCAAAATACTGATTTGTTCCGACGAAAACAGCTGCTATATCAGTGATGGCGAACCTTTTAGAGACCGAGTGCCCAAACTGCACCCCCAAACCCACTTATGCATCGTCGGGTGCCGGGTGGGTGTGGCCCATTGGGTGGGTGTGGCTGCGGTGGTAATGGTAGACTGGGTGGGACTAAAAAGTTCAATCAATTCCAACTTTGCAAGATCTTTTTTTTTCCCTGCAAGAAGTTGAAATTGACTGATTGAACCTTTTTTTTTTTGCACATGGCAGCGGAGGCCTAAAGCGAAAAGGTTTTATAAAATCCAGCCGAAGGCCTAGGACTGGGGTGACGGCAGCGCGCATGCCCACAGAGAGGGCTCTGAGTGCTGCTTCTGGCACCCGTGCCATAGGTTCGCCACCACTGTGCTATATGCTTAAAACACATGCATTTTCATAGGAAAAGTGCACTATTTGTAAGAAGGGACCGTCTTTGAAATGATGACAGCTCGTAGTGAAAAGTCACACTTTATCTGCTCACTTCACCCGTTTCTGTTCTTTATGTCTTCGATAGAAATTCATTGAATTTGAAGATGCACTGGAACAGGAAAAGAAAGAGTTGCAGGTTCAGGTGGAGCACCTGGAATTTCAAACACGGCAGCTGGAGCTGAAGGCCAAGAATTATGCCGACCAGAGTGAGTAAAGCCGTTCCCAGAGTTTGGCCATTCTGCTGCATTCTATACACAGATTTTATTAAGTTTGGTTGGATTTCCCTGAGTGCCTCGTGAACTGCATCATGACAAACCCCTAGTTGGCTTCAGAGGTAAAACATTTACTGGAACGTAAAAGGTTCCTGCTTCAATTCCTGGCCCTCCAAATAAGTTTGCATAGGGAACCCAATCCAAATCTGTATAAAGAAGCCACTTGCATTAGATCAGCCCATGGTCTGACTAGGCTCAGGGTGTGGCTATTTCTAGCTTGGTTTAAAAATTCAGAGACTGAATCTAAGAAGCCTACCTGGAAGGTATGTGCTGTATCAATTAAGCCAGCAGGAAATCCAGGCACCACCTATTCTTTTGTTCATTTGTAATTTTATAACAAGGCCTTGGGAGTAAACTAGAGCAAGCTTGAAGACGTATTCTCATTCCATTTATAAAGTTGTTAGTCTCATCTTTCTCAGAGTGCTCTGTTTCTCCTCAACCCGCTTTATTTTCTTTTTTCTTTTTAAATAATCAACAGTTTCCCGGTTGGAGGAGCGCGAATCTGAAATGAAGAAAGAATACAACGCCCTACATCAGCGGCACACAGAGGTATCTCCTCTTTACTAGGAGAGTGGATGAAAAGTTGATTATTATTAGTTGGCATGTACGGGTCTAGGAGTAAATGACAGTGTCAAGACTGCTAACATCGGATGTTCTTGCTTGCCATATATGAAGAAGCAAACATGTTTTATTTAGCCTGCATATCACTTCTAGAGTTAAAGCAGACAATGTTAGCATAGCGGGTGGGAAAGTATGATAGTTAACCATAACAAAATTTCAGTACAGCATTGCCAAGGTCAGCTGTAACCAGAGGAGTTACGGGAGGGACAGTTCACACTTCAAACTAATTGGAGAACGTGATTGATGACTGTGAAATGAAGGAGTGAGTTATGCTTTGTTGCGGGTAATTGGGGGTGGGAGGATTCAGTTTTTGGCTTCATTATGTACGTGCCGAAGCTATGTAGCAATAAAAGGATTCTTTTAAGGTAAATAAAGCCTCAAAGTTCTTTGAAAAGCTGCTTCTTTTCGGAACCATGACAGACAGCAGTAACCCTAACTCCTTTCAGATTTGTGGGACTAGGTTCCCATCTTCTCTGATCTTCTGTTCTAGTATAGTGGGTATTGGAGTACGATCATAGCTGGAAGTTTGTAAGTTCTGCTTCTGCTGTATAGACAATCCAAAACACTATTTATTTATTTTTTTAAAAAAAGAAAAGCCATTTTCCAGATCAGAAAATGTTGGACTCGGGTTGGACAATTCTAAAGTGGAGTGGAAATCTGGATTAAGTACTTTCTTTTTCTTCTTCTGCAGATGATCCAAACCTATGTGGAGCACATTGAGAGATCCAAGATGCAGCAGGTCGCTGGAAATAGTCAAAACGAGAGTGGTCTGTCTGGGAGAAGGTAGGGGCCCCTTGGCTCTGCCCCCAAGGAAGTAGAGTTGCCAGGCGAAAAGACTGTTCGGATCTTGCGTAGATGTTTCTCTTTAAGTAACTGAAATGAGCATCTTGGGAAGATACCTGAACCGGGCTGCATCTTTGAGCCTCAGCCATTTGGAAACAGGCTGAATTATGATGGTGGGACCTGCATGGGGAGAGAGTGAA